CATACAGGCACATTCAAGGCACACGGCACGCCTGAGGTGTTGGGGCCTGATGGTAACGACACAGTTTCAGCAAGTTCTCTTGAGCGACGCGTTGCTTGTGTCGTGGGCAGGTGAGTTCCCCGTTGTTNTACCTCGTTGAGAACCATGATGGGATGCATATTTGATGTGTTCCTGATTGCTGATGGCGCGCGCTGACCATTCCGATTCTGCAGCAACGGGCACCTCTCATGCGGCGGCGTGCAGCCGGTACATCAGGCACAATGACACCGCACAAGCAGTGAACTGACCGCATCAAGAAATATATTGCATTGTCATTAGATCTCTACGGAACACATCCTGTGCCGCGAGTGCGCCGCCTAGTTGCCCAGTGCACGGCGGTGAGCTCCTTACCATGTTTGCGTGCGCAAGGCTTGCCGGGCAGACTGCGGGGAGGGCCAGGATGTGCGGAATCAGGTGAGTCGGCCGGGCACTCTGTGACTGCCCAACGCGGTGTTGACTAGAAGTGACGCCGTCATAACAGGCATCGTGGTCCGTCCGGTCCATCAGGCCGCCGCTGCCCGGACATGTGCGTTCTGGTGCTTTGGCGGGCTCGATGAACCGGGGGTGTGAGACTGACGACACGGGTGTCATGCTTCTGGCCGGGCGTCCATTTGTCGTCACTATCAAGGAGGACCGCCGACGACAGATAGTAGCGGGAGGTGCCCGTAACAAGTGGGCGTGCTTCGCGGGCGAGCGTGGACACGCAGGTCGATCATTGGCAGCAGTCGCGCGGCGCACACTGGGATACCGCGGAGGACGGCTGACCGCCGCCCGCCGCGATGATTGCAGCGCAAGAGTATCTGCGCACACATCGACGAAGCATGCGCTGACCGGGCCGTGGTACTCGAACACTGCTGGTGCGGGCGCGGAGATGGCGTGACCATGGGACGACCTGTGCGGGACAGGACACTGCCGCTGCTAAGGGCGGGCAGAGGAGCATCGCTGCACATACCTGACGTCGCCTCGTATTGCCGCGCCCTGACCTTCGCTCGCCCGCAAGTGAATGGCGCTGCGCGATAGGCTGGCGCGGAGTGCGTTGGACGTGGGAGCAAGTCGGTGCCTGTTCGCACTTGAACGGTGAACGTGCTGACCGGGCCTTGATGCCTGTGGGGCTGCTTATGGGGGAACGACCGATGCGGCGCATTTGAAGGGGGCGGTCTGGGTGCGCGCGGCGGTAGGTCCTCGGTTGTGGTAGTGCTGCGTGCGCATCGTCGACCAATAGGACGGCGGATGGCGGTGCATGCGATCGCGCCGGCAGACGGGACATGGCAGACGCGAGGGCAGTGACGCGTGCAGAGACGAGCGGCTCGACTGGGTGATGTTCGCGACAGCTGCCGTGCGCTGCCCCTCCGCTCCGGGTTACTGTGCGTCCCTGCGGGGCGCCTTACAGATGTTCTGGGCGGGCTGTGCGCCGTCAGCCGGTGCGCGTCGGTGGACGACAGCGGTCCGTTTTGGCCCTGCGTCTAAGCACGCACGCTCCAGTGTCACACACGAAATATATTTTACACTTTTATGTGCATTTGTAGTAATGCTGCTGCTGCTGCGGGCGCGCGCGACGGTATGGGCAGCGCGTCTTGACCGAGTGCGGGAGACTGTGCGCGCGCGCGCGCTCCATCCGCAACGCCACCCACGGTCGCTCGAGGCTTATGTGGTTGTGGGCCCGGCGTGCGCATTAGGCCAGAAGATGGCGGGGGAGGCGTCGTGCAGAGCGCGGGCACAGACCCAGGGCATGCAGACGGACGCTGATGGCTTCGCGACGGTAGACTGAAGTGAGTCTTGTGCTATTTGACGTGTTCCGGTGGTCACTCACCTCACTCGAATAGACGTGCTGCAGCGCGCGGCTCGACGTGTTCTGCTGTGCACCCAGCCTCCGACTCAACTCAATGGTGTCTGCGACGGCGGCCGTGTGCCGCTCCTCCGCTCCGGGCTGCGGTACGTCTCTGCAAGGCGCCACACGGGCTGCGCGCGGTCGGCGGGACTGCGTCGGTGGACGGCGGCGTGGGCGGCCAGTCTTAGCCCTCCGTCTACGCACCACACGCTTCGGTGTCGCCAATTGAAATATATCTTACATTTCTGTACGCATTCGTAGTAATGCTGCTGCGGCGGCGGCGGGCGCTCGCGACGCTTGAGTGCATGCGATGCCATGGCCAGCGCGTCATGACCGGGTCCGGGAGACTGCGCACGCAACGCGTGTCCCGCCCTCGACGCTGCCCACGGCGCGAACGCACCACGTCGATCGGAATGGAATATGCATCATAAACGCCGCCGTATGGCAATTCCCGCTGGTTTCACCGTGCAGATCGACGATATCGTATGCCCGCGTTTGACATTACAGCGCTCTGCCGTAAGACGGCGGTTCATTCGATCATCCAGCGGGTTCCAGCATCGCAACCGCCAAGCCGGGGGATTGCACCAGGCTCACTGGCCCGCTGTGATCACGCGGCGCTGTGGGAGCAGAGCCACTTGGTTTCGCGCCCGAGTCGCGGACGCGTGGGCGGTGTGTGCGGGCTCTCCCGCCTGGCTGGTGTTGATTGACGGACGGGCACCGTCAGCCCCTCCTGTGGTCGAGGTGTTCCCCGCCCCCAGAATCCAGCAGAGGCACGCGCGCAGCAGCGGCCCGCGCGGGGAGCTCGTGGGGGGCATCCCGGGATGACGGCAGGCCGGCGCGCGCGCGCGTCGTGAGGGGCACGGCGTGTCGTGCACATCCGCGAGGAGCCAAGATGCCGATCAGGGCGCGCGGGGTCGCGCGGATCACGGTGGCACGCACGCGAATGGCGCAAATGCGAGGATGCGCACGCGCGGGCGCAGCATCGATCGCGCGGGGACGCTGCGTGCGACGCGGGCGTCGCCACCGGAGCGATGAGGGTGACGGGCGATGTGGGGGCTTGCGGCGGGTAGACGTGGCGGGTGCGCACGTCGGCGAGGGCGTCCGTCTGCGTCAGGCAGAATGACCGCGCCCAGGTACGCGGGCGGGGACGCGGGGGGCTGCCGTCATGGGTTCGGGTGAGCAACAGCTTAGCGACGCGGCAGCCGATGCGAGACAATGGCCGCCGCGCATGGGTAAGATGCCCGGGCGGCAGTCGTGGGAATGGCGACAGGTCGGGAGAGCGTGCGAGGGATTAAAAGGCAGGGGTCGTTAGAGATTGCTGCATGGTTTACGACTCGGCTTCCGCTCTCTCCATCTTTTGTCCTGCTTGCCCGCTGTCTTGCTCGCCCGCCCCGGCTCTATTATGCTGCGCGCTTGGTCAGGTAAGCCGTCGTCGTGTTTCGGCATGATGTCAGTGACGTGCGCGGGCTTAGGGACCTTCGTCGCAACTGGGACGGGATCAACGAGGCGGTGATCGACGACTGCGATGGTGCGCGCTCTCCTGGGAACGGACCGCTGACCGGCCAGAACGTCGTGTCGCACGTCCGCATCTGCGTTGGCTGGTGAGTGGCGGACGACGGTTTGGGCGTGCAAAAGCTTACCGCAATGTGTGATCGGCAGGTGTTTGCGTCTCGCGGTGTGCGGATCACGTCTCGCCTGGCTGCGCGGCGGTGCAGACCATCCGCGTCCTCGTCGCCGCTCTGCAGCACTGGCGGCAAGAGAATGCAGTCGCCGGGCTGCGCGCGTAGTGAGGCGCAAAGGCCAGTGGACAGGTAGCGGGAGCTGCGCGCAGATCGTGACCGGGGTACCGTTAATAGAGCGCGTGCAGTGTGTGTGTGTGTGTTCCGACTCGCAATTGTGGCGCGCGATGGATGTCTCTTGTAAGGCGGCGGTGCAGGACGGAAGCGGCGCGCACGGGCCACGTCCCTCGCTGTCGTATTGATGTTGTGCGTCCGGGGAAGTCTGACGGCGTCGGCGTTGTGGGAATCATCGTCCACGGCCAACGATTTGCGCCATCGTTGTTGCCCTGAAGCACCGGCAGCGGTTTGATGCAGGCGAGGGCCGTCGTCTCGGTTCCAGGCTGGCGTGCGGCGTGCGGAGGGCGTAGCGAGCTGTTTGGAATATCGGCGGCGGCGATTGAGCGCAGCCTCGGTTGGGGGCAAACGTCTAGATGTGTGGTCGTCGAGCTGTGAGCGTGCGGGACGTCGGCGTATATTTGTGAGTAGATAGTGACCGGGAAGTCAATGACAGAGGGCTGGACGACGTACGTGAGGGGTATGATGAGTGAGGCAGCGCGGGACAAAGATGGTACGCACGGCCGGGATCCATTGAGCGATGGCTGACGCTGCACGAGGCGTTTGCCGTTGTCTGCAGCCTCGACATCTGGTGTCTTCTCCGGAGGCGCGCTCGCGGTGCGTGTGTTGAGCGGGTCGATCATCTGCCCGAGTCTGCGCGGAGACTGTCTGGCGGCGGTCGCGATGGCCGACGCTGCTCAAAGTCTGCGCGTTCCCTGCAATCCCACGTCTTGCGTCTGATGCTGCCCTGTCCAGCGGCGCGCTCGTGGTTGTGCCCAAGTCTGTGTGCGCTGATGCGCGCCGAGGCACGCTGAGGCTGGGTTCCGGTCGTCGTATTGTCGACGCTGGTAGGATGCACGCGCGTGCGCCATTGCGTGCAGCAGGCGTCGCCTTGGATGCGAGGGAGCGATCGCATGTCGCAGATGTCAGAGAGGAGGCAGGCAGGCTCGGAAGGCAGGCGTGCAGGGCAGGCGCGCAGAGGGACGGCCACGCACACGGGAGCGGGCTCAGCTCGCGAGGGATGACGACGACACGACAACGCTGGGCGAGAGGATGCACGATCAGGGACGATCGGCCCTCCCGCGCGTCTATTTGCGCATTGACTGGACATGACGGCGCTTGCACGGTGTTCAACCTATCCACGGATGCCCACGCTTGGCCCGCGCTCGACGTCGAAGCAGCCTTGCATTGTGTATGCATCGCGAGCAGAGACGAGCTATAGTGGCCTCGCTGCCAATCAGACTCAGCCATGCTGGTCAGCTCGTAAATGGATCACTTGATTCGGGCGTGTCTCTGACATCGTCTCCAATGGACGCGCGTAGATCGGCAGTCAGAAACCCAAGACAGTGCGGCTACACGGGCAACACCGCTGGCACAGAAGACAGCTGCACTCCCCCCGAGGACCCACTCACACATCCTGGACGTGAACCTTGGCTCGCCGCCGCCCGCAGTGGCAGCACCCCGCGTTCGAGTGGACGCAAGAAGACCCAGACCTCGACGCCATCGAGCGCGACGCTTCTCCCGCGTCGGTGTGCGGCGAATGCCCGATGGTGTATCGGAAGAACCATCGGGCTAGTCTATCTCACAGCCCACGAGCAGGACAACGCGCGGCCGAACAGTCGCCTATACGCGGACGCGAAGGCGTGAATATCCCGATAGATCCCCGGACTTTGTCCTGCGCAAAGGGTCGATCCCCGACAGCGCGCAGCGCGGCGCGCGAATAGCGGGCAATGCGCGTAACCTGTCAGGGGGCGGCGCCATGTCGGAGCAGATTGCGAGGGCAACCAGGCTAAGGGGGCCTTCCATTCCATGCGCGATGCATCGCAGGCAGCGTCACGACGAGGGATAGCCTGCAAGCGCCCATTGCGGGCTTCGTGAACCTCGGGCCGCTTCCGTTATTGGCCCCGCAATTGAAGGCTTAGCGCGCGGACTGGTGGGGCAGTCGGGTGGGACACGTCCGAGTGGTCAGCAGTGCAGGAGCGGAACATACCGAAAAAACGGTGCGTGCAAGACGCAGTTCCCTTCGCCTCGCCACTCACCATCCGCCGGATTGTGTTCGCTGCGACACACCAGAACAGGTCGTGTGCTGTGGGGCGGGCCTCGCCTCCCATGCGTGGGCTTCCATAACACGGGCTCTTGCCAGCATCGACTACACTCACAACATTCCGTCAGACATTTACAATGCTCGAACTTAACATTCCGTCAGCCACGCATGCTTGCAATGTCCGTCGCGGGTGCAAGCCTATCTTACACCACCTCGGCGACGATCTTCCCACTGCAGCGACACCTCAGTCAGCCCAGAGCCCCTGAACGCGGTGCCCCCGCTGATAACAAACCGTGGGACTAACCTGTTCTTGTTGTCCTCCATCTCACGGTGTGCTGCCTGTATATCATTCCAGGGGTACACCTAGAACCAGAGCGGCACGGCGTCATCTTATGTTGAGAGAAAGTGGCACGAGAGATTGGACGTGCCTTGTGGATGTAGATCCGCAATGCGCCATCCCCGTTAGCTCCCGTGATGTGGCCCAGAGCGTCACGCTGGAATCTGTTGCCACTTGGCACCGGGTTACGCCTCAATGGAGCAGAGCAGTACTCACCTCTCGATTAAGTCTGCAGTATATTCGGGCGAGCGGGAACGAAGCGTGGAGCCCTCGATGCGGAGACGCTTGTACAGGAGTGGACCCAGATTGAACGAGTCGACTTTACCACCTGTTATGATCTGATGTGGCGTCTCATTCAGTTGAGGTCAGGGCGATTGACTGACCACTAAGCAGTCCAAGCATTGTCATCCTGCCATCCCTTGCAAGGGCATCGATGTTCTTTTGCCAGTGGCTTTGGCCAACGAAGTCAATGATGATGTCCACGCCGTTGCCATTGGTCATTTTCTTGACCTCCTCTGCAAAGTTCTGGGTCTTGTAATTCACGACGTGAGTCGCGCCGCTGGGAATTGACTTGAGCCAATCTAGCTTGTCGGCAGTTGAAGCCGTCGCGGTGACGGTCCTCCTGTGATAGATCAACACGTCTCAGGCACGAGCATCACAGATCTAACGAGTGAAGACCCACGCGCCGTAGAGCCGCGCCAGCTGGATAGCAGCAACTCCGACACCGGAGGCGCCTGCGTGAATGAGGACATTGTCGCCCTTGTTCGCCTCAGCAATCACAATGAGCGCCTGGAACGCTGGCCGTAGAAACACATCAGCGGGGACAAGCCGCGAGACTGGCCAGGCTTGACCATGCCTGTGAGGAAGTTCTCAGGGATTCCGGCCGCTTCCGTCCAGGACAGATGGGTGGGCTTCCTGAGGACGTGCGTCTGCAGGACAATGATGAACTCCGCGTAGGCGCCCTGTATGGCGGCAGGACGTCAGTGGGATCTCACACGCAGCGATACTGTATCACGCATCACGAATCAGTGATCGATGCGAGACGCACCCCGGACGCGAGTCCAATGACTTCGTCCCCCTCTTTCCAACCGGCGACACCCTGCCCAAGGGCTACGATGTGCCCGGAGAACTCGACGCCGAGGATGGTGGGCGCGCCGGGGGGAAGAGGGTAGTGCCCCTCGCGCTGCAGGATGTCCATCCGATTGAGGCCGAACGCCTTGACCTACTTGCGACAGTTCAGCAGTCAGGCTGAAACAACACAGCGCCGTGAAACCGCACCTTCACCAGTACTTGGCCCGCTCCTGGCACAGGCTTTGCGGTCTTACCGAGATAGAGGTTTTCAATTGGCCCCTTTTCATCTTTGATGAGCACTGCGTGCATCTGCTCTGCCATGTCTGTTGTGCGGCGGGCCTCTACTCTCTAATAAGTAGATGTGGAAACGACACTGGAAATACCATCACCGGGATAGAAGGTCCTCGATAAACTGGGTTCAATGGGTGATTGGGTTTAGAACGGTAGAGCTTCCTGCGCAAGTACCACACCCGGACTGGCGTCTTTGCGTCATCGAATGCCAGATCGGTAGTTATCCGATTTCAGCTTCAAAAAGGAAAGTTAAGTAGTTATTGAGACTTGAATTACCACTAGTTCGCACTGTCTCGTTCTGAACGCGTCTCGTCTCTGCTATAGCTGTCTGTTCAATACGAGCTGAAGGATATCCAACCGAGATTGCCAGGTGCATATAACAACGAACAGCCGGTCCTGCCCGAATCAACCCGTCTTCCGAGGTCCTCGGGTGATCCATAGTTAGGTCCGTGGGTGCTGGACAGACATAGACTGTAGGATGGCGGCGGCGCACAGCACATGCATCTCATCGAAGCCACTCTCAAGATCCTGCGGTTCCGTTATCTCTGGGCGCCGTCTTTGCTGTGCACTCGCGGGAGACACACCTGATATACATGAGATCTGGCCCAGTCTCAGACACGCATCTCCGGCAGATTCACTTTCATCGCGAGATGAACCCTTCAAGCCGCCAATGGAAGTCCTCAAACACTGCCGTGTTTGTGTTACAGCTGTCTAATTGTCGGCGAAGCTGGCTGCCGCGTTTGGCTGTGACCGCTCAGCGCTCTCGATCATCAAGAAACAGATCTCGCAGGGCGCTCCCGGATTGTGTCTCGTCTCGCACAACGTGGCCGTTATGTCCAGACGTGGTGCATGCTGTCGTGGATTCTGCACATGCGCATGTGGATGGTGGCGGTGCGGAGGTCCACTCCAAGTTGCGTTCATCCGATGGCGAATGGCGACAGCCGACTCTTGACGACCGGCACCGTACGATGTGCGCTGCAACATTGGAAAATGCAGGTCTTCGCCTTGTTTTCGCTGACCAAGTTGTTCCATGGATGAAAGTGTGTTGCGCGGCCACCGCCCGCGCATGAAACCGCAATTTGTATATCTTCTCACCTCAGCCCAGCCCAGCTTCTCGTGATGGTGATCGCGGTGAGCAGGCTTGATCGTTTCAGGGTTTTGGCTATGTAACGATCTGACCTATTGTGACCACTCAAGCTACCATACTACATCACCATGGCCATGGTTGTTGCAGGGTCCGGTTCCTGATGGGCGCTTGGCGGTTGTTTACGGATTCTTTCAGGTGATAATACCCAAGAAGCAACTCGCGTGGACCAAGCACCCGAGCGCCGTAGTCAGCTCCCGTGGACCAAGCGGATTGATAATGATTCTTTGTTGTCTTTCCGCAGGTACACCGTCTTGATGCCTCGTGTCCGTGCAAGGACGGCGAAGTGCAGTATGTGAATACATCTGTCAGGCAGAGGCGTACCTGGCCGGGACACGAAATGCCACTTGCCCACCGAGTCATCATCGATCTGCGGTCCCCTGTCGCCCGCCCTGCCACTCAGCCACTCCTTGCGTCCCATACACCACCTTGTCCTCAGCGAGTCAACGCGCGTCTTAGATCATGCGCTCCCGTGTGTCCCAGAGATTGCCGCCCGTGATCTCACAGCCCGATACAGTATGCTTCCACCTCAATCGACGGACTTTGCGCATAATTGCATCCAGGGCGTCGTCTGCAAGGCACTGTGCAGCCGTCCCCTTGCGGTCTCAATGTGTCATATTTCCAATGCCGATCAGGACCCAAACCGGCCGGAGTCATTATGTCTCAATCTTCATTTGATCTCTCGATTGCACTGACTCCCATGCTACTGTGCCTCCCGGCGAGATGCGGTACTGCTGTGCTGCCCGCGGAATGTATAAAACACATTTCGTGCTCCTGCTGGAAACAACACCACCTGCATAGAAGCCCACGCATTCCTCGTTCTCACTCGACAAGTCGTCTTTAGACCTCTACTTCATCCTCATCCTCTAATATCTGCATAATACTGCAAGACATGGCCGCCCGTGTAGCACCCATTGCCGTCTCTGTCGCCGTCTCCGCGCGCACTCATCGCCGCGCACCATTCGCCAGCAAACCCACTTCGCAGACGAAGCCCCCTCAGACCACTTCTTCATCTCAAGACGCGATCCGTGCGGCCGCGAGCGCGAACGGACCCGTGTTCTTCTGAACGGGTGCCTATCCCGATCCCCTCTCCAAGCCTCTATGTTCCGGAAACTATATATGGTATGCCCCATTTCCAAATGCAGCGCTGGTTGTCGGAAAGCCTGAGACGTTGTCACCCAGCATCATCCGTCGCCAGCAAACATTTGTCTTTCCACCTTCTCTACCATGTTCGTATCATATCTCCACCGTGCGTGCCTGTCAAGCCTCGCCGCCTGCGATCATTCTCGCCATCAAGCACTGCATCTCGCCGTTTATCCGTTACTCGGCGCCGAGGGTTGCTCAGCCAGGCCTAGGACCTGACAGACACATCTGATTGCGCGGAGCGCAAACCAAAGAACTGGGGTTCTGCACGGTCGTAATGTTTTCTGACTAATTTATTCGCCTTGTGCTTCGGACCCATCTTGACTTGTAGCTTCTCCGAACAATGTATGTTACGATAGTTGTAGTGATAGTAGAACCTCTATAGTCATACTTTCCCGACGTACTCCTTCCCCTCTACATACAGCAGTGCCTGTTACTTCGATTCTCCAATTTCACTCTGCTCTCGTCAATGTTGCTTGATTGTCTGATGCCCGCAAGCTGATCGCAGTGTAAGTGTGACCAACATCGCGCATAGTCACAGCACGTGGCGAGCAGTCACAGTGACACGCGTTCAACGCGTCTATATGCAATTCCGCTCACCCTTTTCTTCACTTTCACCACTTCGTTGCGTCATTTCGCCATGTTCTGCCAAGTCTGTTCGAAGGGCCGATTCCATCAAGGTCTGCCCTGCATACAGAACCGCTCACCATTGGAGCCGTTAGCGCGGTCAGCGATTGACAGTGTGTTCGTCTGAAGGGTCACCTGCCAGAGCTGTAAGATCCAGCAAAAGCTGCTCATTAGCAATGAGCAGATGGCCACTAAGCGCAAGACGGGACTCCCGTGAAAAGGCTACTGCACCGCCTGCAATGTCCGTCTGACAAGGGACCACGAACGTTACGATGAGTGTAATGATGATAGTTACCAGGCATGCGAGTCCTGTATGTGTCACCACAGCCGCGGTGGGCGCACTGCCACTCTCGTCCCTTTTCGATCTTACTGCTCGCACTCCAACTTAGGCAGGCTGTATTGTGAAATGGAGCCTGAAGGATAGAGACCACGGCGATGGGGCAGGAGCCATTCCCTGAAGGATTCTACGAGCCTATACCGAGGACGCGCCACAACTGTCGCGAGATGACAAGAGTTTGCAATGAGGAATACTATCGTCCTAGCTTTTAGGAACGACATGGCATAACTCTGATTCCTTACTACACCTGCCTCGTGTTCGTATATGTGTAGCTGGTTTATTCGGCCGTAGCTTGGTATCCCGGAGTCTGATCACATTTGGTGAGCACTGTCTCATACAGAAGCTGACAATCCAACATGAGACTATAGAGCATCAGATAACATGCGAAGACAAATATGAATAAAGATGCGACTTAGAGCCGCTTCTTGCCAACAATCGCGCTCTTCGCACTCTTGGCAGCGGGCGAGCTGTTCACGACCTTTCCCTTTTTCTTCTCCGTCCCCGACAGTGCGCGCTTCTTCTTCAAGTCGTCCATTGATAATCCACCCGTCTCCGCCGACGCCGACGTAGGGGTGCCTTTGTCAGCGTGAGCGGCAGACGCGGCATCCCCCTTCCGTTTCCTGATCTTCGGGAGCGGCGTCTCGGGTGCAGCACTCCCCTCGTCCGCGAGCTGCGCAATAGCCTTGCTAAGTGGTGTCACCTCGACCGTCTTCGCCTTCTTCTTTTTCGCCGCACTTGCATCGGCCGGCGTGTTGGGCGGCGGCGCAGGGCCGTCCTCGAAGAAGTCGACCGCCGACGCGCGCGCTTTCTTCTTCCGCGCAGCCGCGGGCGTAGCAGGGTCGCGGGGCTCCGCCGCTGATCTGTCATCTGCGAGCGCTGTAGACTCGACAACAGGCTGTGACGACACGCCTGTATCAGCCACAGACTTGCCCTTGGACTTCTTCTTAGGCGCGCCTCCATCGCCTGCGGGTGCGGGTGCTGCGTGTGCCTGCGCTGACGTGCTGGCCGCAGGCGTCGCGGACGACTCGGTCTTCTTGGCTTCTCCTTCCGCTTTACCCTTCTTCAATTTCTTTGACGGGACGTCCGACGCCACCGCGTTCGGCGCGGCGAGCTTACTGCTGATGCTTTTTGCAGCGGGGGTGGCTTTCTTTGACTTGATAGGGGTTTCCTGCGCCGGTGACGCTTTTATTTTCTTTTGAGGCTTGGTGGTGTCGTCCTCGGCCGCGCGCTTCTTCCCCTTGCTCTTCTCCTGCGACGACTCGACGACATCAACCACCACGCTCGTCTTCTTTGATGCAGCGGATGATTTTTTGGTCGACTCCGCGGCCTCCTCTTTCTCTTCACTCTCGGTCTCATCCCCGCTGTCCTCGCCCGCAGACTCCCGCGCAGTCAGGCCGTCCCACCGGGCACCCTCCTCATCGCCCAAGTTGCAGCTCCATATGGGCAAACTCGCGGATGAATTTGTTTTGATATGTATGCTTTGGATGTTATCCCATTCGCCCTTGATATTCTTGACGATGGCTGGGAGTGCCATCTTAAGGTTGTCGAGAATCTGTGCAGGAGTCTGAGATAGGGCGCCAATCTTGACAGAGCTAGAGGGTTATGATCTTTTAGAACCTCGATTAATGAAGGATATGGGACATAGTACGCACGTGCATGTCCCCTGGTTTTGGTGGAAATAGGTAGATGAGATAGCGCGCTCAAGCTCGCCCTTGAGATCTTTCTTGGTCAGGGAAACGGGAATTGGCTGCCTGTGCAAGCAATCTCAGTAATAATAACAGCGGCTCTTGCAGTCGCACCTACTTCTTAGCCTCGAAGAACTTTTTGCCAAGTAAGCCCGGGAGTAATGGTATGACTCGTTCGTCGGCAAGGAACAAGCCATTCTCCTTCAGAAGCAGTCTCCGAGCCTCGAACGGCTTGAATTTCCCCTTCAGCTTCGTAATGCCGACAACTCGCGAGATGAAGCGAATGCCATGTGACTCAAGGAGATCCTTGTACTCCCGCTGTGGGTCCTTCGTGATGAGGCAGACTGATGACGTGCGAGGATCGACGAGAGGGTGCGCAATGGGTCTGCACTATGTCAACGAAATCTAATACATGATTCTAAACCAAAGACTTACATTTTGTAAGGCTTCGGCTTCTTCTCTGGGTGCATCTGCTTCACAGTGACCACGAACCAGACATTCTGCTCCTTGCCTGGAAGGAGCTCCTTTTCAGCTTTCTTCTCCTCGATTTTTCGGACATGCTCAAGCAGTGCGTTTACAGCAAGCTTGCATTGCCTCTCAGAAACATGTTCGCCGATGAGATCCTTTGCCATCCTAGTGACCCTGAAGTCGTCGAAGAAAAGCAAGCAGCGAATGTATCAGTCCAAAAAGAAGGGAAATAGCAGTGATCGAATAATGGAAGTGAAAAATACGGTGCACGTGATGCCGTCAGCGCGCAGCGCGCCAATTGACGAGGTCGACGCGAAGCTCTAACGCGCTACGATGAGGCTTTCTATAACTTTGCTAGCGGCATCACTCTATGGTGTTACTCAAGGGCTTGTTAGTGGAGATTCACTGGAATTGCTTGTCTATCGCGACTGGGACACCGCCGAATGTACCTTTGCATCGCTGCGAGGGGAGCTCAGAGGCAAAGCTAGGTATAGTGTGTCCGGATCGCGCTCTCACCTGGCCGAGACGAGAGAAGAGCGCCTCCGATTTATTAATCAGTATCCTGAGAGGCTCTGGGAACAGCTGCACTCTCTGTGCGGAGAGCACGGGGCCTGGGACTTCCCTATCTTCATAGACGACAATATTCCACTCATTGCGCCGTCCGTGGAAGCAGACCAACAAGTGCTCTCTGAGCCGACCACGGATCTCTTTACCCGGAGGGTTGTACCTCCGACGCTCGAAATGCAGCCGCTTATTGGCTCAGGACACTCAGACAATCGAGTGGATCTCGTATTCTTTTCAGATGGATGTGTGTGATTCATTGGACTGTCCCCGGAAGTACGATCATTGACTATAAACAGATACTGCCAATGAAAGAGACAAGTTTATTTCAGATGCCAACCGTTTGGCGTTGGACATTTCAGGGAACCAGACCTTCAACACGGTCAAACCCCTTCTCAACTTCTGGGCTGCATTTGTGCCCAGCAATGAAGTAAATATATCCCCCGTATCTTTAATTTGTAGCATTTCAACTATTCTCAGAGCGGAATCGGAAGCGGGGGGAAACCCAAGGAGTAACCAATCTGCATATGTCTGATAATATCATATTCACCTCGGATTGTTTGATAGCACACCATTTGGTCTCTTTCGCGATGGGACGGAGCTGCGCGGCGTCTACTACAGTAAGCCAGAGGTTGCGAGGGCAGCGTGCCTATCGCTGGGAGATAAGTGCGACTATCCAATCTTGATGGGTAGATGACAGCAGCCTGCGCGAATAGACGTAATACTAACACGGAAACATCAGGAAACGACCCGCTCTATGGTGGTACGCGTTTCGTCTCCAAGATCTCAACTTAGCTAAACCCGGGCTCCTGACTAGGACTGGGTGGAGAATTCACGTAGGTCTTTACACCGTACATAAAGCGAGAGGCCGGCTCTGAGCTCCAAAATATGGCAGTGTTATCACACCTTCACTCGCCAATGGTGCACTCGTGTTACGGTCAGTGATGCCACCAGTCTCGCTCACGACTGAGTCCAATTTTATCCTAAGACATGAGCTCGGACATTCTATCATTGAAATCGGCGAAGAATACGACGGCGGTTATGCCTACTTTGGCGTGAACGCTGCCAACACGCTGTCCACGCCTATTCCTTGGTCCCACTGGTTTACACCCGGCCCCCATTCCGGACACACAGTTTCAGGCGCGCGCGTCGAGCGCTCAGCGATGCCTCTGCAAGCATATGCGTGGACGATGCTCAACACGACGGCATCGTGGTCTGTTCGCTTCAACTCATCGGGCACGTACGCGCGACACCTCGTGCGCTTCTCACTCTCCGGCCTCCCCGCGCAATCGGACCTGAACGCACAGCTGGACGGCGAGACGCTACCGTGGGCGCCGCGACCAGACATCGGCGTTGATCGATGGCATTATGACATCCACCGGGGGAACAGCCTAAGCGAAGGAGAGCACGCGCTCACATTCACGCTGTTGAATGGCAAGCGGGAGGGCATCGCGCAGCTGTGTAGCGCGGAGATACTGGAATTCGGCGATGAGGGCGAGTGAGTTGCCGCCTCCATTTTTTGTAGTGATCATCGGTTGATATTGACGGTGATCACAGATTTGTATCAACTCCTGGTCATTACGGCGTGTTTCCAACGTACGTTGGGCGCTTGATTCGTACCCATATGGATTGTGATTGACCAAACGAGTAGATTCTCGAACAAGAACCAAACATCGTATCGTCCCACCAACGAGGACTGTCTCATGCGCATTGTGACAACTCCCAACTTCTGCAAAGTCTGCCTAGAGGGTCTCTGGCTTTCACTGTTGCGTCGCGTCGACCTCATCGATAGCTTTCGTGTGGGCTGTGTAGAGACGACAAGCGACACGCCCAGCCCCGCTCCAGATGCGAAGAAATGGAAGAGAACACTCGAAGTCGACTTAGTGCCCCTGGCGCAGTTCAGAGAAGAGGGTATCGATGGCGACGAGAGCTACACCATCACATGGCTCAAGGATCGCGAAGTACTGGAGGCATTCACCAACAAGACAAGAGTGGAAGTGGATGACAACGAGCTTGCGCTCGGCTCATACATCGTCGACGTCCAGTTCACCACGCCAGAAGTTCGCGTCGACAAAGACCACTTGCTCATGTCTCGCAAGGAGGCGCAGATTACCAGCGAATGTGGAGCTTAGAGACCACGAGTACTGGACATTGGCTGTGGCTGAGAAGGTTGAGAGTTTGGTATGCGTCTAGGAAATATTGTAGGGTACTGAGGACATGCAGGGTATTAGGGTGTAAGGAACGTGTCTGATGCAAGCTAACGCGAGAATCCCGGCGAGAGAAGATTGAAATCACAAGGCTAACTGTACACGTAATGTATTTAAAATGCGTCTGCGCGTCGTAGACCAACACAGCAGGTAAGCGTAAGCGGGATGGTAAGTATCGATGGCCACGTATGTGACGGCCAAGCAAGGAGCGCCACGACGCGCGAAGGGGAACGGACGGAGAAACCCGAAAATAGAACGTCCCATGTAATAAGATAGGAGAGGCACGTACAACAAGCATGGTACAAGAAGCGGAGCAGCTCACGCTGCATAATGAGTACCAAAACAGAGCGGATGAAGGCTGTCAAGAAGGCAAAACGCGACCAGAATGTCACCTCACATAATGACACACTTACAACAACCCGCCCCTTTGTCGTCGTCCACCTCCAACTTCTGGACGGGTGGCTGAATGGCTTGTACTTCGCCATTCGCCAGTGCCGTGGCGTAGTGAGCAAAGGGTGGAGGTGACGGCGGCGGGGATGCACGACTACGAGCTCGGTCGGGTTCTGGCTCAGGAGATTTGATGAAGAGCGGCGCTTGCGGCTTCGGCTGCTCGTCGATAAGCTGGTTGACGGCATCCGTCTTCTGTCCGAACTCGTCGAGCGGTATTTGCTCTTCACCATCACCAGGTGGTGGCCGCCGACGGACCTTTGAGTAGTCAAATCCGAAAGTTCCAGGAGCCTGTGTGAACAAAATCATGAACAACAGCGGCCGGGAGTGGCCATTTGAAAATACGGTACGGCGCGCAGTCCGACGGGATTGCTCTAGTACTTACCGGTTCATACTCGGTTTCTCTGGTCTGCTTCGGCCGCGGGCTCCCATCGACAGTTGCGTAGTGGCCATCCAACCCTTTCTTGCGTGCGACAACTGGGAGCACGACCTGGGCGCATGCTCGATGTCAATTTCACATCGAGAAGTATCAGTGTTTTACTCACGTCATCCCAATTGCCTGATGGCGGCACGGGCTGCGTCCAAACAGGGATCGCATCCACAACGTCGTCGCCATCAGTTGCAGGGTATTGCCCAATCGACCGCCGGTTTTCTTCTTTCCGTGGGGTCATCCGCCGCATCGACGACGGGGGCTTGGACTTCTTTGCTGCTGCGGACCCCGAAGAGCTCGCCGCAGGGCTCTTCGCCTTCCGCTTGGCTGATGGCGGTGACCGCTGCGCCTGTGTCTGCGTCTGCGGCTGAGACTGTGAGCGGGGCATGCGTTGTGCGCGAGGGGTAGAAGAAGCGGAAGAGGTCGCGCCGTTCTCGGTGGCACCACGTACAGCCTTTGAGGGAGTAGGAGTGCGTGGTGGGGGTGATATCTGTCGGTATGAGGTGGGGGTTGGTATACGGGAGATATTGGAGGGTGTCGTGCGATGGCTACGCGCAGCAGTGGCACTCGTCTGCGAAGTATTCAAAGAGAGAGAGGGGGTAGAAATGGTGCCGTTGGGATGAGGCAAAACATCTTGCTCATATGGGTAAGCGTCTGCCTCCTCGTAGTTGTCGAAGTCTGCCTCTACGTCAGTAGGCGGCTGCTCGTCCAACACCATGGTCGAGTCGTTGGCATGCTCATCGTCGTCAATGTATATGCTTTCTCGCACAGTCGCACCAATGCTCTCCGCGCGCGGCCGAGTCCCATATCGAGAGGCGGAGAAATCCCTACCCCGAGAGTTGGATCGCGACCGTGACGTCTTGCTATGCGACGTGCCGTGCGAGGGTTTCCTGATTGTGTGCCCGTAACTTGCAATGTCAAGCATCTCGTCCCGCTTGCCCACGCGTAGCTCGCCCACTCCACCATTGCGAGACATGTCCCCTCGGTACCAGTGTTCGAACGGCCGTTCCTCCGACTCTGACGAATAGCGATGCGCGTCGAAGAATTCATGGTCGAATTCAGGCCGCGAAGACATATGGGAATCAGTGCCAAAAGGTGCTGACTCGCTGAAAATGTCCGACGTTTTGTGGTTGGGCAGTCGTACCGTGGACCGCGACGTGTACGATCGTTGCCCCTCCTCTACTGGATAGAGCTCTGGTACGTGGAATTCATGAGCTTATATCGCGAAGAAAGCAACATCAGGCGCACCTTGCTCAGTTCGCCCGACGCTTCCTTGCATTGAACCCTGTGTGTGACTGGACGTGCTCCCTGCCCTCCCTCGCGATACAGGTATACGGGTCGTCTTACCGTTCAGTGCGGGGGAGGCGGATCTAGAAGGGCCGGAAGAGAACGCGCTGCTATCTGTAGGATTCGGGGAATCGAATGCGTACGGTTGCGATAGAGTGCGGGAACGGGGTAGGTAAGCGGGATGCACAGCGCCGTTTGGGGGGTCGCCTGCTGTCCTCGACTGTTGCAGACTAGGCCGAGGAATGGCGCTCGGCCTCTGGTTCGTTATGGAATGCGTTGTCGGCGGCGTAGTAAGTTCTTGGCGCGCTATGAAGCCACCGGTCTGATATAGGTCGGTGGGGCCATCCGCTGAGCTCATCGACGCTGCAGAAATACGTTTAGCAAGCATCTGACTCTCATCCTTCAAACCTGTGTTAAGCTGTTAGTGCATAGTATGAACAATTGACGACGTTGATTCACGTTTGCGGAGGGTTGGGACGATAACCTCGTCCCATGCGGGTTCCCGAAAGGCAGATTGTGCGGTCGCGGTCAGTGCCATAGAAATAAAACGTAGCGATGCTGCCCTCCACAAGAATCAAAATAAAGAATGGCGGCAGTTGGACAAACTTGCGAATGGGGAAGAGCAGCTAAGGTGCACACCGCGGGAGATGGTTCCCGGATTTCCATCGTTGTAAGCTTAATGTAACAGGCGGAAGCCGCGAGATAAGGGTATAAACCCATAAGTATTGCTTCAGACAAGGCGCTTGTCCTGAGGTTACATTATTCAATTGTCCGCTCGCAGCCGTCTCTGCATTCGCCGTCACCATCTTCGCCGGCCTGCGAAAGGTAAGCGTTTGGCACTCTACAAATCCTTGAGGACATAACAAACACCTCACATAGATGAGCGCAGCAGTCGCTCGTGCCCCCCGCCATGTCGCGCCGGCAGTAGCGCAAAGCATCCGTCCAACCCGGGTACCACCAAAAATCCGTAAACCACTCCAGAAGGATGAGAAGGGACTCCCAATTCCGCACACAAACATTATAGTTCGTGATACACACTCATGCCGTCTGGCCGACCACTATTACAACACCGTGCGGGACGACATCATGTACATGACCTACAGGCACGAATCGTCTCGCAAGGCCGCTCGTGTCATCCGTCCTAAATACGACCCCAACGATCCGTATACCAAGCACCGGTACAATCCCCCAGTTGGCGGTGACCAGTACTTCAAGCGTCCTCCGCCGCCCGTAACTGTGGACAACGTCATCCAGCTTGAACGCATCCAGATACACAGCATGATCAAGGAAGCCCTCACTAGCCGGAGCAACCTTCTCGGCCCAATCATGGCATTTCGCGCAATCTCGGGCGAGTCTGAGCGGTCGGGCAATCAGCGCTCCGCCGGCGGCGTCGAAATCGTTAGGGGTCGCAAAAACATTGGTGGTTGGGTGCGTCCAGGGCAGCCTGTCGGTGTGAAGGTCGACTTGGTGGGTCCGAAGATGTACGACTTCCTGGGCATGCTCGTGGAGTTTGTCTTCCCGAGGCTGCGCGAGTTCCCTGGGCTGCTCATGCCAGGTCCTTCGACACAGCTATCGATACCCAGCGAAGCAACTGGCGTCGTATCGTTTGGACTGCCGCCAGAGGCAATGTCCCTCTTCCCACAGATAGAGGTCAACCTTGACGCATATCCCAAAACGTATGGTTTGCACATACACTTCATCACGAATGCAACGGGCGTAGGGGCACAGAATCGAGCACGAGCATTACTGTCAGGATTCCAGGTGCCATTCGCACGGCGGTGATACGTAGGTAACATCTTCTTCATGAATGCCAGTAAGACTAATTTGGCTCACGCAGGTGGGTGCTGTTGAGCTGTCACCGTCTGTACTTGATCAATTTTGCTTAATAGCATGGTGTTGCCGTCACGCCTGTTCTGTGTTACGGGTGGGCAGACGGCGAGAGACTGCGGACACTGCTGAATGCGATGTTTTGAACAGACAATTTCTGTGTTGAATGAGCGTACGCGTACCCTTAAGAACATGCGGGTCCGTCGGCACATATCGAGCGTAGTCTGAGTAGGTCCCTTTGGCTGACACAAGACGGGCGTGGAGGGGCGCAGTGCGGATATCTTACCTGACAGTGAGTATGCCTCGGACATCCTGCGATAGCATATACCGTAGGGTTTATTCTCGGTGGGCTTACTAGCATTGGTAAGAACCCCAGCTACGTCTGGACCCGGGTCAACATGATCACGGTCAGTAGGAGTGAGTGAATGATGTGCATTTTTTAATTCGTGTTCTGTATCCTGGCAAGGTCGGTGACTTATGCCGGATAGTACATGCGGGATATTGGTCCGTCGGAATGCCAAATCGTGAGTGGACTTCCCCACACTAATTCCGTTCTGCGCCGCGAGAAGTTGAGTCAATAAGTAAGCATTTCAAGGAAGCCGAGACCAGTTGTCTATGAAGTCGCGCCGCGCAAGTGACAGTCAATCAGTGGCTTGTAGACAGTTAGTAATTATTATTGTACACCAAGATATGCTAGCAGTTCATGCTTTGGATACATTCATGCTTTGGATACACACATGCTTGACTTCTTCACAGCCTGCACTCACTATCGCACCTTGAATATCTGTACAACAACGTCCTTCGCTGTCACCTCCTCCGACGGGTCCTTGACGACATAGTGGATTTCAACATCCAGCTCTCGAGAGTTGTCCGGGCTCTTGTGACATTTAAATGTTCCCTGTACGATTGTGCCTGCTCAGACCTTCCGGTCAGTAATCACCCAGGCCCTTCTGCACCGCGCGCGACGGGGCACTCCACGCACCTTCATGCACTGTGATTGGATCTCGCAGCAGGAATATCGTCTGCTTCCAGTGTGTCGGCACCGACGCCGGGCCTGTGCAGAAGCTCGTCACCTTGGGCTTGATCTTTGCCTTTAGACCCTCGCCCGAGCTCAGCCTCCGCGACGCGTGGGGCCGCCCACCCAGCGGCCACACCTCCGCGAGGATTGGATCGCCCTCGCGTGCAACGTACACCTCCGTCCCTGGTGGGATGGACTGCCCGTCCTCTGCAAAGAACACGTCGAAGTAGAGGACAAGTGCGTGGACTTTTGTTCGCCGCTCGGCTGTCGAGGTGAGAATGAAAGGCGCAGAGAAGTCGAGTTGCTTTGGGGTGATCGTTGCAAGGTGGAGGTCCTGCAGACGGAGGTGTAAGTGTTGAATGTTTGGGGAATAGATGAGGACATGAGACTGACCTTGACTGAATACGGCTCGCTGACCATCGTCTCTGGGCCCACGACGTCCACAATCGCCTCACTGTACACATCATGTGCCATCGCCGTGAGATCAAAGCCTGCAAGCCATTACAATAAGCGCTTCTCAACATCGCTGTCCGTATCACGCGTACCGTAAATATCACTCCAGAAGCCCACTCGCTCCTTGAAGATCTCGCTACCCTCGCAAAGCCCTAGCATCATCTTACACTCGCTCGGAGCCATGACACCATCAGGCCGAAGGAAGCGATCACGCGCGTGCAGCACCGAATCAAGCATTGACTCGTACAACAGCGCATAGCCCATCCATTCCGACACGATGATGTCAACTTGTGTGATGTCGTCTGGCAACATTATCTCCTCCACCTTGCCGCGGATGACACTACAACCATCGACATCGTGAGTTATAATGATTGATGCATGGGGAAGAGCTCACGTTATGACGTCATCGAGCTTGTTGTCCTTGACAATCTGCCGGGCTTTTTCTGCGATGTTACTCGCATCGACCGCAAAGACGCGCTTAGCGCCCGCTTTTGCTGCAAAGAGCGACAGAATGCCTGTGCCACATCCCACATCGAGGACAATAGCATCCCTGAATAGCTCCGCGCTTTCGAGGATGAACTTTGCATATGTTGCAGTGCGAACCTTGTCCTGGATCATGACCGAGTGGATGTCTACGGTCAGTAAGTCAGTCTCGCATGAGCGACCCCTTGCATGACCGTAGTACGTACCATTCTCGCCGTAGCTCTGGAAGTAGTGCGAGTCGTCATCGCGCAGCGGTGGTGCGAGATGGCCGGACGAAGACGATGCAGGCTCGGCGAGCGCGTCTCCCAGTTCCGTGCGCTGCAGGCGCTCACTCACAAACGCCCGGTAATCTGCCAGATCATTCTTCGACTTCTGCAACTTTTTTTCGAGTGCCCGGATGCGGCGGGTTGCACCAGCCAAATCGGTGGGGGCGCTGGACTCGTCTTCGGATTCATCCGATGATGACCAGTCCGCTGAATGGATTTCTGTCCAGGGGAGAGTAAGACTGGGTCGCATGCGATATATACGATGCTCACGAAGTAGTGGATCGTCTTCCAAGACTGGAATGAGATACTCGTCCGCGGAGAGGAACGGTTCATCGCCCCTTAGATTGGTTACTTGTGATGGTGCGGGTTTCTGAGCTATAAATCAGTGTGGGAGACAGTATGTGACGGGCACCATACTTCTTTACGAATCCAATTTATCAGGCGGATGCGCTGATGGGGGTCAAGAGCTAAGGGGACCAGTCAGGGGCCTGTAGCAGCACCTTGATTCGGATCGGACGCACACAGTCTCGAGCAAACGTTGTCCAGGTCTATCCCATGCACAAGCTTGTCGTGATTTATGGCTTCGGGGACCGTCGCGAAAGTCTTGTCGTGGTCGAACAGGGACGTGCACGGGCGATCCTCGACGCCGTCGGACACCCAGTCGTCCCAAGTAAGATCTTCATCATCAGACGAGGATGAGCGGTCAGATTCTGAAGCTGAGAGATGCAAATCCTCTGCTGCGAATTTAAGACTGGCCATCTCATGCGAGGAGGAAAGAATGGGGAACAAAATGCGATTCGCTCTTTCCGCCGCGCTCGCGAGTATTCTAAGTGTCACGTGCACCGTGATAGGGCGCTAACGCGTCCGCGAGATTCATCCGAACTCAGAAGTCCAACCGCGACTTTCACTGCCAGCAATATCCTCAATTTTTAAAGTCCAGGCATCTTACACGGTGCATAATCACATCTTGCGTTGGTTCAGTACTAGTGTGCTTGAAACCGACTGAGCACATCTCGGGTCCAGATCGCTACTTCCGCTATTGTTCGTCCAAACAATAAACGCTCTGGATCGTGTCCCGACTAGCACAGTACAGGCGCAGGGTCCTTAAAAAGTGCACGATGTCGGAGAGTATGCCCACTTCATACATAATGCTGGTCAACGCGGTGCTTGCGGCTTTCATACCTTTGCTGGTATACCTGCTTTATCTCGTCTTCATACAACCTCGGTTCAACCCCCTCAGGAAACTCCCTGGCCCTCCCAGCAAGAGATGGCGTGCAGACCATTTGGGAATGGTTATGAAGTGAGCACACGGATAAGTTTGTCTCGGCTACGAGACTTACGTCTGCAGCCCTTCCGTATCTCCTCGAATGCATGAAGCGTTCGTCAAACAATACGGCCGGAATATCACGATCCGCGGGCCTATACCTGTACGTCTTCTTTCACCTCAACCTCAGAGCGACATATACCGCATGGATAGCACGCCTGCAATGCAACATACAATAAGTTGACTGGCTCATTGATTGAGCGACAAGTATTTCATCACACGACCTCTGAGGCACCCACATGAGTGTTTTGTGATGGGATACTTGTGGTCATTCTATCAAGTATACCTTTGCATATGGGTGCACTTCTCGTTCAGGGAAAATTTGGTTTCACCCGATAACGAGAAGTAGCCTGACGCACGTACACAGTGAACCCGGTATGCGATAAACGGATGCTCGTTTGCTAATTTACACTTGTTGCTTGATGATTGAAGACGACTAGTCCCGCATTTCGATGACGGGTTCTCGATCCATATCCTCATCAAACTTAGATCGGATGCAGGTCATTGTCAGAGCTGCTGGACAGTCTTCGCATCGTTGGAGCTGCGCATTGTCAGCAACACTTGCCCGCTGGTTGACCCTTATGCTCGCGGTCGCTTCAGGGTGAATACCAGCGGATAGTATTTGTCGGAGATTTACTACATGTGCTAACCGCGATACGGGTACGCCTGGAGACGTGAATCTGGTTGCGAAGTAGAGGCTATACCTCTGGGATGCCCCTGTTCACGAACAATGTTAAACTGACTTGGGTTCTTCGGAGGCTCATAAATACAGTACTCACCAACTGACATGTTATTTAGTGGGACTACCGGTTCTTCACGCTCGATCCGGTTGCGCTCGGGCATGTGATGAAGAACTCGCATCTGTACGAGAAGCCGTGGCAGTCGCGCCGCCTTATTACGGGATTGATAGGATGTGGCATGCTCGCAGCGGAGGGGGCCGCCCACAAACGTCAGCGACGTGTCGCAACCCCCGCGTTCTCGATCCAGAACATGCGTGCCCTAGTTCCTCTCGTCTTTGCCAAGGGCCACGAGTTAAAGGAACGGTGGGCCGCAATGATTGCCGATCCTATTGCAGGAGACAGCGGGAAGGATGCACGACGCAGGATTGATGTATGCCATTGGGTCAGCCGGGCGACGTTTGATGTCATTGGGTCTGCTGGTAAGTTTTTGTAATTTGGGAATGGACCATGCCTCAACTGTCCACCATCCCCATCCTCAGGCTTCGATTATCAGTTCAACGCCATACAGAACGAGTCAAACGAGCTATTCAACGCATACAAGGAAATGTTTGAGGTTGCAATTTCGCAGCAGCAAGGCTCGTATCGCGGATTGTTCGCAATCTATTTCCCCATCATCGACGTGTTGTTTGTATGTCTTGCCCGCCGTATTCTGTGCCTGTGCTGATGTAAGAATAGCCAGATAAAGCTGTGCGTACCGTCAGGCGATGCCAGGGGGTCATTCGAAGAGTGGCCGGCCAACTTGTCCAAGAAAAGAAACGAAAGATTGCGGAAGCCGAGGCTAGCGGTGTCGCACACCAAGGAAAGGATCTGCTGAGCTTACTGTGTAAGTCATCTGTTGCGCTGAGCAGCTATTGGCTCATGGCGGTCTGCAGTAAGGTCCAACGCTGCTGCGGACCTTCCGCCTGAACAACGTATCTCTGACGAAGATATACTGCATAACATCAATACCTTCATGTTCGCTGGTTCCGATACCAGCTCGCTTTCGATCACCTGGACGCTCTTCCTTTTGGCGCGATATCCCTCGATCCAGACGCGCCTACGCGCCGAGCTCCTCGCTGTCGCGCCCACAGCATCTCTTGCGGCGCTGACATCAGAGGAGATCGCCTCCTTGTACGCGGCAGTCACAGACCTTCCGTTCCTCGAGAATGTCGTGCGCGAGTCGCTGCGCCTCATACCGCCCGTACACTCTTCGATCCGTGTTGCGACGCAGGACGATGTTGTGCCGACGTCTGTACCCGTCAGGACGCGCATGCCTGACGGGAGTGTGCAAGACCTGATGCATGTCATGGTTCCGAAGGGCGCCTTCATCCACGTACCGGTAGAAGGGTTCAACATGGATAGGGAGGTATGGGGACACGATGCATGGGCGTTCAAGTGAGTTTGAATTGACGTGATGGGGTGGACATATTGCTGACGCTCGTACTCAGTCCTGATAGATGGGACAACCTCCCCGAAGCCGTCGCGTCTCAGCCTGGTTTGTACAACAATACATTGTCATTTTCCGCAGGTCCTCGGGTAAGCGGTACCGTTTCCGCATTATCATCCCCTCTGAGCGCTCCGATCTAGTCCTGTATCGGCCTGCGCTTTTCTATCATCGAGATCAAGACGTTTCTTTATATCCTCCTGACCAATTTTGTGTTTGCGGAGACTGAAAGTCAAGTCGGCAAAGCCAACGTGTACGTACCACCGTCTTCTCACTCAATGTCACGCTGAACCCTGACATCGCGCAGAGTTCTGACGCGACCATACGTCATCGGAAAGCACATGGAGGGCAGCCAGTGTCCTCTGTACGTGTCTCCATACGTGGCAGAAGCCTAGACTTTTTAAGCGTAGGCCGCTACGTCCACGTCAGCCCTACTAGCTACTCATTTTACTGCCTAAATTATCTCAGTCGTATTCACGTTGTATGCAGCTCTGTATCTCCGCCATTAATGTACAATGACCTCGTATCAATTCTTCCGTTACAGAATGTGAAGCAAATTCACCGCGTCACCAGCGTAAATGTTAGTGCCCATATGCCGCTACCAATCTGCTCTTCACATAGTCCCCTGCGGTGACAACCTCATACTTCTGCGGTCGATCTGCTGAAACGCAGCTCGGGATGGGCTGTGAGACGAGCCTCAGCGGAAGTTCGTATGCTGTGTTCATACTTGCGCATACCTCCAGTTTTACATCATAGTCAGTGCCGAAGAAGAGCGGGATGGAATACCGACGGACTCCGCTGCGGTTGATAGCTCGGTGCACAGTGGATTTGAAAACGTCGTCTGTGATGACAGGGTTAGCGAGGCCTGCGTTCATGCATGCCGAGGGTACTCACTCGTCCATCGTGCGAACTGGTCGCCCAGGCTGATATTTTCTTTAATGCAGGGATAGACTATTACATTGTAGGCGCTTACTTGATAACAAGAGTGCCAGGGATCGGAGGCGCATCTATCCATTGACCTTGCCTGGTGAGAACTTGCAGCGCTTGTATGCCTGGCTCTTGCCACAGTATTGTGAAACACTGACATCGGATCTGTTAAGCGGTTTATTCGTGCCGACGGGAAAGCGAGACCAGACCTCAAAACTAGTTGCCCAAATATTGATGAGACGTTCAGTAGCGTATGATACGATCCATTTTTCATGCTCACTCTGTGTGGGCCCCAATGCCAATGACCCGGTCGTCCACAGGCCCTGTTTGCGGGGGGTAATGTAGAATACGCATGATGGCAGCCGAACTTTTCGTCTAGTATTCTTGTATGAGACGGAGGGCTACATCAGCATGGTAGCCTCACCTTGTCGTCAAAGTAGTCTTCCGGCAATTCCAAGGCGAGTGCAAACAATGGGAACAGCTTTCTACCGAGCTCTACAGCTGCATGGCTCCAGTGTTGCGTGAGCCTCTCTTTATCATTATGTGACGGGATTGTCACCATGATACATACTAGTATGTTAGGGCAGCTTCACGGAAACCAGGCGGGTGTTTCGGCCAGACATTGGCACCGGCCATTGCCCCATCTTGAGTTCGTTCCTCGACGCTTTCTGATCTATTCAGATCTTCCCAGCTAAACTCAAAGCCTTCATGCATGTCGCCGTCATTATCGGGGTCATTGTTGCTGCTCCGGACAGGATTGTATCCTTTGAAATTCGGGGTCTGACGAAGATCCAGCTACGCAGTGTGGCGTAATCTCAGCAACCATAAATTGGGTTCTGAGAGACACGGATAGTTCTACATACTTCCATTTTCTCTTCAAGTGGAAGAGAGAAATAGTCTTTGGCGGCAGAATAAGCCTCATGAATATTAGGGCTAGGGATGCCATGGTTGGACACTAAGGCCAAATGTCGCGTTGTAGCATATCGCAAATTGTGCGACTTGTATAGGAACACGCACCGTAGAAGAAGCCTACATTCATGCAAGCATCTCTTATCGTTTCGCTCAGGCTACGCCTCAGGGATGGATCCTGGCCGACTCCGGGGATATTCTGTAGATCACTTTCAAAATAGAAGAGTGTTATACCCGCATGCACAAACTCATTAGATAGGTCGGCCATACATTATCGGAATATGACTGCATGCTTCCGACTCTGCTTTACATGCGGCGTCAATGAGGGACATGATCAGTTGGAGGTCTGCGATAAGATGTGAATTTGAATGTGTACGCCTTTTGAATTTGATTATATACTTGGTGAACACGTGCCGTATTTGGCAGGAACCTACTTCGAGTGAGCATTAAGTATGAGTACTTAGTAACCTCACTACTTGTTCTCTCGGAGTACGGATTGTCAGCTTAGGTGAACGTTCTCCAGACCTCAACATATTCAACATATTAGATGATGGGCCCCATTACAAGCTTCGTATGCGTAGAGGCTTGCAAATGCGGTCGTGAGCAACGCCCTACAGTGACGGGCCGGGCCATCCATAGCCTAAGCCTTCTAATCTAGTATAACCCCTGCATCTGAGTTGCCCAAGGGTTAGGGCCTGTTCAACGATGGGCGGGCATCACGATAACACGTTGCACCACATCCTTAAGCTTCTTTTTCATAATGTTTACTGACCCTGACGATGAAGGACCCGACCAGCTATGCGCAGAGGAACGCAGGGCGATCAATGAGAAACTCTTGATGTTGGCGAACGAAGTCGAGTTGGAACCAGACGTGATTCGCAGTGTACCCACCACAGGCGCTGATTTTCTGCAAGAACTTGCTGAACTTGGAGCGATCGACGCTAGATATCAGAACCGCACAACAGCTAGGACTTCAATGAAAAATTATCCAAAGCTAACAGAGTTGCTAGCAGGCGCCCTCGCCAAGAAGGACTTCTCCGCCATATGTCGCCTCCGTAAGTTACATATTGCACCAATACAGCGACCGGTATTCGGTTGATAATATGTACAGAGCTTCTGAGACCGACTGCGACATGGCAACAATCTGCAAAGGATGCCGGTATGTGGCCGTCCGTCAATGAGGAGAAAAGTAAGTGAATCGACATTGTCACTGATCGCATGGATATGTCTGATACAAAATTTCACAGAACAAGGTATTTTTCCGGCGATGTTGCTTTGTGAGATACTCAAGGATGTCGACAGCGGTTCGTGATGCATGGGCAAGTCCATACATCGGCGATGCACACACAATGCTCCTCGAGAATGTGCGCCGCCTCAATGAGAATCGGCGTCCAAGCCCGTACAGAACGAGCGTGCTGGTTTTGCAAAGCTCTGGGACAGGCAAGTCTAGGACAGTAGACGAGCTCGCCAAGGATATCTTCGTGATCCCTCTCAACATTCGAAAAACGGCCCCAGGTCAGCCTATGAGCCGCATAATAGCTTGTATAAGCTGACCTGTCGGTAGGCTATCCATATCCTCATGCCGATACTAGCATATCTCATTACCTCGTCGGATACTACCATTCGTGGGACGCTGCCATCGCCGCCTACTACAGCTTCTTTTCATGCTTGTTTTGTGGTATACTCGCAGAGGTCAAAGCGCATTTGAAATGTGATTACGAGGATGCCATGGAACTTGCACAAGCTTGGCGCGCACACCTTATGGCCATAGATGCGGGGTGTGCTGATCGGCGCACCAACAGGGAAAGACTGTACGCAGACATCATAGAGGTCCGTCCCCCCAGTTACCTGTCGGCGCGCGTCAATATCACCTGTCATATTATACGTATAGAGAGCCTATGGCTCTAAAGGCGACCTGAGTCGTGATCTCAATGAAGCTTGCGACCGCATCGTCAGGCAGGGAATGGCACTTGCGGATGAAATCGCGAAACGTGTAAGGTCGATCGACAAGAGACTCGTGATTGTGATGTATGTGGACGAAGCCCATATGCGGCCGGTTCGAAAATTGACACGCTCGATGGCATCCCTCGCCTCTGTTACCATGCTTTCCATTCGGTGCTCTTGAAGTTACACGCCTTACCGATGTTCACCATCTTCCTGTCTACAAACCCACATCTGCACGCACCATCACCCGACTACAGAGAGTTCGGGAGCGACTGTATTCCAGCTCCCTGCAACGAGATGCCTTGGGATGTCTTTCCAGGAGGAGAGATTCTTGCCTATGAGGGCCAGAAATCACTCAAGGATGTCTGCACACTTGAATTCATGTGCAATTTCGGACGTCCTCTGTAGGTGTATTATCCGGTCTATATACTGTCCGGTATTGACAGATAAACTTCAGATGGCAAGCTCTCTACACAAGTGCGCATGAGAGGGTTCGTGCTAGTGTCGTGAATGTGGCAATCTCGAAATTGACGGGCATCTACAACTACACCGACGCTGATGATGCAAACCTGAGAGACGTCCTGGACGATGCCCGTCTTGCCGCCCTCAGCGTCCGACTCCTTCTGGAGTATCCACCACTCAACGAAGATTTCATCCTTACGGGAATGCGTCTAGTGGAGTCACACATGGCCATCGCCTACACCTTCAAGGCGGATCGTCAGGGGTTGACGGCGGGATATCCATCGGAACCCATCGTTGCCGAAGCAGCTGCGCAAGTGATGTGGAAATTCAGAAGACCCGTGTCGGAAGTATTAGCACAGTATGTTACGAGTGGGATGGTCCCTATCGGAACAAGGGGTGAGCTAGTGATGCGGCTGCTTCTCATCAAGGCCTTCGATTGGGCGGCGACGAGATTCTGGAGAGAAAGTGAGCTGATTGACCGGCCGGTGCACCTCTTCCACTTCCTGTCAGAGCTCTTCGGGCCTGAGCACCTGAGCCACATCAAGAAGGCTCGCCCCGACAACTGTGGTGACAAGCAGACATTCGAAAAAGCTTTCAAGGACGCGTACATTCGTTTCACGCACTTTGCGAGGATGGAGGACGACAGTTTGGTGAGTTCGCAGGGGGCATGGGCAGCGATAATGCGCGGGATAGCCTGGCTGTGCTCCCCGACCCAGGAGACCGTCGACTGCATTATTCCGGTGACCATCGGCACGGGAATGTTGTCAGAAAAGACAATGACAGCAATCTTCATCCGCGCGAGCAACCGGCCGAGGTCCACACTACACCCCATCGACGAAGCTAGCCTGAATGGGCGCAATGGTCGGAGCTTCTTTCCAGAGGATAGCACGACGCCACGGCCATATATCACGATTGTGATGGAGTTTGGCATTCAAACAGCAGACAATTACGCGACGACGTCCACGGTGGGTCCCGACCCGCACAACCCAGCGACCCACCAGAGTTCTCCAATGGACCATGGGTCGGCCAACACAGCCCTGCATCCGCGTTACGCGATGGTTGTGTACGGCTGTTCGCGCAAAGTGTACAAAGTCATCCAGGACAAGAGATCATACAAACTGCTTCTGAATGGGCGAAATATCTATGACGATCATCCCCGTCAAGAATCGGTCGAGTGGTTAAGGCGCATCAGAGGCTGGTCCGCACGAACCTCCAGCATGAAATGGGCAGATGACACAGAGTATCTATCAGAAGCGGGCGAGGACGGGGAGATGGCTGCTGCACGAGAGGTACAAGACGATGTTGGATGGATTGACATCTCGACCCGTCCTGATGCGTCTGACGATGATGGAAACTCGAATGTCTAGCTGTAATCGAATGAGTTTGGGTCTTTAATCTTTGTTCATTCGCGCACCTTGTCTGCGCCCATGCAGAGCCGGGACTGAATTGTATCGCGATGCCCGAACTCAATGGAGTAAGCAAACATTGAGCCGATGAGGTACAACACTATGATGGTAAGCTATCGTAAGTACTGTATGATCTCTACCGATACAACTAGGTCCTATGAATACACGTCATATTTTGATTCAATCAAACAGACTTCAGCAGACTCCCCAATCGCTCTTTATGCCGTTCTTCCCCCAATCGTTCTATGAACTGCAGTCGCATTGTCTTCCACTCTCCTATCTGATCATAACAATGTGGAGGAACGAGGATGTTACCCTGCTGAACTTGCTGATATAGAACCACTTCCCGCACAGCGTCGAATCCAGCCTGGTCCACGAAGGCTTGGAGAAGTTTATTCGCCTTCTCTGCGCCATCATCTCGTAAGTCCGGCCATATATTGCATGCAATATGGTGTACGGCCACGAAGCGGAGGAAACCGACCAGCGTACCCGTTGCCAGCGCGCGGAGATAGGAGCCAATCACTTGAGGATCGGTCTCCACAGGCCAAAGGAATTCAGCCACGTTCTCCGTGATGACGTCCTCAATCGGCGTGCGCACGGTCTTCAGTATATGTGAGTAATCAGCCCACAGATACTTGCGGTAGTCCAGCGGATAGCGCATCGACAAGGGCGGCAAGAGCAAGCGTCCAAAGAGTGGGTGCGCAAACGAGATGGCGTCGTATAGGCCGACAAAGTCGGTATAGAACTGATAGAATGGTGTTGATGCTCCAAGGAAACGAGCAGCGACAATCTCTAAGTTCTGTGACGTGCTCTCCAATGGCGGCGCTAAGAGGGATGTCGACGATGCGGCAGCGGCAAAAGGCGCAACCAGTTCGTCCATCAACTGGTTGACAACAGTGTCTCGGAATACTTCTTCGACTGAGTTACTTTGTTGCTGCCCATGCTCGAGCATGAAGACTTTCATACAAGCGAAGGAGGTCTCTTCTCGCGATAATCCGAATGCATCCAACGCATGCCGGAGAAGGATCTGCTTGTGTAGTTTGGCGAATAACAGAGTCGCACGCACTACTTCGGTCTCCGAAGCGTCCCACCATGACGGCATGTGTTTGAAGACGTCCGATTCACCTGATCGCAAGAGATGGTCCAGCGGGATGAACATCCAGTCTCTGAAGAGAGGCAATGGGTGTCCATGGCGAGCGCCAGGGCGGAAGAAGTGTAATGGCGGGAGCCGCTGAGTGGTGCTTGATGACAGAGAGGCAGGGGACGGCACAGTAGGGCCGATGCAGAGATCCTCTCTCGCTTGCAAGGAGAACACGAAAAAAGGCTTCAGGACCTTCAGTCCGCCTTTCTCCCCAATTATCGGAGGAACACCCCAACCGCGTGAACTCATGAAATCTGGAGTGACAAGATCCACAACATGGTCCAGCATGGCACGAGCAGCTTCCTCGTCGCCCGGTAAAAGTCTTTTCAGAATTGAGAACGCTTGGCCCATCCACAGGTCATCATGTGTATCGGGCAGGCGACGTGACAGCTGCACGTAGTATGAGAGCAGGAGAGATATCGGCCTAAAGAAGACGTGTGCATATGATGGCGCACTCGCGGAGAAGAGGGTTGTCCAAATGGGGTGCGTCGTCAGCGAAGCGCACAGCTCAGAGAGTTCGGCAAATGGGAGGATAAAAGGAGGGATTTCGGGTGGTCCTGCAAGCTGGGGTGCAAGACAGGACAACCATAGACGTAAAGCAGCGGCCAGCGTTCGCAAATGCCGCGCGAGCTCTTGCAACAGAGGGACGTCTTCTGTTCGTAGAGCGTTACATCCCAATCGGCCCAGCGTAAGGCTCAGCGATTGCCCTGCTCGCTGGACGACCCGCATCTCGGGGCCATCCCGGAATCCATCTCGAAGCGCCTCGATCGCTGACTCCCTCTCGCTTTCACCCCCACGGACGCCATTCACCTTCGCACCCTCGAGCCACGCCGCCTCCGTACTCCACATGGAAGCCCATAGTCGGTCGTCCTGCTCGGTTAACCGTACTCTCATCTCGAGCACATCCACGCCCCATCCCCAGGAGACAACTTGGCTCCACAAGATCTCGTGGCTCGGCGTTGTACGATGCGGGTCCCGCGCACACACCATCCATGTCTCCAGCACGCCGAGCCATGCCCCCCTCAGCTGTCGTGACTGACACGCCTCTGAAAACACGAACCGCCCTACCTGCGCAAGATGCTCCGCCGCGGTTGTCGCGATGTGTGCATACAGACCATACGACGCCAGTGCGGCATAGACGCGGAGGGTGCCCGCGAGTAGCGCGCTCGCGAGCGGCGGGGAGAAGGACGACGTGGGGGGCGTGGTTATCACGAAGCGAAGTAGGGCGTCCGCTGGGCCAAGTAGCGTGGAAGCATTATCGCGCGACGCGAGTGCCAGCGTGGCCAATACTCGCAGCGCGAAGGGATCTGGTAGTCTCGATTGCTCGGTGGGTCGAATGGGCGTGAGCAGAAATGTCTGGATTATACCGCGCACGAGTCCATCTGTTGTGACGATCATCCCCGCAATACGATTGGAATGTTGGGCGAGACGATGCAGTATGGCGAGAAGCTGAGATAGAGACTCTGCTGGCAGTGCAGCCGTCGCAAGTGCACTCGCGATTTGTGGAAGCACGTAGTCCAGCGGCAACGTTGACAACACATCTGCGGGGGGAGTCGACGCATTCGAGGGGGACGAATCGTCCTTGGGAGCGCTTTGAAGTTCCACACCTTCGATGTCCACGATGTCTTCATCCCAGCTTACAATGCATTCCCACATGACCTCCACGGCCCTTGCACCAACGCTTCCGCGCTCTGCCATAGCCTCCACGCCAGCGGCCATAATTCGCTTCCGAATCTCGGCCTCCCGGCCTACCAGCTCCTTGATATTCTGCGCCGCGTCACTCCTCCCCTTGCTTAGTCTCCGGGCTATTCGCCCAAGAACATCGAGCATGGTTGCTCTCTGAGCCGGCAGGGTGGACCTTGACAGTAGGAATACATCATTTAAAGTGTATCCGGCATGCTCCCCGTCGGCATGATGATGTAGACCGAGATGTGTGGGCAACGAAGAAGAGACGTCCGGCGAGATCGGAGTACCAGTAAGATCAAAACGGAGAGTATAGGAAGACGGTATGTCCGAGGTCGAGGGCCCGGTCTCAATCCAGGCCAGCGAAGGATCGTGAGCAGGAGCGGTCGGGAAAAATCGCCGGCGGATGTCCTCTGGTGTGCCCTCCTCCAACGCGTCGAGAGGAGTGATGTTTGGCCCCGACGCCAGCTTCTCGAGTGCCTCAGGCTCCCTCCGACGGACAGATGGGCCAGTCTTGCTCTTCCACTCCCCTAAAGAGATCGTGGGCCCGTCATCGTCGGTGGGCGAGAGGAGCGCAAGCGGTTTTTTCCGCGGTGATGGCGGTGCAGATTCGTACACATAAATGTCATTTGGGGTCACGTCTGCGAAGCGAACATTACGGTCGGCTCTGCTCGATGGCCGCGAGCCAGGCCTTGACATTGCTGAAGGCGGGCTACCTGGTCGCGACTTTGTCCCTGTTGTATTTCTTGACGGGGAACTAGCGGATCGTGCTAAATATACAAATATGAGTGATTGCAAAGCACAAGGAGCAGCGAATGCAACAAACCTGCAGCAAAAGCGCGCTCAGTCGATATGGATGGTGCATGGGATATCTCCTCTATCCCCTGCGTCTCTTCTTGCTTCCGGCGGGGCGTTTCCCTTGCCTCCCTCGCCTTACGTAGGATATCGCCTACATTCGGACCAAATCGTTCGAGAATCTCTTTCCTTTCTTCCTCACGTTCGTCTTCTGTCATACCTTCAACTCGTCTCTGATTCTCCTCATCAATTTGTCGACGCCAGACCTCTGCTCCTCCCTTGGATCCATCGATTGCAGTCTCGGGCGAGCGCAATCCGTCGCGAGGCGCTGTGTGGACTAGAGGTACTTGTTGAGGCCTGTCCGCACTGCGGCGCCTCTCTTCCGCTCTCGTGCGGGAGAATGCACTTTTTGAGCGGTGTTGGACGGCAGGGAATCCCGTTTTACCAGACAGAGTCACTCTCGGAGAAGGCGTAGAGGGCGCTGAACGAGGATTGCGCTCTAAGATGGCACCAATGAGTGCCTGTGCTGGTGACTGCATGCTGAATCGGATCCAATGAATGCTATTACAAGTAGAATAGTCGTGAGCTCCTTCGAGGTCAGGTAATCGGGTCACATACGAGTATGACGATGAACTGCTGTGAGGAAGATGACGTGCACCTAATATCTAAACTTATATGATGCCAGCACGCGGTATATGCGTGCAAGAGAGATGTAGCGGTACGAAGGTTCCTCACGCAATCCCCATAGCCCAGGACCCCTTGAAGCCCTTGAGCAACGATCGCCGTGCCCGAATATATTCTCCGAAATCCAGCCCGTATTCCAAGAGCCAGGGCTATATTTATAAAAGCTGCCAGAAGGAGTAAGGACGAGAGGAAAGATGCCTCCACTCTGAAAGCTTGGGCTGCGACTGAATGTAAACGACTTCACTTCGGAATGGCTTCCATATAGATCACGTGATGGCCAATGCATGGACGAACTCACCTCGGAGTTTAGTGTAAGGCAAATAAATCGGTGTAAATTACACCGTACTTTTTTACAGGTAATTTACAGGTAATTTACACTTTTTTACAAGGCTGTCAGATTAGCGGTGTAAATAATGTAAATAAGGAGGGGTCACGTGTTGGGTACCCGCGTCCAGCCACCACTTGGGGCCGATGCCTTGCGCCTCTTGTGCCTCTCACGCTGCCCCGGGCTATTGTTTTGTCAACGCCGCTGCGTAGGTTTAGTGCGCCACGTTCGGTCTCTTTGTGCTAGTATATATATAAAGTCCAATCAATTGTATTTCCCCCCAATCTTTTGCTGTGCAGGCTGCTCTCTGGCAGCATCCCCCTCGGTCACTCCCATGGCACCACAGTCGACGAGCCATGCTGGCGTCTTCCTAGAAAGCGAATGGATTGGGTCTGGTAAGAAGTTCACAAAAGATTTACCTGCCTATGTCAAGACGGCCCTCGAGGCCGAACTTTTGCTGCCACCAGCAATACTATCCTTGGTACTACCAGGTAGCATCAAGGGGTTCGAGCCGGAGGAACGAGACGACGACGAGACACTGGAGTGGCTCGATGAGCCTGCTACAGTTATCCGGGGAGAGTCTGGGTTTGTTGCTGCAAACGAGGTGAACCTTAATGACCCGGACCTTCTAGAGATGCTCGCGACATCGCCGCCGTCGTCTAGGGCTGGAAATTCACAACGGCCGCGCACGGATGTTCAGGAGGACTCGGAGCTAGTAAATGTGAACGAGCCGGCAGAAGATGGTAAGACATTGTGGCAATTTAATTGGGATGTGTAGGTACTTTACAGCGTGTACTAGAAACTCTGTATGCCCTTGCGTGTAATTCGGACGCTCCCTGAGGCTTTTTTTACATATGTTTACACTTTTTTACTTTTTTTTACTGTTTTTTACTGTTTTTTACTGTTTTTTACACGCCGGAGGGGCGTCACGTGCCGAGGAGCAAAAGTCCCGTGATTTACTGTAATTTACATTTTTGACCGTGTAAAAAACGGGGTCCCGAAACCTGGGGGTGTAAAAAACGGTAATTTACATGCCGATGAATTATTTACCCTACACTATCGGAGTTCTACCATGACAATCGCACTCTTCCTAACCATATCACTTGTTCCTCACATTTATACGCGAAGGGTATAACCTCTGAGTATATGTATGTACAATGATATCTCAAGCTTCGAATCTGGTCTTGGGCTATGTTGCTTTCGATGAGTTCATCAAGCTTCTTCTAAGCAGTCGTGTTGGACGAATTCCCCGACTTCGGTAAACGATCCTTCGTGAAACTGATCAGGTGCTGATCCTCTGTCATTCTACCATGTGCAACCAATGTGTTGAATCATACGTCTCTGTGAGTCCTTTCACCTCGGATTCCAAATGACTCGGGCTGCGGCTGCGCAGTGCCGCTGGCGATGTACCATTTACGGAGCCGCTATAGTCAATTGCAATTATCGAGGATGTGGACGCGTGAATCGCGGGTGCATCGGGCTCTGTACGAGGTGTTATCGAGGTTCGCCCGACGTCTATCGGGTGTCGTCGCATCATCATCGACTGCGCATAGTGCGAATGTCACTTCTTGGTAAGTCGTCGATGAACGTCTGAGCGTCGCTAGTGCCGTCGTTGCTCGCCTCTGATTGAATCGTTTTTGGTTGAGCGGTCCACGAACTCGAGACGCTCAGGAGTATGATTACTTGTCTCAAGTTATCAATAAGGAAGCCCCATGCCCAGGGCTCGCACCCTTGGGACCTATATCATCATTGCCAAGCTGACTGCCAAATAACCATCAAGCTGTCGTGCCAATTGATGATCCTCCGAGGGGCTTTTGCCAGATTCGCCCGTATGTGCTTCTGGGCTCGTAACACAACTCGTGACGGAGTAAGCTAAGGCACACCGTCGAGAGCATGAGGCTGGTTGACTCCGCCGCAGTGTATCTATGACTCGTATCTTCGCGCGGGAGACTTCAACTTGACATAGCATCCGCTTTGCTGCGGTAGGCCGTCAAAAATGCAACACATCATGCCTATAAAAGTATGGTTCGCTGTTGAACGAACGATCAAGCTCATCACATCTGTCGAGGGACAATATAGAGCGGTGCAATCGATACATCGTCATCCGCTATGGCGTCCCAACAATCCCCCTCCGCTTCCACAAATTCTCTGCAGTCAGATGCTGCTCCGACTAGCGCCGCGAGTTCGACTGCTACCTTGATTCCGAAGGTCAGAAAAATCGCTATCAATCCCCAGATTGCCATGCTCATTTTCTCGCTGCAGAAGAACACGCAAACTCCGACGTCAAGCTCGCTCTCTCATGCACATCCTGCCCAGTCGAAGGATTGGGAGGCCGCTCTGGGGACGTTGGCCACTTCGTATGGCTTCAGTGGCGAGAGCCCTCTGAAGGCCACGAGCAAGAAGGCAAAGCTCAAAGCCCCCAAAGCTAGCGCAAAGAGCAAGCCATCGGATTCATCCAAGAAGTGATTGGGGCGGCTTATAGCTATTATTTCCAGCTTGAGGTCAGCTTTTAATGCCTAGCCCGATATCCATGCATGATACATGAGAAGATAGACACCGTGCGATAGTAAACTGGTTACCTTCGCCGAGCCGATGGTCCCCTCTCAGTGAGCGAGAAGGTCGAGTCGCTGACGGTGGCAAAGCGAGAGGAGTGGCTCACGCAGGAGCTTACATCACCAGATCCGGACCAGCAGCAGTCATGTCACATTCTCCACTTCGATTTCGAACAAAAATTGGCTTGGTGTTCTCCTTGGTCTTATGTACTCGTATTATGTTCGCGTATCTCACACATAAGAACTGTGATTATTTGATCTGACCTTGGCTGCCACAACGCCAAACAACTAGTGAAGAACTTCCCAATTCGGCGTCATTGTGATCGATGGAATGCTACGTGCGCCCCAGGCTCTTTCCCGCCGCTGTGGGAGTTTTAGGGGCTCAATCCGACAACTTGACGCAAGCTAAGTCCTGCAAGCCCATCTGCCACACTTGCGCCACAATCCGGCTACATCCGAGGAGTAATCATACTCCGAATCCCAACCTTAAACCCCCATAACTCCCTACAGCGGCTGGCACAGAACATCTACAAACAGCGGAGCAGCGGCGCACGTCACCTCGATTAGGAAGGCAGGATATTGGCCCCTCATTACATAATTATCACGGTCCTGTGTACAGTAGCGTTTCGCGCGTCCTAAGTCGCGTCGTGTCGTCCTCGGCGCAAGCTTGCGGCCATGGCTTTCACTCCACTGATAGACTTTCTATACCTGGCTTTCACGCAAAGGCGCGCGTCCCTGTCGAGCTTGATACTCGTCCTTCTGACTGATGAAGGCCTCATCTAACACCCATTTGTTGAAGAACTTGTCCTCGCCCTACCCAAGATTCTCGCGGCGTTTGCCCATCATCCACGTACTTCTGCGACAACATATTCTTGGGCGCACTCTACTATGAAGGCTCAATACTGCCAGGCAACCCGGGATCTGGTCGATACAGATAATGGCTGGCACTTCAGCGCTCTCCATGCGTCTGCGACAGAGGTTCTCGACTTTCACATCGAGGATATGGCTTCGAAGATGCAAAGCGTGGCGCCTGAGCTATGCGACCTCATAGTTGCACTCCTTGTGGGTGGCAAGTCACGCGGTCTCAAATGGAGCACCTCAGATGAGGACGAAGAAGGTGCTTTACTCGACGCTGATGAAATTGAGTACCGGAGTCAACTGGGCGATGATCCCCCGGTGTGGAGTAGTGAAGTTTCAGGAGGTGAAGCAAACAAGCGGGCGCATAATAGTAGCACAGCAACGTAACGCTCTCACGCGGGTGATATGTTCTTGACTGCATTCCAAATCTAGATGCACTCGCCTGACGTTATATCTGTAGAAAGCAGTCGTGATATTGTCTATAGTAATGCAGTCCTTGAGTCAGAGATGTTGTCGAAACGCGCTGACCCGCGCGGTCAGGAACGAGCTCGCAAGCTCGGGCGCGCGAGTAGCCGGGGGCCGGAGGCCCCTATCGTAGTATATAACGACCCCGCGCGATGTACGTACCGCACGCGATTGTCCCTTACGGGCATCGCTAGCTCGTGGACAAACGCGCTCGCCGCGCCGTCGCACCGGTTGTTCCAACAGATGTAACACCCTCGCTGCTGTCAATGGAATTCTATTTCATTCCTGCAATACTCCGGACCGAGTCATCAAGTGTCTTGCACATATGGGCCTCTCGATCTTGCCCTCTGCAATCAACTATATGGTCCACTCCCTCTCGGTAGGGCATTCGATCTCTGGGTCAGTCGCTCCTGGCCGGTCTCGCATACGACAACTTCGACATCCTTCTAAATACAATGACACCTACCATCGAGAAGTCGATGGAGAACCTACTTGCATGGGTCTCGTCCTAGCTTAGCAAAGGTCTTCTTCCGAATGTCTTCGATTGAGGGTAGTGACATGCTGTTACAGCCATAGGGGATGTTGCGAGCAATGGGCTTTCTGCGCGTTGTTGCTACACTCGCTCAGGGGGGATTGCAATGACCTCAATTGATAAAATTGGGCGCCGGTCCTCCGCTGTTTGTGGATGTTTTGTGCCAGCCGCTGTAGGGAGTTATAGGGGATTAAGGTTCAAATAGGATGTCACATGATATGCACGTGATGTGATATCACATGATCTATCTGAGGATACACAAGTACGCTATTCGGATGAAGTCCCCTATAACTCCCACAGCGGCGGGAAGGAGCCTGCGTGCGGCCACGTTAAACCAGAACTTGAAGGTACTACTCCATACTACATTCGTGACTCTGCTGCCTCGTAATCAACAGAGAAAGCCTCACCTTTTTCAGGTCTTTCCGTTCTTGCTCCTGCATCGATTACAGTTGATTGAAGTTGCGCTCCACTACTCTTCTCATCCCCTAGTATAGAACTGTCATAATGTCTACAAATCCTGATGAAGAAGGACCCGACCAGCTGAGCACAGAGAAACGCAAGGCGATCAACGAGTATCTCATGAAGTTCGCCGACGAGGAAGGGCTGCAACCAGACATGGTTCGCAAAGTACCCATCGCAGGTGCTCTTTTGCTACAAGTACTTGCTCAACGTGGAGCGATCGACGCTCGATATCGGGACTTCAACCTCGCTAAGACTTCAGTGCGGGAGAAGCCACGGCTGGCAGAGTTGCTGGCAGACGCCCTCGTCAAGAAGGATTTCTCCTCCGTATGTCGCCTCCGTGAGTCACATATTGCACCAATACAGCGACCAGTATTTGACTGATAACGGGCACACTGTACAGAGCTTCTGAGACCGACTGGGACAGTTCAGCAATCAGCAAAGGATGCTAGTATGTGGTTGGTTGTCAATGAGCAGAAAAGTAAGTGAATCGACGTTATCGTTGATCCCATGGACATGTCTGATACATGGTCTCACAGGACAAGGTATATCTCCGGCGGTGTTGTTTTGTGAGATACTCAAGAATATCTATAGCGGTTCGTGATGCGTGGACAAGTCCGTACGTCGGTGATGCACACACAACGCTCCTCGAGAATGTGCGCGAGATCAACAGTAGTCGAGGTATGAACCCCTACGCCAACAGCATGCCGCTGTTGCAAAGCTCTGGAATGGGCAAATCCAGGACAGTAGACGAGCTTGCCAAGGACATCTTCGTCATTCCTCTCAACGTCCGCAGAGAGGCAACAGGTCAGAATGCGAATCATCTGTTGTCGTATTGGCTAATGCAAATTGCAGGCTATCCTTTTCCTCACTCGGACCCCGACATCTATGACTACTTGGTCTCCGCTAATTATTACACTTGGGAGGTCACAATGCTAGCATACTACAACTTCTTTTTTCATCTATTCTCTGGTATTCGGGAAGAGATCCGTACACATTTGAAAGGGCCTTATCCAAGTCAGAAAGAGCTCGCGCAAGCCTGGCGCACACATCTTGCCCCTGTAAATTCCCAGGAGGACCGCCGCATGACGTTGTATTCTCAGATGATGCGGGTTGGTCTCCTCTGTATATTGACACGTGATTCCTATTAACTTGCTTCCAAAATATAGGATGCTACAAAATCCTTTTATTCCGAGAAACGTGGCCAGACATCAACTCAGGATGCTGCTGAGGGCCGTGGCTTGGAGCTTGCGGAAGCAATCAAGGAACTAGCACCCATCAGTCCGGGGGGGCTCGTGATGGTTTTGTATGTCGATGAGGCCCATACTTTGACCGACGCCGCAATCGATACTTCCCAGAACATTCCGCGCAACCGCTACAGTGTTTTAACAAATGTGCTCTCAGAGATGCACATATTACCAATATTCACCCTTTTCCTTTCTACAAACTCTCATCTATACACGCTTTCTCCTTCCCGTGAAGTGCATCACTCACTGCGCTTCAAGGAGAAGGATGATGTCCCAGCCCCCTACAATGAGATGCCTTGGGATGTCTTCTCCAGCGGAAAGGTCCTTGTCCGTGAAGGTGAAAAATCACTCGATGATGTCTGCAGTTTCGCATTCATGTGCAATTTCGGGCGTCCCCTGTAGGTTCATCATCTGTACTCTCATCTGGCCAGTACTAACGAATATATTCAGGTGGCGGGCGCTCTATGCAAATGCGACAAAGGATGTCCGCGCTACTCTCATGGCGGTGGTCATCACGAAACTGACGGGCATATATGATTTTACTGGTGTCCACAATGATGCCCTCAGGGATCTCCTCGATGATGCCTGCCTTGCAGCACTCAGTGTCCGACTTCTCCTCGAGTATCTACCAATTAATGAGGACATCATGCATACCGGAGTGCGTCTGGTGGAGTCACACTTGGCTGTAGTCTATACTATCAGCAAGGACCGCAAATATCTGACAGCGGGCTATCCATCGGAGCCTGTCGTCGCTGAAGCGGCTGCTCAAGTGATGCGGAGGTTTCAAGACCCAGTTCCAGACATCCTGGCGCGGTATACTCGTAGCGCGATGATATCCGCGGGTCAAAGAGGAGAACTAGTGATGCGACTTCTCCTCATCCGGGCTTTTGACAACGCTTCGAAGAGAAATCGTGGCGATAACGACCAGATCGACCGACCCGTGAGCTTATTTGCATTCCTCGAGGAGCTCTTCAATGTAGGACAAGTGAACAAATTGCGAGTATCCTATCCCGCCAGCGGCTATGGGGAGCGATTTGACGCAGCATTCAAGGACGCTCACGTCCGCTTCACACATTTTGCGAGGCTCGAAGACAACTCTTTGGTCACTTCGCGAGGGGCCTGGATAGCTATGACACGTGGCATAGCCTGGCAGTGTGCCCCGCAACAGGAGGTCATTGATTGCATAGTCCCCGTCGCTCTCAATAGAGGATTGTTGTCAGAGAAGACGATGACTGCGATCCTTATTCAGGTCAAAAACCGCAAGTCACCGGCCCCGCTCGTCATCGATGAGAGCAAATTGTCCCATAAGGGCCACAGGTTTTTCCCCGCAGAGACAGAAGATCGGCGGCCGTACATAGCACTCGTGCTGGAACTAGGTGTCCGGAATGTGCGTTCTATCGGAAAGTCGCATCACCCGAGCCCCGACACACACTCTACACCATCAAAGGTTAGCAACCTGAGAGAGAAGCCGCCAAGTGTCCGACTGTCCGAGTCCTCAAACGCTCCCATGCATCCGCGCTACCAGTTGGACGTGTATGGTTGTTCACCTCGTGTGTACAGCGTCGTCAAAGACAAGAAAGCGTATACTCTGCTCCTCGATGGCAGGGACATCTACCTGGAACATCCACGCAGGAGTACTGAGCCCTGGTTAAAGCGCGTTCGGGGATATTGGTCCGCGAAGACAGCGGACTGGACAGATGACAGTGGGAAGGCTCAGGGGATCGATGAGGATATCGAGGATGATCAGACCTATCTTGGTGCAAGCCAGATTCACGGAGAGTCCATAAGCGTCGTGGGTGAAGAATCTTAGAGTCGCGAAGCCAGCGGCAGTGACGTTTTCGTGTGAAGAGGCTCTTGGCCCATCTCACCCTGTACGATACCTCTCCTTTTCCGCCATGTGTTGCGGTCGTCGCGTCCGCGAGTAAAGAATCTGTGCATAACTGCTGTACATTAGCACTAGAATGGGCTGCCAAGTCAGAATGAACGCACTTCTTGTCCTTCCGGAGACATCTGCTTGCCCAGCGCCCACGTTCATGATGTACCAATCGGATCCATCATCAGCGACTGTAGAGGGGTCAGGTCCAGTGGGGGTCGTGAGCGTAAACGTGCCGAACAATGTTGGTGCCTTAATGATGCGCATGAGACTACTTGCAACGAATATGCAACTCAAAGGGATGCGATGCGCCCTCTACAGATCCGGACGCATTATTAGGAGACTGAGTGCCGGTGTTCGGATACAGATGTCGCATACAGCAATAATCTTGAAGCGCAGCTTGAGAATCGTTCGTTTCTGTGAGTGTAGATCAACGATCGGGCAACAGTGATAACGTGGAGCTCACATCGTTTAGATAGCATGCTTTACTGGCCGTTTACTACTTAGTGTCGATGTCCAGATCTCCCCCAATGGACCGACTTCAGCAAGAGCTTCCCCGGAATGAATGAAATGCGGCGAGGATCAAGACACATAACTAATTATGACCGTTATCAGACCATAGTTTAGTGGAGCATACGTTGTTTTCAATTCGAGGAGCCTCAAGACTGCGTGCATGACCGCGCTTATTCGTGAATGTGCGGGCCCCATATGCGTATACGCCTTGTTCGGGGCCGAGACTAACCTCGCAGGAGAATTGAGGCCGACCGGGGTGGGTGCCAACGCCGCAATGAGCGGTGAAGGTAATTACCAGCGTGTATGGTACGAATACATGTACAATCCCATGGTCGCTCGACCACTCTATTCTGAACCATCAGCCATCATGAAATGTCGTCTATTGAGTTCGTCGTCGGTAGCGCACTCGTTCCGTCTGACTGGAAGAAGTCATCGAGTGTAAGCGGACGCAGCTTGAAGCCCTGCAAGTACATTGAGGGTGAGCGACCACGTAAGAAGAGGGCGGAAAGTTATCTTACCTCTTCTTGACAACGGGCCAACATCTCCTTATCATTATCGGCTTCACGGATGAATTCGCGCATCGGTCGCATGGCAGCATTGCGGCAAAGCTCCTTGAGATCTGAGCCCGACAGAGTTTCAGACTCCTCGGCGAGCCTCCTTATTGAAAACTGCTCGTCAAGGTCAGTATCTTTGAGCATCTACATAATGTCTATTGTCAGTGGATGGACAAGTGCAATTCAATGTCACTTGCCAGGTTCAGGATCTTCTGTCGCTGCTCAAGGTCGGGAAGACCGACAGAGAACCGCTTCGGCATCCGGCGAAGAATTGCGGAGTCGATGTCATTTGGTCTGTTCGTGGCGCCAAGAACAAGTATACGGTCCGTGCTAGAGAGTAGGCCGTCCCACAAGCTGACGATCACCGTCAACACGAGTTTTAGAGTAGTTCATCGAGATCTGGAACCTACGTCATGAATTCCGCCTTCATCATGCCAGTCACCTCATGGTCTCCCTTCGTGCGCTCTCGCAGGAACGAGTCGATCTCGTCAATAAACACGATGCTGGGTTGCGTCTTGCGCGCCAGCGAGAACAGCGCAGCGACAAGCTTGTTCGACTCGCCATACCACTTGTTCGTCAGCACGGACGCGGCGATATTGATGAAGGTGGCGCCAGACTCCTTCGCGAGCGCCTTCGCGAGCATCGTCTTGCCGCAGCCCGGGGGCCCGAACAGCAGTACACCCTTCGGCGCACCAAGAAGCGAGGAAGAATTGAAGAGGTCCGGGTATACGAGAGGATAGATGACCGACTCGCGCAGGGACGAGATGATAGGCTCCAGACCTCCAATGTCTGCGCAAAGTCAGCCCCGGTGCTGTTACAGCAGCTCACACGGCACACACCGGAGAAGCGCACATCAATATCGTCTGGGTGGATAACCTCAGATGCAATCTGCTCTAAAAAGGCCCGGATGCGTGAGCGTTGCAGCGGAGACGGTACCAAGAAGCGCACACACTTTCGTATTCGTCAAGCTTGAGGTCTCGGTGCCCCAGCTTCTCAAGCGCTTTGAGGCTCTTTGCTTTCACTTCTTTCCGCTCTCCAGGACCCATGCCCTCCATTACCCACTGATGTGTGCAGGCCTGTCAGTACGCCCTTCGGCACTGGTAAGACCGTCTGCTACTGACCCGCACGGTGTAATACAAAGCTGCCTTGCGACAGAACGTTCAGCGCATGACCTATGAGCACCCTAAGATCCACGCACTTGGGATACAGCAAAGAGCACGACTATAATGGCTTCAGTGTGACCATGTCTGTCGTCGCGGAGCTCTCCAGTATTACGCACCATCGAATAAAGCGCGCTTCGTGGAAGAAGAAATCGCCATGGCAGCGTGTAGAGCGTCCGCTCTGCAAGTGGGCAGTCGTCGACAAAGTCGTGAATAGAATATGCACAGGAATGAAGAGCCTGCCGGGGGCAGGATGCAGAGGATGGACAACCTAAGACCCGCAAGCGCTGCTTCATTTCCTGATCGCGTGGCATGCCAAAAGAGGCAACTCAGTATAAGATTCACCGCAGCGGCTCAAGTCTGCCTCGGCCTCTGCATAGGTTCCTTGCAGTCACCTCGACATCCCTTACAGCGGTGAGAGGGGACGTATATAGAACAGAGCTCATATCAGAGATATAAAAACAATGACGTTACTTATCCCGAGGAGCCAATTTTAAGACACACGTAACAAGCATGTTAAATGGCCTTTATGTAGCAAAAAAAGCACCTTATACAAGCAACGCACACATACACCGACAGCGTGTCAAAAGCATGATAGTCGTATAGGTTTCGTCAATACTTCAAACATATGCAGCATCCATCATCGATGGTGTCCAGTCCGAGACCGCCATACCTTAAGCTCCGCGCCTCGGCCCAAAATGTCCCGTCCAAGATCGCAAGGGCACACCTCTGCTTATCCTGCTCTTCTGAAACAGCCCGTGCTCTTTTACGCTCGCAAAGCTTATGCCAGCGAGTTCGTGATGACAATAGCAATGAGCGCAGCAAGTATTGCCAACGACGGCCGCGCGTACGCGCTTACTGCAGCACTCTTCGTAGCTCCGCCCGATCTCCCGGTAATCGTGAGTAGATCGGGACAGTCGGGGGTGACGAGCTCCTGTCCGTAGTTGCTCGCAATCCAGAGCACCACGCCGTTTGTCCACCCGAAACCGGCCTAGCAGACAACATGCGCGTCACGTTAGAGTACGGAAGGGATCAGTGCTGTGGTGCCCACCTGAACCGTGTACTCCCCGCCACTGCCGGATGAGTCGACGTCAGTGATGTTGAACTTCTCAAACATCTGCAATCACAAATCAACGTCTCTTTCTCTCTTTTCGGTTCAGCGAGGAGGACGCACATTCCCAGTGTTGTTGATGCTCTGCGTGACGTTCAACTCCTGGTCCGACAGCCTCGGCAGGTACCCCGGGATCGAGCCACCCGTCGCATGCCTGGGACCCATCGCGGTCAACGCAGTCCATGCACATACCCATACGAGCCAACTCACCAACTGCACAGCGCGCTCGCAAAGTACCGGTTCGCCAGCTCCCGCTGCAAGGCGTGGGCCCAGCCTTCGCCCGCCGTCGCGTTCCCCCCATTAACGACCGTCCCATCCAGCCGGCTGATGTCTGCCGCGGGACCCACCTTCGTCGCGTTCTTGCCCGCGCCGCCGATGGGCTGCCCGGGTAACGCGTCTTCCGCGACGCCGATCTGCCCCTCGGGCACCAGCGCGTACGTGGACGAGTTGGAGGGCGGCGTCGGCAGCGTGCTGGTAGTGATGTTGGAGGGGAGCGCCTTCAGGGCCTCGAGGATGATGTACTGGTGCGGGGGCCACGTGTTTGGCGCATCCCTGCGTGGTGCACATTCAGCATACTGTTGCGATGGAGACGAGAGCAGACATACCATTGCAGGCCAGTCTCGAGGAACGTCACCGGCATAGTACCGTTGTATCTGTTAAGCACAAGGTTGAGACCCGCGAAGAAGCCGAACGCGTTCTCCGTCGACGCGAGCACCTCATCCGGTATAATGCTATTCCAAAGCGGGTAGAATGTCGCCGCACTGTACAGATCGTTGCGCGCGTTCGAGGTGAGGTTGTAATCGTAGAACGCCAGCTTCTTGGAGTCCCAGAACAGGTCGAGGATGCCCTCGCGCAGAGAGGCTGCGACGGCTAGATGCGTTGCTGCGGCGGAGCTGTTGCCTGAGCTGGTGTACATGTCCGCGACGAGTGTGTGGGCCTTGTCTGCAGAGTGCTTAGTGTCAAAAGCCAAGGAATCAGATCAGACGGAGGGTGCCTCACAAAGAATGCTATTGAGATCAATGGGAATGATGTTCCGCACATTCAGCGTACGCAACGTCGGGTTCGTGTTGTTCGTGCCGCCAGCGAGAGGCTGTGCGCTGTATCGTGACGAGTAGTCCCAACCTGTTTCAGCGCCGCTCGCGAGCTCGGCATACAGGGCAGAACGCTCGCTCTCACTGAGCGAGGGTAGCGTAGGGTCGAATGCGGTGGAATAGTCTACAGCAAATGTGAGGCGCATGCTCTGGATGGGAGCGTCCTTGGTCCGCACCATCGATGTACGACTCTGGCCGAGGCGCAGAGTTATTCACGGAATAGTGGAACATCGTGTAAGTCTTGCCCGTGTATGAGCTTGTCACCGAAACGCTGCGGTTGTTCATCCACCATTGTAGTTCATTCTGCACAGCCTGTCAGCAGGTGCTTTTGTATATGACAGGACGACATACTTCGATAGAGGGGACAGCCCGTTCGAGGACAGAGGTATCGTTGGTCTCAGCAACGTAGTCAGCCACCATCTGCTGAGAATTAGTTTAGCATAACAATCGAGACACTATTCGCTTACCCTGGTGAACATAGGTGGCTGCGAACGATCCAAATCTGGTATTGTACAATTAGAAGGAGGTATACGAAGACCGCGACCAGCATAGAACTCACAGTAGATTCGACCGCCATTGGGAATGAAGCCGTAGGTATGAATCTCGTCCATGAAGTTCTGCAGTGTCGAGTTGGCAACGTCGTACAACTCCGATTTCAATAAGCCTTGCACGATCCAGTACGAATCCCAGTAGTCTGTCGGCGTATAGTTAAAGTTAAAGGGATGAGATGCTTGAGGCATACGAGAATGTCACTCACACTGCTCACGGAAACGTCCGCCAGGAATGACGAACGTGTGGTTGAGCGGAATGAACGTCCCCTCACACGGGCCATCCTCCGTCCCGGCAGGGCACGTCGCAGTCTTGTTGGTCTGCCGCACTAGATCCTCCCAGTATCCACTCACTATTTGCGACCATGCACGAAGCAGTGGGTCAGTAACATTGTCAAGAAACGCGGGTTCCTCCACAAAGTTCGCAAGCGAGATAGGCTCAATCTCGAGCCCCTCCCCGACAAAGTCGTCATCCTCGAAGTTCACGATGGAGCCCTCGGTGACGAGCGCTGAGCCGTTCTTATAGAACGCGGCAAAGTCGGCGAGGACCTGCTGCGAGCGCTTGGAGGTAGGCTTATCCACGATTGTTTTTGGATCCGAGTAGACATTCGCGAGGTTCACAGTTTGTAAGAGCTACATGAACGAGGAGGTTAGTTCTGGTGCTACAGATTGAGAGTATTAATGACACTCACCGCGCCCGCACAGAAGATTTGACTTGGACACCATGGCTGCACGGGGGGCAGCGGCTCCTCGGAAGGAATGGGGGAGGACAAGGCAGACGCACTAGCTACCGCTGTGGATATGGGCGTGTTCGACGCGGTCACGACGGTCGTCGCCGACTGGGGAAGGGCGCTTACAATGAGGACAAGGCCAAGAACGCTTGCGACTGTTGCCCACATCGTCAAGGTCATTGCTCGCGGTGCTCGTCGACGCGCGCTACCCCGCATTGCGGCTTTATATACCCCACATCGAAAATAAGACTGATCAGGCTCCCCGGCCTAAACTTGGATGATCCCAGACCGAGCGCATGAAAGCGCCTATGCGCGCGGGGTCGCATGACGCAAAGGAGGTCTGCTGACATCGTTGACCAGCCATCCGACAAATAGGCCAGTCACCGGCAAGTTGAGTGCGTCCCTGGATCATATGGAGCAGCGAGCCGAGACTCAGGGCGCGGCGCGAGAAAGAAAGTGTAGGAGAAAAAGGGAAGAGGATGAATCGAAGAAACGACGGTTTGCTTCATGTTATACGCGCGAGGCAACTCCGACTCGTCAAGGAAGGTGGGAGGTCATATGAAACACCGATCGTGTGAACGATCACGCCTCGAGCTCGTGCCTTCCGAGGAGATAATTGACGCAGCCTTGACCCGACGCTGTCAGCTTCAGCCAAGGAATTTATTTATGGAGACCAAGACGGCCACCTTAACGTACCCATCTTGGGCTTTTCAAAGCTGGTCTAACGTAATGAGTGCGGCACTGAGCATCGAGTGTGGAAACTTGTCGCCGAGCGACAGGTTACACTCAGCGCGATGTCGGCCTTGTAACGGAACCGAGCAACGAACAGGATTTGCTTTTGTGTGTACACTAGTGTAGAAGAATGAGAACAGGGTTCGTAGGTGATGGTCGTGGTTCGGGGAAAAGAGTTGTTGAGCGGATCGACGTGTGCGCGCGGAAGCAACCCGACGCGTCCAAACACCTTGACAGGTCGAGCAAACATGTGATGTTACGGAAGCGTCATGTCCCGCGTAAGCCTAAGCAGTACAGCTGCTGTGGTCGCCAACTCCGAAGCTCATCGACATCTACGGCATGGGGCTGTGTCGATGCGGACACGCAAGTACCGCTGTGGGAGGAATATCATGCATTCGCTATGTTGCCTGGCATGTATAATGCGACTGTCAAAATAACGACTCGCTGGTAGAATATGACTCGCTTGGGATGCGCTCTAATTGATGGTACTGCAGAGGTAGCTCGCTTGTCTGGAAAAGACGTGGACTGACTCAGGCGCGATATCATGGGCCTTCGGAGAATGTTTCGTCTACTTCTAAAACAGATTCTTGCAGTGTGTGGTCTTTTTGAACTTTATACAGGTGCGGTTTTGAGCGTGTCATAAGTATGTTCGCCAAACCATGTAAAACCTCGATCTCAGCCATCAATGATGACTGTACTCATCGCGCCCGCTGCCCTTTCAGTCGACTCATCAGCTCAGAGCTCCTGTACCGGCGGATATCCGATTGTTGTAAAATATACCTGAGCTTCAAACAAGGTAGATGGGGAGATGAGCAGAAACCGCACAGAACTGTCCGGTTGATCACCTAGTCATCAACATGTTTCACTCTCATTCCGCGGTGGAGCGAAAACCTATTCTGACTTCTTCAGATGCGGGCAATGTTGAGCAATTCACAAGGTAGTGACAAGTCTTACAAAGAGAGGTCCAACCATTCCACTTACAACTTTGGCGCTCGCGCGGTCAATCGCGGATACGGATGGTTTGCAGGATGCTTAAAGGTGTGTTCTCCGTTCCAGTGAGACAGGTCAATTGGTAAGGAAATTGTGCTGTACCACAAATTACAGGGCAGTGTGTATTGACGGGGTACACGCACAGTCCAATAGATCGAATTCGCTGTGCATGGATTTCGTTACCTGGGACAAGTAGGGTCAAGAGGATGCTCTGCCAAAATGACCGTCGCGGGCGAAAAGTGCGGACTGCTGCAGTGTTCGCGACATATAGCATCTGAAGTTCGGCAGGGGGTTGCACATCGACCTGTTTCTGTGTTTTGCTCATCGTGACTGGTGTGAAGACGAAAGGAGAACAAAGCCTGCGAAGTGCGACTGGTGTCAAGACGACTGAAATCTCGACAATAAACATCATAGGCTCCTCCGGAAGACGGCCATACCTGTATTCTAGCGGGTGAACCTCGCCTTCACCATTGTCCCGCGCATCGCCCTAAATAACACCGCGAACAAACAAACCACCACGCGAGGTGCGCGACACCAAAGCTACAAATACACGGGCCAATATATGGCCCTACGAGCTCAAGCATAAACATCCTGACATGGATTGCACAAGCTATCAATCATCGCGCGCTGTGCCACAAGCTCCGGGCTCCCAGTAGAGCAGCGATGGTGTGCCAACCTGGCCAGAATCTTCGCGGTCGTTCATCAGTCACATGAGCACTTCATCATGCGCAGTAGGCCCCGAGCACGAGCGACGAAGGCGAGATCCAGTCCTTGCATACGAGGCCTTTCTCGAACAGCTGCTTGACAATACTCGCACCGACGATGCGCATACATACCTGGTGTAATATGACGAAGAGAAGAGAGAAGATGTTGCACGCGTCTTCCTAATAGCAGCGAGGACGGAAATGAGAGGCATGCTGCCCAATGGATGGCTGAACCTTAGGCTACAGCGGATTGACCTCAATGGAAGATCGCGCAGAGCCTCCTTATATAGAACGTGGTCCAACATTACAGCGTCGCTTCGCTGCTTCTTGGACGCTGACCACGATGACCTCAGAATGGCTAGATGGAATGAAGACAGCTTGGCTCGGACCCGTACACCTAGCGCCGGGAGTGCGCATATACAGTAAAGCTCACCGTCCGGTCGGTACATCCATTGTTCAGCCACGACCTGAGCTGCGGCTCGTCGCATTATTCGCTGCTCAATCGTGCGGCGTCAGTGCATATGCTTCGAACGTTCGAGATCCGGAGTGTCGAGCTTCTCCACCTCATTACGGGGACATGGTCATATCTGCGCACCTCTGTATGGAAGCATAGCAAGTATCGCCGTACACGTCCTATACGAGCGGAAGGTGTGGTACGTGAGTAACGATTTCCATGGTCGTCAGACAATGACACAAGGCACCGTACCTGTGTCCACAGCATCATGTTCTATTTTTGGCCTGCGAACGATCAGCGCTCGGTTGTGATGGACGACATTAGCACAACGAGTACGCAGTCGTCTGAATGCTGATGAAGGATGCTCCGACATGTGGTGATGCAACGGATTGTTGATCATCCTGTCTCAGTCAACAGCCACCAACTGCCAGCGCAATCGAACAACACGTACCCAGATGGCGTGCTCTTCGTCCACAGCCTCCCCAAGGGGTCAACAGAGGTTCATCAACCGCATCTGACCGAGATAGGGAAATCAAAGCGCACACCTGAGTTTGCTTCCATTTCGAAACTGGTGCTGTCCACGCCGCGGGGCGCCGAGTGCCGATACAATGCCGCAAAGAGCCCATTTGCGATATGCCGTAGGCGGTGTCCACGAGATTCGTTCTCAATTGCGCGCAGTTGGTCCGTACCTTACTACGGCCTGTGTTGTGGCTTCGGCCTCCGTTTAGGATGCCGACACGAGATCGCGAATTATGGTCACTAAGGCTTGACACCGGCGGGCCGCCCCATTGAAACTGGAAGATAAAATCACACAACAACTTAAGCGTCAGATACAGATCAAATGCAGGATTGCTCCTAACCGCAGCAGCAGTCTTCGGAAGCATTACACATCTGGATCTCGGGGTCGGTTACCATCGCCACATAGCCCTGGCAAATATAGTTAGCAGCTCATCTTGCGAACATGGTTCTTCGGACATCGCCACGCGCTGCTGGGTATATAGACCGTCCCTGCGACAAGAGACAAACTATCACTCAAGCAACGCCCATCAGTTGCACTCAGCGCACTCACCTAACTCACATCCTCTCTTCCATCCTCTTCGATAACATCTCAACACAATGGGCCTTTTCGACGACGTTGTTGACGCTTTCGAGCCCCGTACGTGACGTTGCAGATTGGGAGGACCAGCCGTACTGATACACGACGATCGAGCAGAGCAGAGTTTCAGTGAGACAACTACCACCACAGACGTCCAGGATGGCGGCTATGGCGGCGGCTCCGATTACCAGCAGACAACGGAGACCACTGATGTACAGGATGGTGGCTGGGGAGGCTCCGATTACCAGCAAACCACGACAACAGATGTCGTCGACCAGAACAATGGGTTCGGCGGCGGAGACTACTACCAGCAGTCGGAGACGACATCGGAGACCGTTTCGGACGGCTGGTGAACGTCTCGGTAGCATGTGCGCAGAGCTCTTGCGGCTCGGTATACCATCTGCATAGTGAAAGATACAGAACGCGTTGATTGTATGTGGTCAGAATTTGGAAAAGGCGTACTTTGTAATTCTACATGTGCAATTCGGAAGTAAATCACGACTGCTGTTGTGAGAGCGCAAAGTTTGCGTAAGGATACGAGATCTTGGTTTGTTGCGAATGATTACTCTATAGCTGTTACTCGTTGAAAAAACGATCATGGAGTCAGCTGATGCCGATAACGAGACACATACACGTCCTGCCCACTCTCTCCCAAAAGCAGTGTGATCAGTCAGAAAGCCATGCAAGCGCGCACTTCGAAGCGTGCGGGATCCCATGCCCTGCTATTGAGTTACATAGTCCAATAGTCAGGGATCGAGCTTCGAGAGCTGCTGTGGCCGCGTACATTCAAGTCCGAGTCCGCGGTTGTAAATAATAGATTGCAGGTTCGCCAATACGGTTGTCAGACAGGAGTGAATGATCGATGACATAAAATCGCAAGCGCTGCATTACCTTGCTACTAATATCCAGTGTTGAATATACTGCCTTCGTGCTACGTTGAGACACGAAGGCAAACAATATGATCGTGGTGCTGTGGGGAGATAACCTACATTCCTTCTTGTGTGAACATAGGGACTTTCGGGGCGGATTGTGACATCTTCGTTCGCCTCCTGTAGTCTATTTTTTGTGCGTCGCCATACAATTGTGTTGATTGCCGGACTTTGACTGGAATCGTTATTGCCAGGGCGGTCGGTTTTTATGGCAGCGTTCAGCTTGCAACCCATTAGTATACCAGAGGTGCAGTTAGTGGACTAGAGCTTAATGGCAAGATGCTGGTCACAGCATGTGCGACGCGTCAGGGTGATACCGACGCGCTCGTCACGTGCCGCTGATGCGCGTCGGATGCAATCTCGCTGTCGGGACTCCTCATTAAGCTTCACCAACTGTGCTCAGTCCTTACCAGCTTTAAACTCAGTCAAAGTCTTGTGGTGCCAATATTTGCGTCTGGTCTGACCTAGCGAACCAGAATGGCCATAGTCTCCCTGGGCGGCCTGCTCTATCTACTCCCGCCGCTCTGTTGTGGCTTGTTTTTTGCCCTTCGAGTTATTCAGTTACATGTCGCTAAGCACAACAGACGAAAGGCCGTGCTTGATGAACTCAAAGCCACAGACCCCGAGAGGAAGCGGCTGATTGGATTCTTTCACCCGTATTGGTGAGCTCCTAGAAGAGTTACAGCGGAAAGCGCCTCTCATCTCATTTAGCTTTCGAAAAGCAATGCAGGTGGCGGTGGAGAACGTGTGCTATGGACCGCTATCGCTATGCTCCAACGCTCCGAACCAGACGTCGTGAACGTCGTCTATACCGGTGACATCGACGTCACGAAAGCACAAATCATCGAGAGAGTGAAGGTGTGCCCAAGCCTCCTTTATTTGCGTCTCATATTATTCACCTGGCATGATTTGCTCCAGGCGCGGTTCGACATAGAGCTTGCACCCTCATCTCTTCATTTCGTGTTTCTACACTCACGATACCTCGTCGAAGATACCACATGGCGGAGGTTTACACTCCTTGGCCAGAGCATAGGGTCTATGTACTTGGCATGGGAGGCGATGTCCAAACTCGTTCCTGACCTCTACATCGGTATGTTACTGAACAAGTGCGTAGAGACGACCAATTAATGTTCTCCACAGACACCATGGGCTACGCCTTCACCTTTCCCGTCGTGCGCTGGCTTGCCCTGACCAAGGTTGGCGCGTACGTACACTACCCCACGATCAGCACCGACATGCTCGAGCGGGTGCGCTCGCGTCGGGCATGGCATACTAACTCCGGTGCCATTGCATCTTCGGCAGTCCTAAGCAAAGCAAAATTATTGTGAGTACCGCTGTCGTAGCTCTTGATGCGTCATCTAAGGGCTGCATCGCGAGCACTCAGATATTATCGCATGTTCATGTTCTACTATACGGGCTGCCTCCGCACTGCCTCGTTCTTGATGGTAAACTCTTCGTGGACGAAAAATCACGTCGATGCAGTTCTGCAACATACCGACCCACTCCTCAGTAGTCTCCACATACTCGGACTGCTCCTGCCCGCGAGCGCAGCACGCACAGCACGCATCGTATACCCGCCATGCGACACGCGCGACCTCGCGACTTTCCCGCTGGAGGGCCGTGAGCGTGTCATATTCAGTCTCGCGCAATTCCGGTATGTTTGTGTGCTCCCTCCGCGACCTTGATCAACATGAATCTCACGCATGCGATGTTCAGCCCGGAAAAGGACCATCCAGCGCAATTACGCGCGTTTCATCGGGTTCTGGCCGACCACCCGGAGTACGCTAAGCCGGGTCCGCTGCAGGTCCGACTCGTCATGATGGGCGGCAGCCGTAACGCTGAGGACGCTGCGCGTATTGACGCTCTGCGCGAGCTAGCCCGTGAGCTGGGCATCGAGGTCCGAACGCTTCCTCTCTATCCCCGTATATGCCGCTCAAGAACGACAACCGATCCCACAGGAGCATGTAGAGATAATTATCAATGCCTCGTATCCCCAGATGCTCAATTGGCTGTCAAGAGCAAGCATAGGTCTAAGCACAATGGTGGATGAGCACTTCGGCATCAACGTCGTGGAGTTCATGGTCTGTGGATGCATATACTCTTTGCTCGATGCCTTTTGACCCCCGGTTCGCAGGCCGCCGGTGTCATACCAGTGACACATGCTTCCGGCGGACCCTTGAACGACATTGTCGTTCCCTTCAACGGAAGTCCGACAGGTGCGTCTTGGCAATGTCATTCATGAGCGATCTCCAATCTTCTGCGTCCCGCTCTGCAGGCTTCCATGCGACGTCTCCGGAGACTTTCGCAGAAGCTTTCCACAAAGTCTTGACCCTATCACCGGAGGAGGAAGTGAACCTCCGGTCGCGCGCTCGCACATGGGCTGTTCAGCGATTCTCAGAAGAAGAATTTGAAAAGGGATGGAACGAGAGCGGCTGGCAGCAGACTCTTCGGGGTTGACTTGGCAGGCCCGGCGCTGGGCTCTCTTTGCCGTGTGCAACACGTCCAAGCTCCCCTGCGTTGGACAGATGGTAATGGCGGGACAATATACATATGACAAACACCGGAAGGTTAGTTGGTCTATCTCTATCCAATACATGTTAGCCCCGTTGGTGTATACAAGCACTCTGCTAGCGTCTCATCGTGCGTCGCATTACCAGAGTGGTAGGTGCATGTCCCTTGTCTCCAGGCTCTCAGTCCCTCACCAGAATCTCGTCTGCCTTGCCGAATATTTCGTCCAAACTGGAGTAGCCCGCAAGGCCAAGTGACACCTCTAGATCCGCCAGGATGGCGCGGAGCTGGTCTTCCACACCTTCTCTGCCCTTAAGCGCCAACGCATACATGAACGGCCGCCCGTCTGCAGGACGAGGAACAGAATGTCAGCATTGGCTATGGACCGAGCAGCGGTGGTACTCACAGAGCACCCCCTGCGCGCCGAGCGCGACAGCTTTGATGATATCGCTGCCCGTGCGAATGCCCGAGTCGAAGAGGATGGTGAACTTGCCGCTAGCCTGGGCTGCGCGCACCTTGGGGCTCTTCATAATCTGGGAGAGCGCGTAAAGGGAGGAGATGCACCCATCGACTTGGCGTCCCCCTGCAGAAACGTGAGCGCGCGGCGTTTTGGTGGGAACATGAGCGCGACCTACCGTGGTTGGACACCACGATGCCGTCCACGCCATAATCGATGGCGAGCTCCGCATCCTATTGCGCTGTCAGCTCTGGCCAATGGCGCATGACTGCGCGGGGCGCCCACCTGCGGGCGCATGATGCCCTTGAGCACCAGCGGGCCGTCCCAGTGCTGCTTCAGGAACGCGAGCTCCTCCCACTTCCTGAACGTGCCCGACGTCGTCTCGCCGATCCAGTTCTTCCCCAGCATCGCGCGCTGCGCCGCGTCCTTGTCGCCGCGCTGGATGAGCTCCTCGAGGCGCACCGGGTCGTATGGGTGCGGCGGGTGGTCGTCTTCGGGGTACGGCTCCAGCCCGAACTTGGCCATGTACGCGGGGTCCGTGAGCCCGACCTGTGCGCCGACGCCGTGGAAGAAGGGCAGGTACGAGGTGGGGATGTCGTGCGGCCGCCAGCCGAGCAGCATCGTGTCGAGCGTGATGACGAGCGCGGTGAAGCCGCTCTTCTTGGCGCGGTTCAGGATGGAGATGGTAATGTCGTTTGAGGTCGGCCTGCGTCGCCTCGTGAGCAGGTGACGAGCCTACGATGTATTATCGCTCACCAGTATAGCTGATACCAGCGGGGCCCAGAGCCGTTCGCTTTGCCGACCGCTTCGATAGAGCGGGTCGACGCCGTGCTCATGATGTATGGGACGCCGAGAGCACCTGCTGCTCCTGCAGTCGCCAGTTCGCCGTCTGGATGCACGATTCCTTGTACACCCACAGGCGCAACGAAGAGTGGTGATGAGTACTTGACCCCGAAGATGGTCGTCTAAAACGCGCCGGTTATCACTAAGTTTATGGGCAGCAATGTGGCCAGCTTGCCTCAACGGAGCGGTTCGTCGCGTCGTACAGCATACGAGGGATGATTTTCCATCTCTGGAACTCATTTCTGTTGTTGGCGGTGGTCGAATTGGTGCCTGCGCTGCCGCACACATACATGAACGCATCTGTACGATACGCACCGATCCGCCGCGGCGTCAGCTTGCGATTACTCTCGCAGCGGGTCAAGCACTCACCCTCACGGTTCTTCAGCTTCTCGCGCGCACGGTCTTCCAACTCCTGGATATTGACAGTACCGAGCACAGGTGGAGCGCGATTCGCGTAGGATTCTTTCATCCATGCCGACCAGCGGGCTTTTGGCACGACGGCGCTTTCAAGGTTCAACGACATCCTAGGAAGGTGGGGTGTACAGACAGATGACAGCGGAAGACGATGCGAAGACAGGGAACATCACTGTGTTGGGCTCCCTCTTATAGAATGAGCAGTACTGACGGGAATGTGAGAAAGATTACCTCAGATGACCCGCTCGCCGAGTCCGGCGGCGACACAACCCTGAGTGCCGCTCGCAGTACAAACCGATGTCCCCTCTGAACGCGCGCGTGCCAGAGAAGTAGAAGTCGGACTTCTACTTCGTGTGAGCACCCGGTGTCTTGTGGGAGGCAGGTAGATCCTTAGACGCCAGCACACGGTCCTTGATATCAAACAAAATGATACTGGAAATCGTCATAGATCGTGGATTCCATGTGTCTCCTCACGCGAGGATCAGCATTATCACCCGGAACTGAGCAGCTGAGCACATTTGGCGAACGGCTATCCTCACGCCCTGGCTGAAACCGTTCTGCTTTGCCTGTACAGACCACACGCAAGTAGATGCCGATGTTGGACCTAGACAAAGCGAGACAAAATGCGACGCGACACTAACGCCGCTACTTAGGACACCTTATTCCAAATGCGAAGGCCCCGGGTGCCAAAGTCTTGCCTGGTTGTTGACAGAATTCAGACCAATTGTCCGCTCGTCATCAGTGTTAGAAGGCTCGCCGCGGTAACGCACTTAAACGCAGGCGATGCTTGCATCGGGTTGACAAGCGCCCGCGGACCGAGGTGAAATCATGCCATTCGGTTTGATGAATGACACAAATTATGGCCTAAGGATGCAACTAGACAATAGAACGACATTGTTGAGAAAATAGATGATTATAAGGACCCACGGCGATGAAGTCAAACTGCCAGCACCATGGCCTGAGGGCCCGACTGAAGTCAGTCCGAGGAACTACGCGTTATCAAGGCACTGGTGTACACTACACAGACAGCTGTCAAGTAGTTTATTTGATTAGGAGAAGATTAATTATGAACTGCTTCTCATACCGAAGCGGAAGGCACAACTTTGGTCGAGAAAGGCGTGACTCGATGATCAAGGAATAACGTGAGCTCAGGTTTCAATTGCGAGAGTAATCCGGGCTGCGTTGCAACTCGCCAGTCCGCGAGCTGCGTCTTACGCCCGGAAACCCAGTAAGCTGGAGTTCCTTTCTACGACTTGTTCTGCCGCGTCAAATTTGGAATTCGGTTCCAGTGCCTGCCCTACGCGCACTGTCTCATCTAGTCGTCTTTGGGACACTGATAGAAGAACAAATGCAGCTAACGGCCGGAACCAATCAGCATCAATGTATATGCGAACTGGATGCTCGTAACTCACCTGAAAGGAGTCCTATTATTTGCCTCGCAAACATCTAGTCATGAATGCATGACGCCTTGGTTTCCCAAGACGCAGCCACAGCGTATCGCAGACCCCGGTCTACAACGTGTGCGGAGCGCCTTGACGCATTATCGCCTGAACCTAATACTGACTTTTACTGGCCATTCATGACTTCTCTTCGCATCAAGATCCCTGCAAACCGAGGAACAAGTTTCAGCGTAGCACGAGAAAAGACCCTGACCAAGGTGACGTACTCAGATGTCCACGGCGAGACGCCCCCGTCTGCAACTCGTCCCCACCTTCAATGCGAGACGCTCTTACCATAAGGATATCTTTACGCTCCGTTTCCTCTCACTCACAACCGCACGTGAAATGCCTCGTTCACGATGACAAGGAGGTCCTGCTGACCACTGACGCGCAGATCCATCCGTATTTTACCTGGCTCTCTTCTACACAGTAGATCTGATGGTCGGGAGCAAGGGACAGTCATTTGCTGTGGGTGCCGATGATATATATTGGGCGAATCGCAGAGGTGATAATCCAGCCGAAACCTCGTTGCGCGATGTATGCATTGCGCACAGAATTGCAGTGGTCAAGTAAAATGGTCCTCCTAAGCGGAAGGTGAATGTGAATGGAAGATACCATCAGAACTGCACGAAAACCCCTGGCGGCGACCACTGCATGCAGCAAGGGGCACGTCAGTTCGAATAACATATCGTTGTTTGCATCGATTTGTATAGGGCTGCGAAGACAAATTCAATCAGGTCCTGCGGAAAGTCTGCCATTTGAACCGCGCATGCACTTGTCAATCGTCAAGATAGGTTGCATTCTGAAAAAACGCACCCCACCTCTCAGTGGTATTCCATCTGTGTGCCGCGGTGGCTCACCAAGGAAATGCTACACGTCTCGCATAGATGCCTTATAATACATACAACGACGTACATTGCAGTTCACATGAAATCCTCTTCCCACTCCCGTACCGACTTCTTCGGTGCCTCCACCTCTTCTTCCTCCGCGTCTTGTTCCTGCGCCGCGAACAGCGTGTCGTACGATCGTGCCGCCTTCTCGTATTCTCGAGCTTTCGCAAGTTCCGCTCCGGCCTTCTTCTGTTCTCAAACATGTCAGACATACAACGCACATGATAAAAGGCGAACGCTCTACCTGCTGCGCTGCATCTGCTCTACGCACCGCGCTCTCGACCTTGATGCGGTCAATACGCTCCTGCTCGTGATCCACCTGGCGCTCGACCTTCGTCTTGTTGAGACGGTTGACTATCGGGTTTTCGCGTTTCGGGACGTGGACTAGGACACCATCGGGTCAACCGCAGTATATATGCACAGCCTCCCTGACATACCTCGCTTCACCTGTGACCCCGTCGATATCAATACAACTGAAGGTATTGGGCTGAAATATACGCGTACCCGCTTATCGTTGTGGAACGACACTTGGCCTACAGCCATGTCTCCGGTTTTCTGGCAGAACAGGTTCGTTATGCAGGTATGAAGATAGCGCGCCGTGGCGACACACCTTCAGGTTGTCCGCAGGAGTGTAGATGATAGTCAGGTTATCCTTCTTGTTTCCTGGGCTCTGTAGGTGTCATTGACACCACTCCATCCCGCCGTGTCTCCGACCGCAGAGGGCATACCTTCTATAGAGTTTGCCTTGACCAGCTGCGCGCAGTCCACGAGGAGCGGCTCCGGGATGCTCTCCCATGCCATGCCGTCCGGCATGCGCAGGTAGACGTGCGCCGAGGAGAGCTTGTCGACGTGGAACCAGATGTCCTGCGGCCATGCGTACTTGATGAGATCCTCGTCTAGCGAATCGTATTATGTCCTCAACATTCCGCCAAACACAACCTAAGTGTGATGCTGCTCACTTTCAACCTTGTCCTTGCCCATGTACAATGTGACAGCCGGGTTCACCGCTGTTCAAAGGTGTCGGCCCTTTGGGGCAATGGAGACGAAGCTGCGGCTCACCTGCAGACGTAAAGAACAACACCATGGCAGGAGAAAACAGGAACGAGTCGTAGTAGAGTGTTACAAAAGTGTGTAGTAGTTGCAGTCGTGCACAAGACTGCTTGCCAGGGACGGCGGCAGGTAAGTGGTGATTGCCCAGATGAGCGTCTGATTTGCCCAGTCTGCTGCAGTCCTTGCATCACTTGCAGGCCAAGCTTCAGAGCTCGAGGCCCCTGTGCATACTGCATTTATTCTTCTGCGGCGAAGAGACCGATCGTAAGCAGACAATCGATTTTGTCCAATTTGAATGAGCAAAGGTCGATACACAACGCGATGCGCACTGTGTCAAGGTTGGTGGACACAACATGATTCATGCGGTCAATTTCCATTCTACAAGTACTATCAAGCTATCTGGTACAGTCTTGCAGCTTGTGGGTATCAATACATCTGATGCGCGTAACAAAGTGGAAAGCGAGGACAGCGGAATAGATGGTCGTGGGTAGATAAAATCGTGAAATGGCCGTGGCCGTGGTCGCAGTCGTGGAGAAGACGGACCAGACGACGATCAAATCGAGTTCAAGGCATACTCGGGATCATGCTCGTAGCGCAGCGCCATTTGGGCGGACGGCGCGTCATGCGGGCTTCCACGTCCCGGCATCGCGCCGGTGAACCCACTGTCGAGATACGCGGGAGTAGGGACAGCGAGCGACGGGGATGCAGCGCTCTCATCGGAGGCCGAGGCACGCGAGGGTGCATTGCGCTGTAACGCAATGTCGGACGCGTCCGATATTGAGTATCCGTCGTCGGATGGGGTCTGCCCACGGCCGGGGCGGAGCACACGTCGGAAGAACAGCGTAGGCGGCGGAATGGTTGCTGACCACATAAGGACTTGGGACAACCAGAAATGCGGCTGTAGTGACCATGTCGACGTGCCCTCCCATACACCCAGTGAGGGCGCGAGAGGCCCGACGCCGAAGCGCGGGAGCTCGGGAACGGTGGTCCGACGGAAGTAGGGAGGGACCCAACTGACGGGGTGGGTGATGCGGGTACGAGTGTGCGGGAGAACGGTCGTGGTGCCCGGCTCGCGGTGGTGAGCGACCATACCGCACGCAATGAGGAACCCCAGAAAGAGAACTGGGCGGGCACCGATACACACTGCATTAGTCTTCACGTGTAACGGGCTGATGGGTGGGCATTCACCAAAGACAAAAGCCATCGTGACCGCCGTCCGGGTAGACATGCCCCTCTTAGCATCGCCGGAGATGCTTCCGACCGGACAATTCGTTGAGTTGGAGTGGACACTCATGCAATGTAATGTGCACTTGTGTGGATTGCGACGCAGGATGGGCGCAAGGACTGGTCGCGTCGGTGGCAACTCACCACTGCGGAGGGGAAGCAGCAGAGGTGGTGGCTGCTTGTAGGTGACAATTGGAGGGGCAGTGAAGACTTATATACGGGGCGGCAGCCAGTTTGGCCCACTGAATGAGTGTGGCTGTGCGGCTTCTCGAGGCGGTGAGGAGCGTGTCGAGGAGCACGAATAGCAGACTCACTGTGGATGCGGGAAGAGATAGCAGCCCTGCTCGCGGTATTTGAGCAGGAAAGGACGACTGCGGGATGACTCGCTGCAGGCGACTCCATGGTCCGAATATTCACGAATGCGAAGGGAAATCAAGACGAGTGTTCTTGGGAGAAGAATGTCATGCAGAGGCCCAAGGCTGCGCTCGGCCTCAGATGACGGCTGCGCGCTTGCTACTCACCGCCGTCCACGGAGCCAATCTCAACGCCAATCTCTCGCAACCGTCGCATCGACCTATGTGACGCTTTGGTTATGGGAAAGATCTGCAGGGTTTGCACAGTCAATATGAGAGCAACGAATGGCATCGAACGAGGACACTCGTGCGAGAAGAGCCAACTTGAATGGCGCGAAGCCTCGTGGGCAAAGCTGTACTGACCAGTAGTAGGGTCAGACCGCAGAGATAACAAGTAGACCATGCATAGCATTTGCGGTAAGTGGATGAGATACGCGAATGTCCGGCATCCATTAAGGAGAAGGCATAATGTGCTCAATGGCAGGTCAAACTTGAAACATGCGGCGGGAGGTAACGGCATAGACTCGGTCAAGCCATGAGGGACATTCGCCGAGAGCATATTTGCTGGCTGCCAAACGTCGCGTATCTACAACACCAAGTCACACAAGAGACACGAAGACATAGCCAAGCATATACGCTGCAAAGGTTCAGAGATTTCACAGCACATAGAATGCATTGCTCAAGTAGTGTTTGGAAAGGCTGATGGCATCGACCAAAATGCGGCATTTCCCCCTTCTAAGTCGCGACAAACGTCATTATAAGGTATCTTATATACAACTTATTGGGATAACAGATTTACAGAACGTGATCGATAAGCACCTATCCCTTCGAAACTCCCTACAGTGACCATTCCCATCGCGCACGACGAGCTCGACACTCTTTTCCTCTTTGCCAACATGGACTACGACCGTAGGTCCCAGGTCTCCTCGTTCTACGGGGCGCGCAAGTCTTCCGACGCTTTGAACTCCGACTTCCCCTCGTCCTCGCACTTTGACCAGCCTCCGCGCCCCCGAGCCGACTCGGCATCGTCGTTCTACAACCCTGACCGGGCGTCGCGCGCAGGCACAGAGGCTCTCGGCGGCACGCCGAGCGCAGGTTACAACAACTCGTCATTTTTTCATGCAGGAAGAGTAGAGCCATTGAAGGGCGGGCACGATGAGCAAAGCGTGATGTCCAACCAGGAGCCTGCGTTCGATATCTACGCCGACTTCAACAACCAGGGCCCGCGATACTCGACGGCCTTCGTGCAGCGCGACTCGGGATACCGTCAGGTGCCGTCGCCGTCGCCGTTCAAGGAGGAAGAGCCCGGGACGCCGGCAGGGCAGGTCGAGCTTGTCACGGTCCCCGCGCTGGGGCCAGAGTGGAAGGCATCCGAGCTGCGCGAACTCACCGGTAAGGCCAAGCGCGAACGCGATCTCGAGTCGTTTGCGGACAAATGGCATGCGTGGAACAGGGGAGAGCGGGGAATGTGTGGGCCTTATTTCACGCGGCGGTGGACGGCGTACATTTTCTTTGGGTTATGCATTGCGTGGGTTGCTCTACATTTCCTCGACTACTGATTTCTAATGCGGTGGACCGTTAGCATCGGCATAGTACTCGCATTCACCATCCCGCGTATGCCGAACATCTCGTTTCCATCGGGCAATCCGCTTGAGAAGGCGACTGCGCCTTTCAACACGTCGGTCCCGACCATTTTCTCGCGCTCGCCGGCAAACTTCAGCTTCCCTGCGGCGGTCTCCATAGAGTTTGACACGACGTCGAACTACCTGCCTCTGCAGATATCAAAGATGGAGGCGACGGTGTATGACCTCACAACGGGCATGCAGGTTGGCACAGGGAGCCATGGCAGCCAGACGTTGGCCGCAAAGTCGTTCCCGATTATTGAGGTCCCTATCAACTTCACCTATATCGCGATAAACGACTCGGACATCACCTGTATGTGCCTTCACTCGGATCTTGTTGATCGCGTTCTAACCTATTTGTATCAGGGAACGACTGGTACGACGCATGTCGGAATCCCGCAACAAATGCCAACAATACCCGTCCTCGTAAGTGTTCAACGTCGCGCTCTTGATACCTTCATACTCATGCTTGAGTCACCAGCACTGCAGTTTAATTTCGACCTGGACCTATGGATCGTCGGGCTGATTGGCAAGAGATCAGCTTCGAGTGCCGTGACCGAGGCTGATTGCCCTATTACTCTGTCCCTGAATGCGTCATGACACTTTCTCTATGGGACATTGTCACATCTATATGGGTACCTAACTCTCTGGACTTCGCTCTGCCTGATGGACTCTTTGGACTTACGATAACTCTCCTTTCTCTGTGTCTCACACATGCATGACGTAGCTACTCGTTTCGGATGACATACTGTCTCATTTCGCACTAATCCATCAGACTCTGCCATGTGTCCCTGCATTGCTCGTCGCGAGCGCTTCAGTCCTTTGAAGGTACGCACATTCTCCCCTTCTTGAGAACAGACTACATCTTCTGGCTGTTCTGTGAACATGGGGCGTGGTTCGGTGCGTCGTACACGGCGACTATTACTTGGTAGCCGACTGAAGCTAAATGTCACAGCATTGCGATCCAGACCAGTGAGAGGTTTGTCTTGGTCTTCATATGAGAGCCTTGTCACTGTCGCTCCTACTTGAGTATGGATCGTCGCTACCCGTCTTCAGCGCTGGATAACCGGTCCTCCATTAGGCATCGCTCGGGGGCTTACAGTCCAAGCTTGCGTGATTCGATTCGAGGGCGCCGTCAGCCATCCTCGGGCGTTGACGACACCATCTCAGGCCGCGACGGCGATCAGTCATTCATCATTCAAGTGGAAGATGTCGATTCCCCCAAGGAGCCAACCGTTCACCTCGTCCGGCAAACACAAGAGCACTATTTGACGCCTGCTCTCCCAGCTTTCGCTCGCGGATTTCTTGGAGCACCATTATGCTCACCCGACACAGGGAGCTTGCCAGAACGACAAGGTGAAGGCCAGTCGCAGCACTTGTCACCGGAGGGACACGGACCAGATGCCGTCTCCTATTTCAGCCCTGTGCCATTGACTCCTCGACCCCATCAGCTGCCCCGCGGACAATCTGCACGTTCGATCGGGACCACGTCCTCGCACTTCTCCCATCTGCCCACGCCGAACTTCACCGCACACGCCGGTGACACAATCCGCTCGTACTTTCCCCGTTTGTTCTCCTTTGGGGGTACCCATGGCCAAGCAGCGAAGTTGCGCTCCCCCGGTCTACGCAGCGAGGTCCTCTCCTCTTGTGGCAGCACCGCCGTGTCCTCCGCAAGCTCGCGCTCCTCATCGGGCATCGGAGAATCCGCTGCCGACTGCCAGCGGCCTGTCCTTTTGCCGTCGTTTAGCACTACAGACAAATTCACGCAAAAGTTCCCGAGGCCACGGTCTGTCAGAAACCTCACCTATAAGAGCGGACACAAGGTTGCGCTTGCTGCCACGATGCTCGAGGAAGGCGAGGGCCTCGGACTGGATGCGGTCGATCGTTGGCCTGCTCACAAGTGGTGGCTTTTGATTTCCGTGTGCTCGATATTAGTATACGGCCTCGCCGGCCTCATATGTGCGGTCCTGACATGGTTCCGTGGTGAGCGACATTCCCCCGCTCTTGATGACCATCAGCACTGAAGTTCTGGTTTCAGCATGGCAGCACGCAGATGTTATGTCTGTTGCAGACAACGATATTCTGATATTGATCACCCTGTCATCCTCCATCCTGCTCCTCACCTTCGTGCTGGGTATCAGCGGCACCATCCTCAACTCCCGTCCTATTCTTGCAGTCTATGCCGTGCTTCTCTGGCCTGCACTGCTATCCATGCTCGCCATAGGATATACCGGCTACAAACGATACGCCTTTGCGCTAGATCGCAAACTCAATCTCGCTTGGAGTCAATGGTACACACCAGTTGGACGACTCATCATCCAGAACTCCTTGCGGTGCTGTGGCTACTACGATTCGCTGCACGAAGCTACCGCGAGCAAGCAGTGCTATCCACGGACGCCCCTTCCTGGCTGCAAAGGCAAACTCTATCGCTTCGAGCACGAGAACCTGGCAACGATCTGGTCTACGGCCTTCGCGCTCGTCCCCGTACACATCATCAACATCATCGTCTCGCTTCTCTGTGTGAACCATGTCACACGGACGTTTGGGAAAGGCATCATGCCCAAGCGGTATTGGCTCAGTGGGGCAGACGTGAGGGCCGATGCGGAAAGGCTGATGGGCCCGCGTACTGGGATCAACCCAGTAATTAGGCCCGGCACGACGAGACCTCCCTTGAGTGCGATTTTCAGGGAAGATAGGGAGGGATACAATCCGGCATCATTGGAGGACGAATGGGATCACGTAGACAGAAAGTGTCCGGGGGTGGGGCTGGGACTGGAACGACCTCGACGGACAGACGATTGATTTCTTATGGCCGGGTTTGGTCCGCGGGTCGCGGCGCTCGGGATGCATAGACAGATATAATGCAACGACCAGTGTTCGATAATGAAATGCACTCTATGTGGGACAGCTAATGGTAGAAGATACATCTATAGACATGCTGCTGAATGAATGCTCGTCTCGCCCTAATCCTCGACGCCCTCCTCCTCCTCAGCAATCAGCCTCTCGGCCTCGAGCGCAGCCATGCACCCACTGCCCGCACTCGTGATCGCCTGGCGATATCGCTTGTCTTGTACATCACCAGCAGCAAAGACACCCTTGACACTCGTTTGGGTCGTGCCGGGCACCGTGATGATGTACCCGTCGGAGTCCGTCTGCAGCTGACCGCGGACGAGACCAGTCGCTGGCTCATGGCCGATGGCGTAGAACAGTCCATTGACAGGGAGGTCCTTCTCCTCGCCCGTCAGGACGTTCTTGATTCTCAGGTTGTTAAGCAAATCTCCGTCGCCCTGGCATTCGACGGCGGTCGTGTTCCAGAGGATGGTGACTTTCGGATTATTGAGCAGTCGTTTCGCCATAATCTTAGACGCGCGCAACTCCGCACGCCGGACGAGAACGTAGACATGTGAACCGTATTTCGTGAGATCTACGCAATCGGGAAAACATTGTGTGAGTACACAGGGCGCGATCGCTAACATCAAACTTACAAGTCGCTTCTTCCGCTGCCGAATCGCCCCCACCGATCACAGCGAGAGGCTTGTTCCTGTGAAATCGTATATTTAGCACGTGTTTGCTCCCATCAACATATTTTACATACCGGAATATAGGTACGGCACCGTCGCAGACAGCGCACGCACTGATACCGCTTTGCCAGTAGGTCTCCTCGCCCTTGAGGCCGAGTCGTTTTGCGCTGGCCCCCGTTGCGATAATGAGCGCATCCGCTGTCTCAGGCGCCTGATCCTCCTGGAATTCGCGCCAGTATCGGAACGGCCTTGCAGAGAGGTCGACCTTGGAGACCGTCTCGGTGATGATATTGGTGCCGAAGCGCAGAGACTGGGCGCGGAACTTGTCCATCAGCTCAGGCCCCAATATGCCATTTGGGAAACCCGGAAAATTCTCGACTGTGGAGTTTGTTAGTAAACAATTGCGTCTAATGGGGAACGCAAAATAACTAAGGAAATGGACGCCGAGGCAGGGTGGGAATGCGCGCCTCTCGCGGTTCGTGACCGAGGCGTTCGGCGCTACGATGTCGGCTGCGCTCAATCGCCAGCGTGCACGATATCATTGTAAAGGACAGAGAGTTGTTGCGCACAAGGCAGCGCCTGTTTTTGTAGGAATAATCGCGTGTGCTGGCCGGACATTAAGACTCGGCAATTGCCGGGTCTCGTCAGACAATCTCGTTACGCCCGCCCGCTGTCTAGAGCGATGAAAAACAAGGGCCGCGCGACTCAGGAAGGTCCAAAAAGCAGCTACAGAGCAGGAGGACGACTATGGCGGCGAAAAAACACTTACTCTCGGTGGTTGTGGTGAGCTGGCCGCCTGCGGCGAAGCCATTTGCCATGAAACCCTCGAAAAGCACAGGGTTCAAGTTTGCACGCGCTAGGTAAATGGCTGCGGTATGCCCTGCGGGTCCTGAGCCGATGATGACCTGTGGATGAAGAATTGTGAGCAGACTTGCTACCGCCAACGATATATCGCGATGTACAGACCACTTTCGAGTGCAATTTCGAGCTCTTCTGCACAGTGCCGTTTGTTCCATTCGCGCCGTTGGTGGTAGTTGTCGGTGCCATGTTTGCGGATCGGGTGAGGTATGTAGATCCTGCAACAAATGCTGGTGTGGCTTTGAAAAGCCTTCTAAAAGATAGAGATCGCAGTGTGGACAACAGGTTGAGCAGAGGACTTATAACAGGGCAAAAGGGCGTCACACCAGAATTAGTCAATCAAGTGATAAAGCGAGTCACGTGACGCTTACGCGCCTGCCGCACGCGTCCTTTCGGTAGACTTGTCAACCGAGAGGTGCTTGCAAATCTGCATGATCAAAAAATCGGTTCAGATAGGAATCGAAGGGCACGGACTCACCAGAAACGTCAGGAAACACCGCACTAGACCAGAGTAGACGGCGTCTGCGCTTGATAGCAGGCGCGGAGGTCACGGACAGACGGTATGTGTCTCGGACCAGGGTGCACTGACAGAAATACGCGCGTTATCAGACCAAACTCTTGATGAAGCAGAATAACAGACAGAAGCACAATATTACACGCTTAGATTGTTAAAACCTCGTTCCTTAGTGCATTCCTAGGGCATTCGGTCGACTGACGCGCGTAGACGAGCGCAGGAACAAGCGGCCATAACCTGCAAGCTGCGCGCACCTCGATTGGGACGGCTCGGTGGCGAGTGGCAAGACCCCGAAGCGGAGATAGAGTTCCCGTGTCGGAGTTTCGGCATTTGCCGCTCTGCATGCGCTCGCGCTCGCTGCTGTGGTCGTCGTCACCGCCGACTTCGACGTCGAAATAGTCCATTATCTCGCGCATTTCTCCGTTACACCTTCTAACTTGCCATAATGTCTGACTTGTGCCCGGTGTACGCTCCTTTCTTCGGTGTCATGGTGAGTTTGTCGACGCTGTTGACGCGCAGCTCGTGCTGAACATGACATGTCAGGGATGCACCAGTGCCATCGTGTTCACCTGTGAGTAGACCTGTGCTAACGTGCATGGCCTTTCGGAAGAGATGGGTGTTATTGTGAACTGCACCTGACGCGACGTATCGTGAACTTCAGGTATCGGTGCTAGGTAAGTCTCCTCTCTCCTACCCACTCCACCGGGATCGGCTGAGATTCGTCCTCTGATCAGTTATGGCACGGCGAAGTCGGGTGTTGGCATCTCAGCAATGTCTGTCCTCCGTCCCGACTTGATGATGAAGTGTGTCATCCCCGTCATCATGGCTGGTATTATTGCTGTATGTCCTCAGCACTACAAGCATCGCTATTACAGCTTACCCTTATTTATTAGATCTACGGGCTCGTTGTCTCGGTGCTCATCTCTGGCGATCGTGAGTCGCTCTCTTCGTAGATTTCTGCTGATGTCTCACAAATACGTAGTCCAAACGGAAATGACCCTCTTCCAAGGCTTTGTCCAGTTGGGTGCTGGTCTGTCGGTCGGTCTCGCCGGCCTTGCCGCTGGTTTCGCCATTGGTATCGTTGGTGACGCTGGTGTACGTGGCACTGCTCAGCAGCCACGGCTCTTCGTCGGCATGGTGAGTCTCACAGTGACGATGTACGCATCGACTGCACGTATGACCTCTTAATGTTGTAGATCCTGATTCTGATTTTCGCGGAAGTACTTGGTCTTTATGGTGAGCTTGCATCGATCCCATATATATATATATATAACTTTATGACGTCATTAGGCCTCATTGTTGCCCTCATCATGAACTCGAGAGGGGCGGAAGCGGTTGGGAAGGTGAGTATTTGGCCTGAGCCCTCCGGCACGCGTTTAATTGGACGTATCTTAGTGCCACCCATGAAGTCCCGTTATACAGAGCGGATGAAAATGGAAGTGACCTGTTTGAGAAGTTTGTGCCGGACTAGTTCATGCAGTGTTTGTCCATCATTTCATGTCGCCAATATCTGGCATTGTTCCTCGCTGCACTATATCCAAGGAGGTTCCATAACTGCAGAATGTCTGAATGTACAGTGTGAATCTGGAGCCAACTTTCATTCAACAAGTCCGACTCGACAATGCGTAATATTGAGATTGAGCAGATTCATGTAGCCGGTTGCAGCGCAGTGCGGACATGGCTTTATCTCGGCTGTACAATTGTGCCTTTCCAGCCTGCTATTGGCATGAAACAACATCTCGAGTGCCCCTGTATATCAGTGTCTGGTCTAGATCTCGTCTCTGCCTCAAACGGCCATCAGTCACACAAGTACCTTCAGCACCAAAAGAGTCTGCCGGACCCATGCTGATTTAACTGGAGCTTGGAGTGTCAGCAACGTGGATCTCTCATGTTTCCCTGCTCGCTGCTCCCTACATACTTGTTGGCGGTCCTCTTTGCCTTCCCAGCTCTCGCCGCTCCCTCATCGGCCAATGATCCGTTTCGCGACATAGCGTTGCAGGTGCCCAAGAAACCTGAACCCGATATATGCTGTCTCAGACCACTGGAACCATTCGAACCATCCCCTGAGGAAGACGTGTTACTGTCGTTCGAGGAGTGGAAGACCAGGCGTCTAGGCGAAGCGAAGGACCACGTTCCAGGACCGCATCTGTCTCTAAGCAATGGCCATAAACCAGCCGGGGTAGGAGGCGACAATGTGTCGCATCCAGGGAATGCGGATACCGCAGCTTCCAACGATTCGCAGAGCACCGCCGATAGCTGCCACCAGGACACCCCCGCCACCGCGCAGATAGGCGACTACCTTTCGCCACATTCCCGTATACCCATTGTAGACCGCTTCAACTATGCGTCCACGGACTGCTCGGCGACGGTGCACACGGCGCATAAGTCAGCGAAGTCGCCGTCCTCCATTCTGTCCTCGAAGAAGGACAGGTACATGCTGAGTCCGTGTGCGGAGGAGAAGCAGTTTGTGGTCGTCGAGCTGTGCGACGACATCATGATTGACACGGTGCAGCTTGCAAACTACGAGTTCTTCAGTGGCGTATTTAAAGATTTCACGGTGAGCGTGGCGAAGACGTACACGGCGGGCTGGACGTATGCGGGCACGTATCGCGCACAGAACGTACGAGGTGTTCAGGTACGTTCGTGGGTCTTTTTTGTGCGTGAGACCCGTTACTGATACTCCGTAGTCATTCCATCTGTCGACCTTACGCGACTTCTACAGGTTCATTCGGATCGATTTTGAGTCTCATTACGGCAACGAGTACTATTGCCCGCTGTCGCTCTTGCGGGTCTATGGTCTTACGCATCTCGAGCAGTGGAAATGGGACGAATGGGAATCTCAGAGTCGAGCTCAGCGTACCTTGGAGGAGGCGACCGCGTCTGTGGATATGCACCCAGATCCCCGGCCGCTTGCGCACATCCCCATCGCCGAATCCACAGAGCCAGCGGACCAAGGGGTGCAGCCAACCGTAGCAGAAGTGACCATTGCACCGTCGGGCGTGCCATCTAGTGACGTCTCTAGCGACTCTGAAACGGTTAATATTGCTATCACGCCAGCTTGGAATTCCTCCTCCGACTCGCTGGAGGATGACACGGATGGTGTGGTATCACGCCCCTCCGACATGGAAAGCGACACCATTACGAATACTGACGAAGAAGACGTTCATAATGATACCCCAGCAGCCACCATACCCTCTCCTTCACCTCCAGCTGCGTCAGTCCCTCCCTCTTCCGAAAGTGAACACGACGATGCCTCCGATTCGAGCCTTAGACTCTCGCAACCTACACAAGCCCCTCGCACGACGCCCGTTATATCGCTATCATCTACCCATACCGCCTCTTCCGTTCCGCTTTCAGTTGTCCCACAAGTTTCTCCGCATCCACCACAGATGGCGACTGGTGGCGAGTCGATCTATCGCACCATTATGAACAGATTGACTGCCCTCGAGGGGAATACGACATTGTATGCGCGGTACGTAGAGGAGCAGACCACTGGTGTCAGGGAAGTGCTGCGCCGTTTGGGAGAGGATGTCGGTCGGTTGGAGGGCATCGTAAGTGCTTAAGCCTAGAAAATTTTATCCGCATTCACACAAAGCATATGTCGCCACAGGGCAAGGCACAGCAGCAAATGTACCAACGGTCTGTCACGGAATTTGACAGACGAAGACGGAGGCTAGAGATTGAGCACATTGAACTCATGGCCAAAGTCAATCACCTTGCTGACGAGGTGCGTCCTTCAACGGTCAGCTGCGCGGAGATCCTAACGTAAAGACTGTAGGTGGTACTGGAGAAGCGATTGGGTATAGCCCAGTTGTGCCTATTATTGGCTGTGCTTGTGTTCATGGTCTTCACCCGCGGCTCAAGAGGGGAGCATGTCCACCGCGTCTCCGGCTCCGGCAGACCCATGACGGCGCGGGACTGGGGTCGACGAACACTCAGCCTAAGTATCAGCGGCGACTTGTTGAATCGCTTCAGAGGCCGTAGTCTCACGCCACCCTCTCCAACGAAACAACCACCTAGACAGGCTGAGAAAAGCACAGGTGAGTTGACTTTGCCAAGATACCTGCTCTTATTCTAATCCTGCTGGTCCTTTCTAGCGACCAACTCGGTCGAATTTCCACCTCAAGAAGACCAAAAGCGCGATGCATCATCACGAAACAAGAACCCTCCGCTTCATCCTGGATCCAGCAGTCGCAGACTTTCCTCACACCAACATACACCCTCCTCCATGCGAGTGTCCTCTTCGCGTCATTTCAACATGATACGCCCTCCACAACATGGAGCATCCCATTCGTCGCCCTTGTCGCGTCCAGTGATACAGCGATCGGCGTCTGGTGGAGGCTTCACTGCTCTCGGGCATTCGAGCAGATCAGTCAAGCGGTGGGCGCGCAGTGCACACTTACACGAGGTTAGGGGCCCGCATACAGTGAACACGAATGCAGGCGAGAGCCATGCTGTGCCAGAAGGGGGGCAGGCAACACCGGCCGTACCTCAGCCAGACGCCTCGAATGTGGATATTTTTAGCCCTTTGTCGACACCCGTCGTAGCGGGCATCTCGAGCAAGGGCAAAGGCAGCTATCAGGATTTCCGGCCAGCGTTGTCGCCACTTCGCCTCGGAAGTGCACGAGACCTACCGAAAGGCTGCGCCAGGGAAGGCCCAGCATCTGATGTCGAAGGAAGCGAGGGTGATGGCTGGGTCGACACGGACGCAGATGGGTCTGAATCTGAGGTCGGAGGAGAAGCATCGGGCAGCCAATAGAACAAAACGCAACGGTATCTGCCTTGACTGTTCTGTTACGGCCTCTGCTTGGACTTTCGCACACATGGATTATTGCGTTATCCCTCACTGAGATCTTGCATATGTATTACATCGACATACTTCTTTCTCTCTCCTACTTCTGCCCCTGCATAATTCAGACGGTAATAGGGCTATGAGGCAAAGCACGAGCGATAGAAGGCATCAATGAGCTTGTGTTAACATTGATGTTACTGATACAAACTCCGCTGTAAAATGACTAAACGCTTGTTGATTCGTTTTGTAACTCCGATTATACTTGTGGCTCGGCGCTTGTTAGTACGCTGCTCACTCACGGTCTGCTACTCACCATTGCTGCTCCTCGCGCACTCCTTCAATACGTTCGAGGCAACAGGTCACCAGAGCCCAGAAGACATTGCTTTTGACTTCGGAGAGAGTACGACTGCCAAAAATGCAGCCAATGCCAAATCGGTTAGGACTTGGTCTTCGTCCGCCTATGCCTTCTTACGGCCAGGGTCCCTCAATATCGGCTCTCGCACAGCAGCAGCAAATGCACCACCCACAATTCGTGCCTCCTCAGCCACGGTCAACAACTCTATTTGTTGGATCAATTTCGGGTGGTATCACTGACAATTTCCTGAATGCATTGTTGGGGGTAAGTGCTTCTGCATCGTCTCAAGGGGCGGGCTATTGGTGGAAGAAGGTGACATGCGGGCTCTATGAACACCAGCAGCGGTCATCTACAGGCTGTGATATGTCTGCGCGATGTCCTAATTCTGTGGGCCGCGCACATGGCATCGTAATTGACACCCTGGCACTATTACACTTGCGGCATTGTGCGGCTCTTCGCGCTGCCATAATATAGCGCCTCGCTGCGAGTCTCCTGCATAGTATCCCTCATACACAAAAGCATCCTTCAGAAGTCATTCTTCTATGGTCGCTTAAGTAGAGAGCCAACCCTATATTCTTCGCCTCGGTCGTTGGTAAAGCATGAGCTCATCCATGCTCGTCATTGCAGGCATGCGGCCCCATTTCGTCTTTCAAACGCCTAATAACCCCGGCGAACAAGCCGCAAGGATTCGGTTTTGCCGAATTTCAAGACCCTGATGGTGCGTTGCGAGCTATGACACTGCTTAACGGGGTAGAGTTGCCAGCATTGGAGGATGGGTGCGCCAACAAAAAGCTTCTGGTAAGTTCGCATTCTCTCTGTTTTGCCCGCGTTCAACGTCCATCGCCACAGGTGAAAGCGGACGAAAAGACAAAGATGTTTTTGGATGCATATCAAGCCCAGCGTATGATAACAAACGTGCGCCACTCTGCTTCTCTTTTGTTGATGAAACGTAGTTGAGTCATCACAGGCTGAGGAGGAGTACATACGGAGATGCAAAGCCCGAGTGGACGAGTTGCTTCAGGATATCAACAAGCAATCACAAGAAGCCGCCAGTAGTGGGCTCATCGACAAGGAGAAATACGTTATTCCTCCCCATCTACACGATCTGCAGGAAGCCGATCTGCCCGAAACCCAGCGCGGGCTCGTGATGACCGAGATCGCACAGTTCCGCGAGCGTGCAGCGAAGAGAGAACGGGAAAAAATGCGCGATGTGCAGGCTGCTGTGCCGGGAATCCTTGGCACGCCTAGTGGACCGAAGCAGCGAGAGTGGGGCAAGCCACAGCTTGGATCACAATCATCGCCGGACGCATCGAAGGGCTTCGGCAAGGGCGCACAGGGGTACAGCAAACCTGTCGGCTTCGTGAGAGCGGAGGAGGACGGCAGGTCGCCCACTCCTGGCAGCCGCAGTGAAAGTGTGCGGCCTGGCAAGACAGACGAGGAACTGGAAGCCGAGCGGAAGGAGGCGAGACGGCGAGACGAGGAAAACTCTTACAAAGACGTAAGCGTTGCGTTCCAACGTTCTACTTCACACGACTGACTGCGAGAGATTCGTTAGCGTGAACGTCGGTATGAGCCTCGTGAACGTACTCGTATTTCAGCGCTCGAGAGAGCCATCCTGCGCGAACGTGCTACGAAGGAGGCAGAGGACCGTGACCGCGTCGAAATGCGGGGACGATTGTCGATCTGGGACGACGATGAGAGCGACGAGCTTTTCTATACAGACAGGTGAGATTTTCTCTTTGTGGTGGGATACCAGGCTCCTCACACCCAGTGCAGAACTCGGTGGCGTGCCCTGCGTGCCAGGAGACTGGCTACTGAGCAGGCGGCAGACGAGGAGTCAAGATTATACGAAGAACGAGAAGCAGACAACTTGCGCAAGGAGTCTGAGGAATTCCTAGCGCGTCAGATGGACGAGATGCAGGCGCTACAAGATGAACAGCGGAAGGCTGGAATGTTGCTGGACGACGGTGCGCCTGTCAAGCTTAATGTTTCTCTGGCGGCAGCGACTGCGCCGAAGGCTGAGGCCCCTCCGAAGGAGAAGGCCACGGTCTTCGGGCAGGAGGAAGAGGAAGAGGAGAGTATCCGCAAGCGGAAAGCGCCTCTACCGAGGCTCGACCTTGCGGAGGGAGGCGAGAAGGCGAAGGAGAGGCTTGAGAAGATCCGAGAGTCCGTGACCCGCGACAAGGAGACTCTGTTCAAGTCAAAAGTCCGATGGGACGGTTTGTCCGACGTACGTCCGCCCTCATCGTTGCTGGATCTCAGTGAATTCGTACTGATCGGCCGTGCAGACCATGATCGATCGCAAGCTGGAGCCAATGGTCAAGCGCCAGATGACGAAGTACCTGGGCGAGCTGGAGGATGACGACCTTGTGATGTTTGTGCTCGAGCATCTCAAAGACCACAAGGGCCCCCAGAAGCTGATTGAGGGCCTGGAGCCGGTGCGTCCCCGTTATTGTTTCTGTCTGACCGCGAGACTGTCGTTCCGCTGCGCCGATACAGATGGCTGAACATGTTCTCTATGTGTCGTTTTAGGTGCTGGAAGAGGAGGCGGTCGAGTTTACGATCCGCATCTGGCGGCAAATCATCTTCGAAAGCATGGCATATGGTGAAGGCCTGCACACCGAGAGAATGACGGTCGACTGACGTGGAGGGCGGTGCCGTTGACGCGATATTTTTGGATTGCAGTGGGGCAGGTGCGTTTGTGTAGTATCGAATATTTCTCTGCTAAGATGTACAAGTGCCCGACGACGCTATCGATATGGTATATGTAATGCGTGCCTGTGCTGTCGAAGCTCGCATACTGGGAGGGTAAAGCAGCGCTGGGTGCTCGTGGATCGCGTCGTGAGTCGCACATTCAATCTAGGTTTATGCCAATGAGATGATGTTACTTCGCGCGTTTCTCTGATGAGGTTGCCGCTTGCCATGGAGCAAACACCCAGTTCGACAAATCATCACCGCTAAGTAGCCACATTCTTGATCGTAGTGGATCCATTGACCAGTATGCCTCCACTATTCGGAGGCAGTAATGGTAGATTTGTTGTGGAACGACAAGCGTATACCTGTCAGATAAACGCTGTGGGCGTTTGTCCCAACTATTTACATGTAAAATCACCGCGGTGAGCCCCCACCTCTTTGTCTGACAACGACGTCCAGGCACCCGTATACAGACACCGGAGATATTAGTGAAGGATCTGCAAGTGAGCGCACTGTTTTTGTACTATTTCAACCGCCGCCTCGAGCATGCTATCGGCAGCACGCTTATTTCCTATCCTGCTATCACGGGGCATCATGATGTATTTCATGCGGTCCGGCTCGATCAATAGCATCGTACAGTGAGTCATGTAGCGTGTGGAACTCGTAGGGCGTCATAACAATATGGGTATCAGATCGTCCATGCAAAGGACTAGCGGCTTTTGAGTCTCATCTCTTTCCTGTTAAACCCAGCTACTCCGCATACTGCACCTGCACCTGCACATCCACATGCACCTCGAACCGATTAACCCTGGGCGTCTGTATAAAGTTCTCCATGGAGTCTGTCTCCTCGTCGAGGTCCTCTGAGTCGTCTGCTCGATGGACCACCGCCCACTGGTCCGCCTTGGGATCTGTCTCGTCTTGTGCAGAGCTGGGCTCGACGGGACTCGCTCCTGCCTCTGCGGGGTGTCTATCGCCTCTGCTGATGATAACGGCGGCGTGGGTCCGTTGCTGCGGTGTGGGGCTGGGTGCGGTTAGGGCGGGCCTTCCGTTCAAGACGGACGTCGATGGACTTGGATACTCTGCGCGCTCCTCTCTGGCGGCGACGGCGGATGCTGGATCCTCCGATGCACGCTCAGCTGCGGTGCGCGGAGCCTGTGCTTCCTCCGACGTCATCTTGCTGAAAGGCGACGTTTGTCTCCGTAACCTGGGGCAGTTTTGAGGGGGGTTCTGTCTCACATGCAGAGATGGGTCAGCAACATGCTAATGCCTGGAAGACGAGAGGGCAGACGCACAAGGCTCTGGGCAGTCACGAGATCTCTTGGCTTCCGTCGTCGAGATGCAATATAGCAACACAGCTGGGCCCCTCTTTCGTGCGGTCGGTCGTCAATGTCAGGTGTCGGTCGTGAGGAATCGTGAAGATGTCGCAGGCACAGTAGGCTAATGGGGGTCAGGAGCGCGGGCGTACAGCTTCTTCCCCCTTGCGGAGGGTGATATATGTATGCAGACGCTGTGACTGCAGCCAGGAATACCGTGCATGCGGATTCGCCACAACCAGGAAAGGAACCGGTGATGCATAGAGAACAGTTCCAGCAGACCCTTCTTGATCATCTGTCAGGATGACTATGGTGGGTGCGGTGCTCCCCGGCGCTTCTGCGGGCGTCATAAAGTCTCTATTGGGTGCTGCCGTTGCCTCGTAGGGCGGCGGGCATGCCCACCCGTCGGCCATGTCGGCAAAGCCGCAGTCGTACGCTCGAGTTGGAAACGTCGACGTGCGAGGCGGGACCCGCAGGGAGGGGGACAAACGGAAGGTATTAGATTCCGCGCGGCGCGCACGATCAAACTCTGAGTATCATGCTCCGCAAGTTTAGGAGCGGCATGTGGTGGGCGGGGAATGCGCGGGCTCACACTCCATGGACACCGAGCGCCGGGACGTGCGTCCGGTAAGTGCGAGTTGTGTACAAGTGTGGGTACATGCGCCCCCGCCGAAGGGCCAGCTTTCTTCTTCTGCCTCCCGATCGCGCGTCCGTCAGATTTTGGTCGTCCAGCCAGATGGGCGCATTGTGCTGGTTGACTCTGCACCGCACGTTGCTGGCATCAATCCTGCGAGGCTCTGAGGGTAGCGGCTAGTGCGATGTATCCCGTGTGTTGCTGAGCACTCCGCCCGACCCTTGTTGATCAATGGGAAGTTGTCCAGCGGACGGTCGTCAGCCATCGAAAGCCCACAGGGGCTCCTGCATCTAACCTTCTCTGCGACACGGATGTGCGTCTCTATCGCTGCGGGCGAAGCTCGGGCTGGTGGCATGATGAGATGGACCCCTCCGAGGGGCACTCAGGCTGGTCCGAGACTGTATGCTGATGCATAATGAAATCCTCGAGGCGCGTGCCTGCGGCCGAGACAGCGTGAGGACGGGTTTGGGAGACGCTAGCGATATCAAATGGAACATCAAATTCGGCTCATCGGCACCTGGGCCGAGCGTGTGTGCCCGAGGGGGGCCTCTCCGTGTCAGCCATGCCCTACCGCACGCCCAGGTTCCGCGAGAGTCGCAGCCTCGCTTCAGCCCGCCCGCCTGCCCGCGCGTGGCAATTATTTATGCATGAACCAGCATGTGCATATACGCCGAATGACGGTCTAGCGAAGGGGTACTATGCCAAGCTTGTCGTGATGCCCGAGGGGATTCGAGAAGCCCATGGTGGCTCCGTGCATCCGGCTTCCTGGGCGAGGCCGTACGGTCGTCGGTGTCGTCTGTCTTACAAGTTCCCCGATCGAGCAGCCTGAGCAGGCGAAAACATTCATTTTAAGTAATGGTCGTCGCGCATGCAGACGACACTGCCGAGTCTGGACATCCGCGGCGCGTCCTGTTCGCCCCGGACCACTAGATGGATGCACATCGGGTTCTGTATCCGTTCCAGTCGATCGTCCGCGGTGGCGGTGGCGGTGGCGGTGGCGGTGGCGGGTGGGGCACCCTGTGTGGACGGTGCGTGAGCCCTAGACAGTACGAGGACTGCAAGGAAGGAGTTTCTGGAATGGAGAGGATCTGGCTCCTGGCTCCCGCAGGCCCCCGCCCGCGCGTTATCCGGAACTTGGTTCGGGGTTTGCTGGCGCACTGGCTGCGCCAGATGCGGGCGGGGCTACAGACGCGACGTCGGGTGCTCATGCGCTCGTACCCAGGGGCTACGGCCCACGGGAGACGACGACGACAACACACGGCACTTATCTTCGGAGGCTGGCGTGTTTTTTTTTGGTCTGAATTTGTCGTTGTCAGCGATGCACTGCGAATGTTGATGTTGTGTGTTTCACTTTTCGAGGTACAGGGTGCTACAGCCACAGCTTCCGCCACGCACTGGCACACACATGGGCTGGGCCGGCGGCAAAACAATAGAGTGGTGTGGCGCGGGCTGCGCAACAGCCCAAGTCAGGAGCCCTCGGCCTGGGTGAGTAGACCGAGATCATTATCATTATGTTGATGTTGGCAAGGTGCAGTGGGTTAGCGTTCAGCCACATCGTGGTGGCATCAACTTCTAGAGAGCGTCCCGGGTGCAACTTGAATGGGGCGAATGGCAGGTACTAGTGGGACGGGGTCTCATGGGGAGACGACGGCTGGGGCGATATCGCAACGGCCCACGGGAACTCACGTTGTCTATTAGAGCTCGGGCCTGGCGTGCGGCGTGTGTGGCCGTGTTACCCCTGGTGGCGTTGTAGCTCGGTGTCGAAATTACACATTGTGGCTTCGGTCTCACATTACATATTGCACTGGGTAAGATGCGCACGCTGGGGTTTCCTCTTTCTCGAATAAGTAAGTGTACGAGCATCGCGTCCAGTGCGTAAGTTTGGTGGGCTGCCTGTGGTCTTGCGATCCCCGCTTAGCGCTGGTGATGTACCAATCAGGGACGGCGCTTTCTGTTATCAACGGCTGTAGCGCTGATTGGTCAGGACTCATAATGCGGGGGCAGACGTCCCATCCTGCAGCGGCGGTGGACAGGGATAGTATGCAGACAATGAGCATCCCCAAGATATATTTAGCTTTATTCGGACCCGGCTGCAAAAAGGATTCGGCGTGCGACCAGGTGCTCCCACGAGAGCCGTCTAATTCCGGGGTGGCCACTGGCCGAACATACAGGCTGAGGATAACGGGAGAGAGCACATCCCCGGCTGTGAGCAGGGGAAGAGCACGAGTCGAAACGGAAGAGCCTGGCGAGGGTGATGCCGAGTTCTAGAAGCGAAGCCAAACGGAGCGCCCCCTCGGGTGCAGCGGTATCCGGGGACGGGAATGCGTGGGCGAACACGTACCGCTCGCTGGTAGGAACGTACGAGGACGTATGTAGGTGCAATGATCATGGGCCGATTGACTGCGAGCAGCAAACGACAGAGATGAGAGTCGTACCAGAGTCTGGACAGGCTGGGGATATTTGGGCTGGTGGGATCGAGATAGCGATCTGAGAGCGTAGCGCTGCCCTGATTGGACGGCGCGCCTGATTGGTGGACGAGTGAGTGTTCCGAGGAGGGTACGGCCACTGGGTACCCGGCGTCATCGTCCTTCTCCGTGATCGTCCGATGACGTCCTCAACCCACCGCTGTGCTCCCCAATATAAGCCTTCGCCCGACCAATCCCATCCCTTGCATCTCTCTCTACATCCGTCTGGGACCGCCGTCGCTGTCGGTCTCGCATATAGCTGCATATTTTCAACGCATACACTCCTTGCTTTCTATTGCTTTCACAGACGTGTCTCATTGCTACCATGCTGCGCGTCCGTGCCCAGGTTGTCCCTGCAAACAGGGCTAAAATCGCTGTCACCACGGGCAGACGCAGCTTTGGCGCGTCCGCCGCCCGACGCGAGCAGCACCTCGTCATCCTCGGCTCAGGATGGGGCGGGTACGAGCTCCTGCGCAAGGTTGACAAGAAACGATGGAGTGAGTGCCTTTGCTTTTTTCCACGACGGCATTTGTTCCCACAGTGATTATGGATGCTGTCCGTCTCTGAGTGCATACATTGTACACCTGCGGCAGCACCTCCCACACAGTTGACGAAATGATACTAAAATGCGATCTCGCGCGTGACCAGCGCTAACCTGCGCCGTAGGCAGGATCGCGGTTAGCCAATCGCATGAGAGAGATCCTCGTGACGCTCGTGACCGTCTGGCGTCGCGATTGGCTAGTCCGCCGCGGCTTCCTGGACACGACAGGGCTGCTGCAAGTATGCTGGACATGCTGTCGCTTAACAATACGAATAAGCTAGGACACATACATCCGTTCGGCTAGCATCAATGTGTCTCCGCACTCCCGGAATGTTCATTACCCCTGGCTAACCAGTCTTGTCGCTTGCTCAGACGTGACAATTGTCTCCCCGAACAACTACTTCAACTTCACACCCCTACTGGCGAGCTGTGCCGTCGGCACGCTCGAATTCCGCTCAGCCGTTGAGCCTGTGCGTGACAATGCGCATCCGCGCGTTTTTGTCGCTAACGTGATCTTGCGTTCGTGACCCAGGTCCGGAGATACACTCCTCAGGTGGTACGTTCGTGTTCAAACTTGCTTGCCCATGTGCGCCCTGATATGACGGCCTACAAACCTGTTTGCAGCACGCGTACCAGGCCTGGTGCGACTCGATCGATTTCAAGCACAAGACCCTCACATGCGTGCGCGCACCGCTCCGTCTTCCAACTCACCTTCTGTCTCACACCCACTGCAGATGCCCGCGACACCGCCGCTGCCATACCCCTCGCGTGGCGGCGAGACCCCAAAGCCCGACCCCGGCACCAGCGCGACGTTGCAGGTCGCGCCCGGCAATCGCGGCACGCAGCAATACGAGCTCAAGTACGACAAGCTCGTGATCGCCGTCGGCGCGTACAACCGCAGTATGTCTCCCGAGCTTTGAGCCGCGTGTGAAAACGAGCTGATGCGTGTACCTTTACATAGCGTTCTTCATTCCGGGCGTGAAGGAGCATGCACACTTCCTCAAGGACATCCGCGACGCGCGCGCGATCCGGGCGCGGATTCTCGAATGTGAGCTGCCGTGTCGTCTACGCTCGTCGCTGCACGCAGTGCGTATTCCCCGCTAATACGTCGCGCGCAGGCTTCGAGCAGGCGAACCAGCCGACGATCACGGACGACGACCGGCGCAAGCTGCTGCACTTCTGCATCGTCGGTGCGTGTGCAGCCCTCGCTATGGGTATGCGATGTGCAGCTGCTGATGACGCCGCGCAGGGGGCGGGCCGACGGGTGTCGAGTTTGCAGCGGAGCTGCACGACTTGCTGCACGCGGAGATCAAGCAGTCCTACCCGAGCCTTGCGCGGATGGCCAAAATCTCGCTGTACGACGTCGCGCCGCGGATCCTCGGCAGCTTCGACGTCGGGCTGCAAGAGTGCGTGCTGGGCTACTTCCTGGTTGAGGGCGTACGGGATGCTTACCACAAGTACACACGCGCAGCTGGGCGACGAAGAAGTTCACGCGCGAGGGCATCAATATTCTGACGCAGCACCATGTTGACAGGGTTGAGTCGGTGAGTGTGTGTGGCATGCTCAATGTATCAAGGGACTGAACGTTTTCTTGAAGGGCAAGATGTACGTCAAGGAGCAAGGGGAAGGTGAGCACTCGACAGAGGAGGAAGGCGAAGGCAAGCTGAGTGATCGGACTCTGTCGCAGTACACTTCGGTCTGCTCGTGTGGAGCACGGGTCTCGCGCCAAACCCTCTTGTGCAAAACCTCACGGAGGCTGAGAAGGACCCCAAGACCGCTAGGTACGCCAGAGGCATGCACCGTGATGGCGCACCTCATTGATCGTGTTCCAAACAGCATCCTCACCGACGAGCACCTGAACGTCCTCATGAAGGACACGGGAGCGCCGAACCCGGACGTCTGGGCGATCGGCGACGCCGCCATCATCAAGGGCAACCCGCTGCCCGCCACAGCCCAAGGCGAGCTTCCATCTCCTGTGCACGCGCGCTGGCCAGGCGGAGCTGACGTCCGCGGGGCATAGTGGCAAACCAAAAGGCGCAGTACCTGCGCAAGAAGCTGAACCGGCTCGTGCGGGACCGCGCGGCGCCGGAGCCGTTCGCGTTCCACAACGCGGGGAGCCTGGCGTACCTGGGCGACTGGCAGGCGGTGTACGACCGCTCGCACGCGGAGAGCGGGCCGAAGACGATGGAGACAGGGCGCGTGGCGTGGCTGCTGTGGCGCTCGGCGTACTTCACGATGACGCTGAGCCTGAAGAACAAGTGAGTGCTTTGCGCCGCTGTGTGTGTGATGTCCGGCGGGCTGATGAGTGTGCGTGTGTGCGCGTGTGTGTTGCGGCGCGTGCAGGATCTTGGTGCCGACGTACTGGTGAGTGGCGCGCTGCTCGTCATGCGGGCGTGGCTGAGGGCTGTGATGCGCAGGTTCATGAACTGGATATTCGGCCGCGACCTCAGTCGGTTCTGAGGATCCCGCTTCCGGGCAAGCCGGGAGCAGAAGGCAGGGGAGGGCAGGGGAGGACAAGGCATGGGAGAGAGAAGGCCTGCTTACAGTACTCGGACTGGCCGTGTGTTGGTACGACTAATATTACCAGGAGCATAATGCATAGACTTAGAGATAGATGGCTTCCTGCACTTGAATGATATCTTCAGATTCGTACAGACATCGGGGTCCGGGGGCTGCCGCCGTCGCCGCCACCGACTTCAGCCTGGCAGCCACCACTGCATGCAGGAATCATTTTTCTTGTACAAAAAATTGAATCAAAATCAAATCAAAAGCGGATAGCACCTGTTTGATGCAGAAATCGAATGGAAATCGAATGGATATTACAGACAAATTGAAAGAAACAGTAATACTGATTAGGCGAATTCAATTTGATTTCAATTTGTATTTGGGTTTTTACACCAGAAAATCGAATACCGCATGCAGTGGTGCACGTAACTTGAAGGCTTGACCACTTCGTTGGGGCGGTGATTCACCCCTTTTCCCTGCTTGCCTTGCCGCACTGATGAAAGACCGTCCGTCCATATTTGGACGTCGATGCGATATGCTCCAAATCACAGCTCACATTCGTAGCAGCCCACAGGAGACGCTGTCAATGCGCCACTGAGATGTACTTGTTACGATCGCCGTGGACGCGACGACAGGCGCAATTGTTCGCGGCGGAGATACCTGTAGGGAACACTGTCACTTATTCTTTTTGTAAATTGTGGCCCATACTGCTGAGCATAACGTATAGGAGAGGGTCCTAGCGGCGGCGTGAGATCCGATCTGCGGGGCCGGGGATAAGTACGAATGGCATTCTATGGCAGCGGCCGGAGTACAATAACGTCGGACGTCCCCTGATGCTCTTACAATCACCGTCTCATCTCAGTCTCAGTCTCAATCGTCTCGTCTCGTCTCACAATAACCTTGTGTTCCAACGCTGGTCTGCGCGCAGTTACAGGCTCTGGTATATAATGCTGCAGGAACAGCCCTTCTCTTTCAGCATTCACTGCAGAGTCTGGTCGCTGGTTCGACCGCCGCGTGTCACACATAGTATACCTCATTCTGCCGCCGTGCGGCGCTTCATTAAGTTCGGGATGTGAGTACCTCGGGCCATGAGGGTGGCAGCTCTCAGGCCTCATGCCTCATGCCTGGTCGACTGATGGCAAGATACTGAGCTGACAAGTGTTTCCCCCGTCAGAATCCATAGTCGTCGTAGCGCTGCAGTTGGAGAGTCTATCGCGCATCACATTCGCATCTGCTCAACATGCCCCCCCGGTTTCCTGTTGATAATCCTCACTTCACGCTCGCCAAGACGGCCCCCAGGCTTCGACGGCTGACAGTGAAATGCCACCTAGCCCTCGGGGCGCGAGTCCGTCGCCGAACCCGGCGTCTCAAAGCAGTCGGGAAAGAGCTCTACGAACACGCACTGGTGAGCACGATCAACAAGCAGTGGCCCGCACTCGCTGATACCAGTGCCCACCACGTAGCGCCCGCTCCTCCGGGATCTCGGGTTGGTTCTTCCGCGCGCCACGATTCATTCGCTGCCGTACGAGACCCTGGCACACATCTTCGCGCTTGGACGCGACCCGTCCCCGTGCAGAGCATGTTCGCGAAAGCCATGGCGGCTCAGGGATGGCAATCCGTGCGCATGCAAACTGCCGTTCCCGCACCTTGTCTCCAGCGTATGCTGCCATTGGAGGACGATCGCGCTGGCCATGCCGCAGCTGTGGACGACCGTTCCTGTGACCCCGAAGGCGACCATGAGCATGATGTCCGTATACCTGAAGCGCTCACGCGGCCGGCCAATCGACGTCAACATCGTGATACGACACCCCGACAACTTGCATGAGACTGACGACCATTACCCTGTTCTCCGGCATCTGCTGCTCGAGCATGCCGCGCGCTGGCGCCGCGTCTCGATCATATGCGACAGGCCGCTTATCGAGCCCTTTCTGCTCGCGCTGCTCAACCAGGTGCCGTTCCCCATGCTCGAGGTCCTGGAGATCGACTTTCCGAGCCTCCATCCCTATTTGTTGATTATGGAGGACGACTCATGGCCGAAGCGCTTGCTTGCGAAAGGAGCGCCGCGTCTTCGTGAGGTCAGTATCTTGCAGGCTTACCTGACGAAATTCACGATGAAGCCGCTGGCCTCTCTGGAGAAGCTCGAGCTCATGACATCAAACTGGGCCCTGCCGCACCTGAAGGTGATATCGGTTACGTCCCTGCGCCTCACGCACCTCACCTTGTTCTGCAAATCCGAGTACTTGCCGACCTCCACCCATGAATTGGAAGCATTCTCAGGACTCCTTTTCCCCTCTCTAACGCATCTCCGTCTCCGGCACACAGTCTCCGGAATACCGCTGTTGCGTATATTGGAGGCCCCCGAGCTGACAGTTCTACAGCTAGAAGACCTCCGCTTCAAGAGAAACGAAGATGTCGTCGAGCTGCTGAATGCGCTGCGCATCGGTGGCGACCCTGATGCCCCCTGCAAGTTTCCGTGCATCTCTTCTTTGAGATTCGAAATCCCGCAGACGAAGACCGAAGGCTTGCCGGAGGTCTTCGGCGGCCACCTGTTAGAGTTCCTGCGATTGTTCCCCGCAGTCGAGCACCTCGCGATCCAAGGGTTCCGTACCGACGAGATCGTGCGGTCTATGACGAGCACGGATCCTGCGGACGTCGTTCTCCCCCGACTGAAGCGCTTCGTGATACTCGGGTATCCTCACGCGGAACACTTAGACTCAGCGGGGACGCTCGTGCGATGGCGCGCGGGCGCAGGGGCCCCCATAGACCCCGTCTTCCTGATTATGTTCCCTGCGAGCAATTTTCCACTGTACTCGAGCCACTACGGGCGGGGTATGCTGCTAGAGTGGCAGTTTTCTCCGAAGCGCGCGTGGCTTTCCTTTGTAGCAAGCCGGCGAGCACGGATGCCCTCATACGACGGCGGGCTACATGCAGGCGCAGATTGGATGCAGGACGAGCAGACGCGTAGGGGGCGGCTTGGGTTCTACGGTTCATGTCCTCCGTTTAGCTGTCCTCTGGAAAATGCTACCGAAATGCCCGAGGAGGATACGTGAAGGCTTCGTTCGAGGGGTTGACTTTACTGCTTGACGTGTTGAGGGTCATGTCTAGCTGTACAAGTCATCGGGAATATCCAACTGTTCATTTGGGCATAGGTAGTACCCGCCTTGGGTGTTTTAGGTGACTTTTCGCCAACCATACGCTATAATATTTGAGATCGTGGCATGTCTTGGTATTCGCGATTTGTGTCCGTTAAATCAGGAATAAAATGTGTTATTAATTTGAAACATTATCCTGTAAGACAGTAAAACATTCCACGGTCCCGTGTGTGCGTATGTGTTGCGGCTCGTGCAGCATTTTGGTGCCGACGTACTGGTGAGTGGCGCACCGTTCTCGTTGCAGGTGCAAAGACGGGCGTGGCTGAAGGCTGTGATGCGCAGGTTCATGAACAGTGAATTGGATATTTGGCCGCGACCTCAGTCGGTTCTGAGGATTCCACCTTCGGGCAGGCTGGGAGCAGAAGGTGGGGGCCGTGGGGCAGGAGGGGGAGAAGGGGAGGAGAGAAGGCCTGCTTACAGTACTCAGGCTGGCCGTGTGTTAGTACGATTGACATTACCAGGAGCATGATGCATAGACTTAGAGATAAATGGGATGGCTTCTTGCGCGTGATTGACATCTTCAACTTCGTACAGACATTGGGGTCCCCGGGGGGCTACCGTCGCCGCCGGCTTCAGTCAGTCAGGTGAACAGGGCTCATGGTTGCAGTTGACCATTTCATTGGGGCAATAACTCGCTTGCCTTGCCGCACTGACAGAAGACCGGCCATCCATATTCAAAAGACAATGCGATGCGATGTTCTCGCAATCCCTATCCACATTCGTAGTAGCCCACAGGAGACGGTGCGCCAACGAGATGTACTAGCACTTGTTATGGATGCGGCGACTCCATTATTAATAGTCACATATTTGATACCGCATCATTCCATCAATCTACCTAGCCTATCTAGGTAACTACTCCTAGATGATGGTCCTAGGGCGTGAGATATCTTCGGGGCCTGACACGAATATGGCATTCCAGAGGTTGAAGTACAATAAACGTCGGACTGATCCTCTTACACTGTCATCTCAATCTCAATCGTCTCATCTCGTCTCACAATAGTCTTTCAACGCTGCTCCGTGCGCGATCACGGGCTTTGGTATATAATGCTGCAGGAACAGCCCTTCCCTGTCAGCAATCACTGCAGACTCTGGTTGGTCCCGGGCCGCTGCTAGTAGTATATCTGCTTCTGCCGCCGCGGCGCTTCAACCAATTCATAAATTTGGGACGTGAGTACCTCGGGCCATGAGGGTGGCAGGCGTCAAGGCCTCACTGGCATGCCTCATGCATATTTGACTTCTCGCAAGACACTGAACTGATCAAGTTTCTCCCCCATCAGAATCGATAGCGTTGGAGAGTCTATCACGCCTCGCATCTGCTCAACATCATGCTCTCCCGGTTTCCTTTTGACAATATCTACTTCACGTTCGCCAAGACGGTCTTTCGATGGCTGTGGATAGACTTCACGACCTTCGTGGTGCGAATCGTCTGGCATCCCAAAGCATTCGGAGGAGAGCTCCTTCAAGCCACAGTAAGCACAATCCACGAGAAATGGCCCACAATCGCTGAAACTAATGCCCGCCACGTAGCGCCCCCTTGTCCGGGCTCTCGGACTTGGTCGTCCGCCGACCACGATTCATTCGCTACCGTACGAGACCCTAGCACACATCTTCGCCCTTGGACGCGACCCGTCCCCGTGCAAAACATGTTCCCAGGCACCATGGCGGCTCAGGGAAGGGAAGCCGTGTGCGTGCAAATTACCGTTCCCGCACCTTGTTTCCAGTGTGTGCCGCCATTGGAGGACAGTGGCGCTGAACACGCCGCAGCTCTGGACGACCGTCCCTGTGACCTCGAAGGCGACCATGAGCATGATGTCCGAATACCTAGGACGTTCGGGCGGCCGGCCAATCGATGTCAACATCGTAATACTACATCCCGACAGCCTGTATGAAACTGACGACCATTACCCTGTTCTCCGGTATCTGCTGCTCGAGCACGCCGCGCGCTGGCGCCGCGTGTCCATCATAAACAACAGGTCGGAGGTCATGCACTTTCTGCTCGCGTTGCTCAATCAGGAGCCCTTCCCCATGCTCGAGGTCCTGGAGATCGACTTTCCTAGCAGCTTTCACTACACGTTTAGTATGTTCGAGGGCAATTGGCCGAAGCGTTTGCTTGCAAAGGGAGCACCGCGTCTGCGTGAGGTCAGTATCTTGCAGGGTCGGTTGACGAATATCACGATGGAGCCTCTGGCCTCTCTGGAGAAGCTCGTACTCATGACACCAAACTGGACCCTGCCGCACCTGAAGGTGATATCGGTTACGTCTCTGCGCCTCACGCACCTTACCTTGTACTGCAACATCGCGCGGACCACCATCCATCCATCTGAAGTATTCTCAGACCTCTTTTTCCCCTGTCTAACGCATCTCCGTCTCCGGTACACCGTCTCCGGAATACCGCTGTTGCGCATAATGGAGGCCCCCGAGCTGACAGTTCTACAGTTGGAAGACCTCCACTTCAAGAGAAACGAAGTAGTCGTGGCGCTGCTGAACGCGCTGCGCATTGGTGGCAACCCTGATGCTCCCTGCAAGTTTCCGTGCATCTCTTCTTTGAGATTCGAAATCCCGCAGACGAAGACCGAGGGCCTGCCGGAGGTCTTCGGCGGCCATCTATTAGAGTTCTTGCGATTGTTCCCCGCAGTCGAGCAACTCGCGATCCAAGGGTTCCGTACCGACGAGATTGTGCGGTCTATGACGAGCACGGCTCCTCCAGACGTTGTTCTCCCGGGACTGAAGCGCTTCGTGATGCTCGGACATCCTCACGCGGAACACTTGGACTCAGCGGAGACGCTCGTGCGATGGCGTGCAGCCGCAGGGGCCTCCATATCCAACGTCTTCCTGATTGGGGTTCCTGCAAGCAACTTGCCGCTGTACACGAACCACTACGGATTGAGACTGCTGCTGGGGTGGCAATTATCTCCGAAGCGTGTGTTGCTCTCCCTTGTAACAAGCCGGGCAGCACCCTCGTATTATGGCGGGCTACATGCAGGCGCGGACTGGATGCAGGACGAGCAGACGCGTAGGGGGCGGCTTGGGTTCTACGGACCATATCCTCCATATACCAGTCCTCTGGAAAGAGCTAACGATGTGACCAAGGAACTTAGCCTTACGTGAGGGCTTGCTCGAAAGGTTGACTTTACTGCTTGATGTGTTGAGGATCATGTCTCGTTGTACAAGTCATCAGGATTATCCAACTGTCCACTTGGGCGTAAGTAATACCCGCATTGGGTGTCTTAGATGACTTTTTGTCAACTATGCGCTTGAGATCGTGGCATGTTTTGTTTGCGATTTTCTTTTTGTCAAATAAGGGAGTAAGATGCTCTGATTAAAATGAAACACCATCCAGGTCTTATATTCACGGCCCGATGGAAATCGGTTAGCGACAACACGACCTCCGCTCGGAATTGCTGGAATCCGTAGGATTACGGCTGCTATCTAGTCTGTAGCCTCTCCTTCCCGATTGAGTTGTCATCTCCGGCCCGTACTTATGAAAACGTAAGCGACTGCGGGCTCTAGCAGCCGACGGCTGGTGCGCTGGCATGTAAGTAACATCGATATGTTGATTGTTTTACAGTATTGGTTGTGCCTTAATCAACGCGTTGCACCGTGTCTCCTGTATTGATGGCGGTAACACCACTCCCTCTTTAGGTCTTTTCTAGCAATCTTCAAGACAGTATTCAGACGGCTATACTCGAATTGTGTCAGTGCGGTGTCAATCGCGCAGCGATTCCGATGTCAACTTGTCCTGATACTCGAGACAGTCAGAAAGAAGCTGCTCAAGTACACACCGGTAAGCCTGTATACCAGACCTAGGTCCCTGAACGGGGCTCCTCTGATACGGACGATTAGCGGCCATTACTGCGGTTTGTAGGAGTAGGTCCACCTCGGACTACAATACATTCGCTACCGAATGACGTCCTCGCACATATCTTCGTTCTTGGATGCTACCACACACCACCGTGCTCGTACTGTCGCCAATACGGACGTTTGAGACAATTATTGCCGTGCACATGCAGCCTACCTTTCCAATACCTCGTCTCCGGCGTATGTCGTCGTTGGCAGGTTCTTGCTCTCAACACCCCGCGACTCTGGACCGTGGTGCCTATCAACTCGAGGGCGACGACGTACACAGTCCTCGACTACCTAGGGCGATCCGGCGTGCTGCCGATTGAGATTGATATTAGAGTACCGGGACCTGACATGCCCTTCTCTGAAGACGAGCTGTTAGGAATATGCACCCTGCTAGCGTGGAACTCTGAGCGCTGGCGTTGCTTCTCCCTCGTCTGCCGCAATCCCATGCTCCTATACAGTATGCTTCATTTTCTAGGGCAAAGGGACGTTCCGATACTCGAAGTACTTGATGTGGACGTTCCGCTCCCCGGCCCAGAGATCCCTCTCCTACTCCAGCAATGGCCAGAAGTTCTGCTGCAGAAGGGTGCCCCGCGTCTCCGGGAGATACATATCATGCAGGGCCGTCTGACGGAAATCACATTGGAGCCCCTCGCCGTCCTCGACACTCTGGTACTCATGACGACCCATTGGAATCTACCGCGCTTGAAACACTTAGCTGACACTTCACCCCTGATCACCCATCTCTCTCTGTACTGTCTCACCATGTCGAATGCGCCCCAAGAGGATGCCGTCGAGGTCAGATCTCTCCATTTCCCCTCTCTCACGCATCTACGCCTTCGACAGACTATGGTTGGCATTCCGCTACTTAGCATGCTCACCGCGCCGCTGTTGGAAGTGCTGCAGCTAGAGGAACTTTCTTTCGGGACGGAAGTTGAGGCCAGGATGCTGCTGAACTCATTGAAAACGGAGGACGCTCCGGATGCGCTATGCAAGTTCCCTCGTATATTGTCCGTCCGGTTCGAGATTATGCAGATGAAGAACGAGGGGCTGCCTGAGGTCTTCGGGGGCCACTTACTGGAGTTTCTTCACCTCTTCCCGTTGGCGGAGCATCTGGCTGTCCAGGGATGCCGCATTGAGGACATCATGGTGTGCATCACACCGCCAAACATAACCCTCCCCCGACTAGAGCGCATTACCCTTTTGGCCCCCCTTTCAGAGGAGTATTTAAGCGCCGTCGATGCGCTCCGGCAGCAGCGTCAGAAGATTGGAATGCCCGTGCCATCCGTCCATATCATCGGAATGTGCGCATCCAATATGCCCCAGCATGCGCGTAATTACGAAACCGCGCCGATGGTATGGGGCTTTGTCCATTTTCTTAGTATGGGCACGCAGAAGGGACTCCGGTTTAGTCCAATGTCGGACTCGATTGATGAAGATGAATGGATGCAAGATAGGCAGTTGTCCAGGAATCGACTCCGACTCAAACAGCCGGATATGTTGGCTATCATGCAGCCGGACATGTTGACTCTCATGTAAGATGTATCATTTCAGACAGACCACAAGACTGATAGGCAAGGTGTACAGAGTGGGATGACAGAGGGCGGCCAAGTAAACATTGTACACATTCTTCCGTCACCGAGGCTTCTACTACAAGACTTCAGTAGTACAAGACCAGGTGCTTGATCTGCTAGAGACATCGCTAAATGTATCAATATCGTCCGTGATCACAAATACATCGTCCACAGGCTCTCTATGTGTGGGCTGCGTGGGACTGATGACGACAACGTCCGAGAGGTCTATTGGGCCTTGCAAGGCAGCTCTGTCTCGCTCGGCGGATTCGAGACCTCGTGTAAGTGCTCCCCGGTCATCGCTAGCTCTCATTGGTGTAGCTTCTTGCGTTGGCAAAAGGCCAGAACGTACAGGGGTCCCAGGATGATATGCAGGTGGCGGGGAGAAAGGGGTGGGCGAGAACGGCGGAGGCGAGTCGGAAAGCCATTCCTTCCCTAGCCAACGCGACGGCGTGGGCGTTGAGGGATAAGGAAAGTCCTGCTCGCGCGGGGACCACGGCGACATGAGCGCGGTGGGAGGCTTCTCTGTGGGAAAGATGACGACGCCGTCTCTCTTGCCTGTCGAGAAAACGTCTTCCTTCAGCGGCGCAAAACCCCTGCGATCTCGGGGAGTGCGGGAGGAGAGGACATCGGCGGCAGGAGGAAGACGGAGGTCGAGGCGAAGTTTCGTCGCGAACTTCTCGCGAGCAAGGCGCCGTTTGCCCTGGTCGCGTTTGGGGAGATGTAAGGAGCGTAAGGTTTTATGGACAGGAGACTCTGAAGAGGGTGCTCCAGGTTCCCGCTTAGAGGATGTAAAGAACGTGGTGATTTTAGAACGAATGTGCCGTATTCTGCTGCCCACTGAAGGACGTTCCGGAGGAGTTGCAGGGAGTCGCAGTCCGCGGAGAGGCACGTTTGCAGGAGGCTTCTTCCGGTGCAGACATGGGATAACCTGATAAGTCAGCACCAGGACAAAGAGGCCCACTAATGTCGGAAGCCGCGGTCGTCAGTACATCTCTTAATCATCGAGCTACAAGATGCACTCACGCACGCCGATGACCATCCCGGTCACAGTAGTCATCGCCAAGCTCGGCGACGTCTGCGTCCCCGTGCTGGACGTGCTTGTACGAGGTACGATTGCCATCTGTGGTAACCAACTCCGGATGACGCTAGCGGAGGGCGCACTGCAGAACAAGGCGACCGCCTACACGAGGCATCCTTACCAGGTATTTACATTCTGCCCAGTGGAATTGCGGACTTAATGCGGCTGGCAGAGAGACGTTCCAAGACGCATGCAAGGTTTCGCAAAAACACCTTGAACGGTCCAGGACACCGCCTTGGCTTGATGCGGATGTGCGTACACAGGCTGGACATGGCCGGAGTCGAGCGATCAGAATGGAGAGCGCCACCTTGGTCGGGAGAAGGACTCGAAGATGCCTACGGCATCTATGCCAAGACAATCTCACTGCCAGATCCACACCACAGAAGCCCGGACAGATCCTGATTGACTTGGAATGACCGACGGGGACTGCCATATAAGTGATGTACTGCGCAAGTCGCGGTGAGCGCTGGTAGTGAATTACACACGGCGGTCTTCGCGAACACCGGCGAAGAATATCTGTTGGAGACACGCTGCGAATTAAGACGTCAAAGAAAACAGGACCATGTGCACTCCAAATGACAAACGGCCTAACGGCACGAGGGATTTCACGCATGGGCCAACTTTGGGAATATTTATCAAAATTGTCAAGCTGATACTGATCTTGGCCAGTATTTCCATCCATGAGGACATACACGAGAGCATGAAGTATGCTTGGCGTACTGCTTGACAAATGGACGCGACTCACGGAACGCATGGAACATCCTCTAGTACCCACGGCTAAGCGAGCTACAGACCTTTGCATGGAAGACGGTCAATATTCCTAGAACTACTTGCGACCTATTTCAACAGCTATATAGCACCTAAAATTCCCTCCAAGATGGAGATGAATGTGAGACGAGATAGTCAGGTCTAGATTCCGTTGAATCACTGGCCTGGTTTGGGATGCATAGTTGAGCTACGGCTGCTGCAGCGCAAATGGACACGTCGGCCGCCGTAGTACGTGTTCACGAAGCATCTATGCCGTACCCTGACCATGAGAACGTTTACGTTTAGCGCAAGGGTACTTCTGCACTGAAGAGTCTGCGACATTACTAGCATCCGGTAGAATGGACAACCTCCATTCAACACGAATTGTGCCAATGACGGAAGGCTCAGGTGTACTTGCCTGAAAGACTGTGACATGGGTCTCGGACCGACTCAAGCTTGAGTGCTAGTGATGACCTGAATGCGCTTATGAGGAGGAACGCAAAAATTATCACCCGGCGTCCACTAGATTAGGGACGGCCATAGTTAGCGAAAAGGCATGCAGGACGTCGAGCTAATCATCGTCATGGTGTTTCAGACGAGTTTGATGTAGAGGTGGGTCTCAGACAATTCCGTAGGTTGCATATGTGAAGGCAGAGCGTTCAGAATGAGCAAGTCAGTTCCAACTTGACCCTTACGTATTACTTCAAGTCGTCAGGGTCAGTGATACCTGCGGCCAGTGCTGGCAGTATATTACACTAACCGTGCAGCGGTACTGGTCGCACGGCTCACCGATGGTCTGAATGCAAGCCATAACATGCATCAAGGCAATATCAGATTAGTACTCGTAGTGTTATTCATTGGCGCCTTGTCTTGCACGGAGAGTCGAGGCGTAGGTACTACGAGAAGGTAGTCAAAGATAGTGATACAACTCGAACATCAGGTCATGTCTGCTTTCCTGTTCAGCGCCAAGTCACACGCGTCACACGTGATCGACGCGTCGCGCCACCTTCTCAGCGCTCGGCGCTCGGCGAGGTCGAGCAAAGGTTTGAGAGTTGCTGCAACGCCTCTCTTATCTCACTGGGTACGTTTGTATGCTACGGTCTTAAAAATGATCGATGACTTACACCTTATCAACGGCATTGTAGCAACGTGCAAAGCCAATCGTAACATGGAGACGGACTCAGTATCCTTGGTCGTTCCTATCACCTTTCGCTCGTCTATTACAGGAGACGCTCCAGAAACTAACACAAATAACGTTGCGCGGAGCTGGGCATCTGCCTCTGCTTCGTGCTTAACAGCTTGGGGATGTTCAGACGCCTCTGAGCAACCCGACCTGGAAGAGAAGTTACCGTCTCACGGACTTGCCTTCGGGTGTGATGACGGTACAGTATTTCTCTTCGGCTCGCAACTTGCATTTCCGCGAAAGCATGATATACCGGGCAGCCCAACCAATACCCCCCCAGAGCCCGCCGGTCCGTCAAGACATACTAGTCCTTTGCGATACACTGGCTTAGGCCGATCCCACTCGAGGTCTGCCTCACCTTCCTCTGCACACTCTACTTTACCATTTCGCGTCCCCCGATCGCGAGTTGTCTCGTCTATTTCTACAGAGCAAGTTGAAGCACCGAAGAACTATGTGGATTTTGATGATGAGCCTGAGAAGCTGAAGGGAATGTTGCGGGGGAAGGCAACCAGGTCTGAGCTGCTTTCACCAGATGTCGACAGAACCGCAAAAATAGACAGGCTATCAGTGTCGACGAGTACCAGGAGTATCAAAGCGTTCTCCCCCGCTGCCTCTCTGAGATCTCTCTCACCCCCTTCATCTCCTTGTTCACCCACAGCCAACTCCCCAGCGCAGCGCGAGACTGGATTATTTTTGAAAAGCCACATACTCCCGTCATCTCTGGGCTCTACGCATGCCGTTGCTGCGCTCGAGGCCTACGATGATGGTAGATACATACTATGCTTGCAAAAATCAGGGTGACCAGTTCAGCATATCGCACTGAAAGAGACTAATTGGGTTCAAAGAAAGCTATCAATATACGCTACTATTGATGGCTCTTGTACTGCATCATTGAATGCAGGTAGTATAACTTCGGGCGTCAAGGCCGCCAGCGATGCCTCCATATTGTGGATCTGGCAGACCATCCAAGTTGGTTCCGTTGGAGAGGTGTGTTCTCCTACATATTAGCTGCTGTTTGCGTATTCACCCAAGGTACAAACAGGCTCGCCTGGTCGTCGCTTCTGCGTCTGGCGATACCTCGTATATGTCTCAGTCCATAGATGTCGCCGAGGGGGACGCAGAAACCCAGACACGAATCTTGGTCTGTGAGCTTCGAGAAGGTCCACAACTGGATGGAAGTGACATGGCGCTCGTCAAGAAAGGCGACTGGGTTCTTGATGGGCCCGCGGAATCCGTTGGATTCTATCAAGAAATGGACGGTGCGTCTTGTCTGTTGGTAGTCACTATGTTGCATTCACACCTTCGTGGTGGTAGGCACACTTGCGGTACACTACATGTCGTCGGATCACCGTCTTGTCATCCGCATTTTGTCTTTCAACGAGGAGTTGTCACCACCAGACATTGGGGATATGAAAAGCAACTCGACCACAATGTTGCCGCTACCAAATCCGTTCAAGGCTTTCAAAAATCTTTCACGGGAACGCCTATCCGGAGAGACAGGAAACGACGACGCGTCAGAGTTGAGCCTGAGTGCGCCCATGGATCTTGGTGATGTATTACTAGCAGTGCCGGTGATTGGAACAAGTCTCGTTGTGCACGGGGACGGCGTTCGCATCGCATATTGGTCAGAATATGGTCTATGTGTATGTTGTTATGTATGTCTGACATGTGCTATACTCACCAAAATCATAGATATTTGACTTAAACAGGCAAACGATGTCTAGCGTTTGCACGTATGAGCTTGCCGACATCACAAAATGGCAATGGATCAGCGTGGACTCATTCGTTGTGACACGTCCTGTATGCCGTACAAGTTCGATTAATTTTATAGAGCTAATCATTCGTCGCAGGAAGCTGCTGATGTGTATGTCATCGCTTTGGTTGATGCTGACGGCGATAGTATGCATTCATCAAGCACGAGCCAGATTACGAGGTCCATAGTAGCCTATTCTCCAACGAGAAATGCTCCCAAGCTGACATGGTTCTATTTGCAGGCCGACGTTGGCGCGAACATTATCATTACCCCCGCATGACTGCTCTTTCATTACACACGAACAAATTCTCAGCCTGAGCGTTCGAGACGGGAAGAGGATTGTCCAATCTCTTTCGTTCGACAGCAGTTCGGATGTCTTGAAGTCGAGGACAATCTGGAAAGCATCACATGATCAAAACATCCTACAGGATGACTCCTGCATAATGTCCATGTTACCCATCGGGTTTGATGACATTATTTTGGGATGCAGTACGCCATGAATTCTTTATACACGAGCACTGCATGCTCATGCGAGTGCCGTGATAGGCGATGGGTTACTGCGCCGTTCTTCTTGGTCTCGTTTGATGAAGGTGTCGTCGGAGATATCCCAAGTCTCCAATCGACCACTGCCAGGTGCGGTCATTTCGCTGCATCTCGTGCAGAGTGATCGAGGCGGAGACCCATTGGTCATTGGGGGTTCGGACGATGGCTCGATTGGTATTTGGTCTGCAGGGTACGTTCCATCACCTCGTTCGGGAGCTAGTGTTCACATCTGTTCAGGGCGCGTACATTGGAGCTTCGGGCACATTGGACAATCTTCGTCACCCCCCTTGTGAACGTGGTGTCTCTTCGTGGGGATCAGATTGGCCGCTTGAGAGGTTGTGTGCTGTGCATCTCACAAGATGGCACAATCGCTATACTCGCTGTGGACGACTTACAATTGTAGGTCTCTTACTGCATCAGAGGTCACGTCTCAACTCATGTTTGTGTGCATTAGTGTGGTACTTGTTCCCGCATCAGTCGCCCCGCTGAAAATGGTTCATATGCGAGAGGATGACATCCTACTTGTATACACGGACAATCGCGCCAGGCTCTGGGATTGCAAGACTATGGAATTCAGAAGATCCATGAATAAGAGTAAGGCCGATGAGCTCCTGGGACAGGGAGCTTGGGCGGGATGGTGAGCGTGAAAGCATGATACTCGGTTGCCTATCTCATCCGATCTGGTGTCGCAGGCCCGCCGAACCGGTAAAACCATCCGTTCCAGTAGAGATTGTCAGCCTGCCCGTCTTTGCTGGGCTTGATTCTGGTACGTCTCTATGACCTACCCTCACACGGATCGACTGATGCCATATGCGATGCAGCGTGTTCATTGCTACTTGACATGGGCAGCATTATTCATTCGAACACCGGTCATATGCCGGGACGAACATCAGCCTCCAAGCATGATAGAGGGAAAACCCGTTCTATCCTGGCGACATTGTTGACTCCTGGAATCAGCAAAGAGATCGACGACATATGCACTGAGAGGCTCAGGGTCTATCCGTCCTGCGCCTCTGTGGGATACCACGAGTTCGTCCGTGAAATTATTGCGCGATTCGATGCCTTGACAGGTCACTGAACGCTAGGGACCATACAGTGCTATATGCTTTCCAGAGTTCGCAGGCTGTATGGTCAATATCACCGGAGATTTCTGCCTTTCGCGCAGTCATCTTGGTCACTCTGTTGCAAGTCTTAATTGACAATGATGGTAAGTGTGGCCGTAATGCCTCCTATTTGTGCGTTATGCGATACAAATTCGATATTGTGCAGACGCAAGTACTATGATGACGTTCTACGTTGCATCCTTGCCCGAGGCTATCGGGCCATCATATCAATCCCCGAGCTTGACGTTCCTGGCAAAATACTATCTTCGTTCCTCGGGTAAGTGCGCTCGCATGTTCCTCACGTTCAAAACTCACCAGTATGCTCAGTACAAGAGGTTCGGAGTGCTGCGCGATTGCTGTTTGACGCAGGAGTCGCACGCCTTTCTAACGATGATACCATCCTCATAGTTGAGAAATGGAAAGAGTACCGTACGTGTAGTTATTGCCTCTCGCCGCGCCGTATCTGACTCTTCATGAGTAGTTCCATCTGTGCAAAAGGAGCGCGACACGGAGTCAGTCCGCAGCGCAATGGCATTGCACATGTGCGGTTTCGTGGCAGCAGAGAAATATAACCTATTGTCCACAAAGTATGCGCAAGCCATTTACTCCTCTGACACAACTGACGCACATTCTCCAGCGTACTCACGGAAACATCGAAGTCCATCGGGCTATACCTCCATAGGGAAGGATCGCCATATCGAGCTCTCGCCATTGAATTGTGCTCGCGAGGTTTCACGTTGTGGCAACAATATGTCGATGCCGTAGAGATGCTCCGGGCTGTCTGCACCCTTGCGACTGTATCTCGGAAGGAGGCAATCTCCATACACAACGTTGGATCACAAGCCCGTTCAGCAGTGTTGCACATTGCTGCGGCCAATACGCCATTATTCATGACCACATTAACCATTGATATCCTCCAACCACGCAGTGTGGAACATCGCAAGGCCGTCATGCAGCTTGTCATATTCCTGATTCGCAAGGTTAGCATACGGCAATCGAGTTGAGTTACCATCTAACGCCTAGTAGAACCCTCTCGTCCTGTACAGCAATCTACCACGATTAGTTGAAGCGGTGGTCAAATCTCTCGATCCCAACTCGACGTCCAATAGAGATGCCGTCTTGGATTCTGCGACGGATATCCTGGGACACATTGTCCAAACGTACGTCATGTTTACGAAGCGTGCCCCAGCTCGCTGAATGACATTACGCGTATAGGTTTCCTAACGTTGATTTCCATATGTCAACACAGCGCCTTGCGATGGGCACTGCCGAAGGCGCTGTTGTGATGTATGACCTGAAGACTGCCACTCGTTTGTATGTCCTGGAAGGTCACAAGAAGAGGACGACAGCATGCAGCTTCTCGCCTGACGGGAGACGTCTTGTGACCGTTTCCCTAGAGGAGTCTGTCGTGCTTGTCTGGAAGGTTGGGTCTAGCCTTACGAGCTTCTTCAATCCGGGCGCTCCTCCTCGTCAAGGGCATGGTGGCTCGGATCCCTACAAGACACTGAGTTTCAATATCGGAAGTGAAGGTATGTCTTTTCATGTGTTCAATAGCACATATTGCTCATGGTGTATAGCCCATATGACATTGGCTGCTACGCTGGAGGCTGTTCGCTTCGAGTGGCCAGCAGATCGTAGTGTGAGGGTAAAGATTCGAGAGGCTACTTTCACCTTTGCCACATGAATGCCTAGCGATACCATCATGGTGAGCCATGACCTATGTTTCGTGCGACCATGCGACTTAACACCCATAAGCCTCATCCGCTTGTCCACCAGGCGCGATGCGCGTTGGTGCGACCATCGCTTCACACACAATTAAGCGACTTCTGATTATTTGACAACGCTCTCGTTATGTCGACCGCTATTTCTCACTGTACTTGTCGTTACGCACGTGTGATGCTCATGGATGAGGGACTATTGCTACTTGCCGCTCGCTTGATGACGCCTAGATCAGAACACATATAAGACGCTCTATTGCCTCGACGGTTTAAACCAGCCCACCTTCCCCACCTCACTCTTTCTCGAGGCAGGAAGAACGTCGTGAGCCCACCGGGCTCACAACTTGGCTGTTAAAATCGACGGCATGTGGTCTTATATTCGCTCGAGTTTGAATTTCTACCGCCTACATCTACTCCTCTTGTCAGTACCTCTGCTAGCTCTGCATTTATTCACTGAGCATGTCAACAGTATGATTGTTCCTTTAATCACGGCCGCGATCTTCTCCGCATCCAATGGGCGCTTCAAAATCCCTTTCATTGATGCCCTCTTCATGTGTATCAGCGCAGGAACAGGAACAGGTCTTACGACTATAGACTTGAGCAGCATGTCTGTTTGGCAGCAAGCGATTATCGTAGTCCTCGGATTTATTGGGAATCAGGTGAGATGTTCTACAGTGGCCGTTGGTGCTCGTCGACTCACGTGAGATGTATTGCTGAATATGAACAGGTGTTTGTAACGTGGTATGTTGTATGTTGGAGAAGGTGAATACTACAGTCTGTGGCCCGCACTTTTTAAAAGCCAACACTGAAACGTAGGGCATATTTCACGAAGCATCTGAAACACATCGTGACGGCTAAGCTCGAGCGCCGATCACCCCAAGAAGACCCGTTTCTGAGCGAACATTCCGTTGTCTTTCCTCGGATACTTCCGGAAAACGATCTGAAGCGACGACGGGCGGAAATGGATGAACTAGTATCCGCTACTGTAACCCATCGTGGGTTACAAGTCAAAGGCTCGCCACCCAAATTCTGTCCGAATGTGATTCGCAGGGTTGACATAGTTCCTCACCTTGCCGACCCAATGAGGAGGTCTGAGTCTCGAGACCATGACACCGCGACGAACACCCATTTGTTAGGAGGACATGGTCCTGCAACCGGTCACGAATTCACGCATATGTCATCTGCTAGCACACGCCGGCTTGTTTACTTTGGCGGGTTTCCAGGACCTTGTGAATTATTTGCGCGGGTGATTGGCCGCATCTTTCCACAATTTTACCGGAGTGTGCAGCGGCGCTTGACAATCCCACGGACGAAGATGCTGGTGCCCCACACCCCTGGAGGCTCTCCCCCGAGATCTGCACATCATGTGCCATACATCTCCTTCAACGCGATCGTCGACAGAAATTCTGTGTTCAAGAATCTTACGGAAGAGAATATCCAAGAGTTGGGAGGGGTCGAGTATCGAGCACTAAGCGCTTTACTATGGATAATACCATCAGTGAGTTACTTTCTGTCCTACCCGGCTTCTTTGCAGAGGACTCACTTCTCACGGAGTACTACCTCGGACTACTGGTGATCTCTTTCATTGTGATTATCCCATATATGTCGTTACCTGGATGGCACTCCGTGATGCACCCACCTGAGCAACATCGAATGATCAATACGGTTTGGTAAGCACTGCTGCTGCCTGAGACGGACGAAGTACTCACCCCAATCGGACCAGGTTCTCCACTTTCCAGGTCGTTGGAGCTTGGGCCAACACCGGCATGTCTCTCGTCAACCAGAACATGGTGCCATATCGTACGACATACCCCATGATAACCGTCTTCACACTATGTGTCCTGGCTGGAAACGCCGCATACGTAAGTTCGCACTGCTGAGCTGTCCGAACGAACCTGATTACGTATTGTTGCAGCAGCCAATTTTGTAAGTACGTAACGCTTTCGATCGAACACCTCAACTCATCACCTTCACCGCCGCGTAGTCTGCGATTCTTTATGTAAGCTCTAACCGCGCTTGTCGCCATGGTCGATCCTTAACCGGCTGCGTAGATGGCTGCTAACGAAGGTTTTACCTGCACAATCTCGCACGACCGAGGCGCTTCATTTTCTACTGGACCACCCTCGCCGTTGCTTAATCCTACTCTTCCCGGCCTACCAGACATGGCTTCTTCTAGCTATACAGCTAGTGATAGGGTGCGTCCGTTCCTCATCGTCTACTGTTAAGTGAAGGACTCAAACGATCTGTAGTCTGATAGCTTTGTCGTTCAATCTTTTACTCAACCCCGCTATGGACCACATACCTATCGGCGTGAGGCTGATCAACGCCGTGTTACAAAGTTCGGCCGTACGAAGCGTCGTCTTCCAGTCAGCTCCTGTATTGTCATTCGTACCGGCTGTCCAGTAAGAGGTTACATTCACAGCGAACGTTATTCCAACGAGACAACTAATATGCTCTCTGCGCCCCTGCAAGGGTTTTATACGTGATACTGATGTACATAGCCATTTATCCCATTGCGATCAGGTAAGGCCGTCACAATTATGCCCATGAGTGTCTTCAACATCTTCCCCCGCGCTCAAAACGCTCAGCGTCCGCTCGACGAACGTGTATGAAGAACGGTCTCTGGGGATATACAGGGAAGATGACAACGCAGAGGGTGTGGACAGTCCCAACGATGCGGCATCTGGCCCTCGAGTGGCGATATGGGGCCAGTATCTGTGTCATCACGTCCGGAAGCAATTGTCATTCGGTGCGTACTACTTACCGTTACACGCGCTATCTCTGATTGAATATCTTCGTCAGATATGTGGTGGCTAGCCTTGTCACTGTTCGTGCTTTGCATAATCGAGGTAAGCAATGCCCTTGGTTGGACCGGCCTGCTTATAACCAATACCTCTATTCAGCGAGCGCCCCTCATGGCTGCAGAAGATGCGACACGTTTTCCTATCTTTGCGTTGAGTAGGTACAAACCAGTCAGTGCCTGAGCTTAAGCTGACATGTCCGTTGCCGGTATAGTATTCGAGCTAGTCTCCGCATACGGGACTGTGGGCCTTTCTCTAGGAGTTCCTTATGTGCGTATGATCCGAACTACCTATGGCACTGGGCACCCGCTAATAGTAGTAGGCGAACTACTCGCTCCCGGGGGCTTTGCGCCCTCTTTCGAGGATCGTCGTGTGCGCTGCGATGATCCGCGGCCGACACCGCGGGCTTCCCCTCGCACTAGATCGTGCTGTCCTGCTCCCCCGTGAGTTCCAGACCGCTAAATCGGCGGAGATGAAAGGCGAGGAAATGCGGACACCAAGCGTGGATGCGAAAAGGAATGCTTCGGAGATTCCTCTCGACGCGGACAAGCGGAGCAAGGCTTTGAACATTCCCATATGAGATTCACCAGGTTGAAGTGCAGTACGTCGAGGGCGTGGGCCGTATCGGATGCAATTGAATTTCAAATTCGCCTGTCCATTGTGGAACGCTTCTTTCTTTCTATGATCAGGTACCTTGATCGAATTCTTAGTCAACAACGGCACGACATCTACGATCATCGTACGCCGTTGAAGCTCTCGCATAGAGATCGTGCAACGACGGGACGACTCGAGGGTACATTGCAACTTTTCCTTCGTTCTGAGCTACAAGAGCGACCTCCACGAGTAACACAACTGGTTGTTTGCGAAAACCAAGCGTCATTCTAGCCTTGTGTACCAAGCATAAAGGACTGAATTAATAGATCAGTGTGTCAGTACGACAGTTTTTCAAAATCGGACCGCTCTGCTCAACGTGCGCCGGCTGTGCTCGCCGGAGGAAAAGGAGGACCGGTACCTGGCCGCGTGCTCTCGTCTCGTACCCATCCATCTTTATCCCGCATTCCACCACCGCGTATCTAAACGTCTGAGGCATTCCGATAGCTATCGGAACCTTCTCCCCTTCCGTTTAGCGCCCATGTAGCGTCCATGTAACGGTCACATATTTGATATCGCATCATTCAGTCAATCCACATAGCCTATTTAGGTAACTACTCCTAGCAACTTTTGCGTGCACAGCTGCCCTCAGTGCTGCGAGCGGCGTGCAACAGAAATGAAGTATCAGCTTAATATATTTCTGACTTCTTGAATTCGCGAAAAATAGGCATTGAACCCCTCCCCTCGCCCATAGATGTATCAGGTTATTGCTGAGGCATGAACACAGTTTTCTTGAAATTTGCTGTGTAGCCTTGCAGCTTCAACGGTATGCATTTACATAGTCAATTGGTTAACAGTCAAGTACAGAAGGGCATAAAATAGATGGCTACGAGACGAGCGATGCTCGTACTCTTAAAGATTGGAACGATACATACTCGCAGGCGGGAGTGCCGTTCAATCATTGAGAGTGTGGGATAGCGTTCATTTTAGATAAGTTAGAAGACCTGGAGATCATTAATTTCCAAAACCCTGTTATGTGACCCCAGGGCCCAGCCCCATGTTATCGGTAGCCTTATACAGTAGTACAGTAACTTCTCAATACTCGCCGGAATTTCTCACTGCATCGAGACGGGAGTGAGAGAAGACATGGTAGTTTATGGCTATGAAGCCGCCTAGTATGGATATATGTTCCATAAATATGCGGCGGCCAATTAAATCATAAATTCAAATATGTAACACGACGAACGGCTCCTGCTAGCTTCGATTCCTGCCTCTTACAACTACAGTTGCGAACCTCTCGGGCCTTTGCCATATGCTCTCTTCCCAATAACGAGTTCTTCATGAGGCATCATCAGCGGCATTATCACGACTATAAGGATCCTCCTGCTCCGTATTTCAGACCCTGCACCGGTCACCAAGTTCAACCTGCATTCGCCGGAGGCTTAAACGGCAGCGACCAACGCCCTCCAGCTCGTCATCCAAATCCCAGAAAACATTCTATACGTTTCTTTCTAACATGTTTGTCTATGTCAAGAGTTGCTTGAATTTCTACCGGATTCATTTCCTCTGTTTGTAAGTTGCACATTGCTGCGCATATACTCAGTGTCCAACAAGACTTTCAGCCTCATCTGGCCTCTTGTGTGGTCCGCAATCCTCTATGCCTCAAATGGAAGATATCCTATCAAATTCATGGACTCTTTATTTATTTGCGTCAGTGCCATCACGGGCACGGGCTTGGCGACTGTGGACTTGAGCAGCCTGACGGCGTGGCAGCAGGCCATCATCGTGATATTAGAACTCACAGGCAATCAGGTAAGAATGGCGGCACATATGCAGCTCGGTCGTTCATATTATTCTAGGCCTTCACTTCTTGGGTTGTTGTGTACTTCCGAAGGTTTGTCTCAGCAGCTTATAAACAGGCTTCAACTGAGTAGAGCACACGCGAAGGCGTTACTTCCTGAAACATCTGGAACACATCGTCATCGCAGAATCTGAGCGCGGTTCTGCTCAGCATGACCGGGTGGGAGAGGCGCCCTCGCTCCGCACCATACGTGATGTGCTACTTCAAAGGTCACAATCAGTCAATGAGGAAGGACGCGCACGGCGCACGGGTCTTTTCTTCTCAGCCAAAGGTGACAGAACGCCCATTCGCCCCGAAATGGTCCGCCGCATAGACGTAGAGCCCCACCGAATCGACCCAACAGGCAGACACGCGTCCCCATATACGTCCGCTGTCGACGAGCATATGCACGGTGGCGCCGACGAGGCGTTGCGGCGCACGGCCAGCAGAAATGACAGCCTACGCACAGACCGCTCGCCATCTCCATCTCCTCGCAATACAACGGAGGACGACCTGGGCGGCTTTCCCGATCCTCCGCAGGTCCTCTCGGGCGTGCTGCGCGCGTTGTTCCCGGGCCTGCACAACAGGCTGCGTCGCAGGATGATGATGCCGCGGACGGAGACACTCGTCCCGCAGGCAAGCATTGTGGATGGGCGAGCACCGTCAAGCGGGCGCTGGAAGGCCGTGTCATATCTCCCGTTCAGCGCAACTGTGGGGAGGAACTCAGCCTTCCGCGGACTGAGCGCTGAGCAGATCGACCAGCTCGGCGGCATCGAGTACCGCGCGCTCACTGCGCTGTTATGGATCGTGCCGTTAGTGAGTGTTTTTGCTCTCACCAATGTCCGAACGTATTGTGACGGCCTACAGTATTACTTTGGGCTGCTCGCCATTTCGTTTGTGGTCATCGCTCCGTACATGACATTGCCGCGCTGGCAATATCTCTTCGCGCCTCCCGAACAACACCGGAAAATCAACTCGATTTGGTGCGTCAGCTTACTTCGATGTAATCTGTGTTCTTACGACAGTGAATACGTTAGGTTCTCCGCTTTCCAAGTTATTGGTGCGTGGGCGAATACAGGAATGTCCTTGGTCGATCAGAACATGGTGCCGTTCCGAGAGGCATATCCTATGATTATATTTCTTGTGCTATGTGTATTAGCTGGAAACTCTGCGTTGGTAAGCTGGTGTTCTCTAGTGTGATACACCCCCCTCACTGTGACTTTCGCATTTTAGCCTATTTTGTAAGACATGAATGTGGTGGGTTTGTGGATTAAGCTAATTGTTCTGCAAAAATCGCATACAGCCTGCGGTTCATGATGTATGGTCATTCTGATCAGATTATCGGGCACGCTACTGACGTGTGTGTTCTGTGGCAGCTGGGTCTTGAGCAAGCTCACGCCCGCCAACTCGCGGACGAACGAGACGCTCCATTTTCTCCTAGATCATCCCCGCCGATGTTTCATCTACCTCTTTCCGTCTGGGCAAACATGGTTATTGACCAGTATCCAGCTAGCCATCGAGTAAGCATAATTGTATATCAAATGACCTTACCCTGACGGCGATTGTTCAGTCTGACCGCGTTAGTCTTCGATCTCATCCTCAACCTTGGAAACCCCGTGACGGACTCCATTCCGGCGGGGGTGAGAGTCATCAACGCTGTCCTGGCTGCGGCAGGAGTACGAAGCTCAGGCTTCCAGTCGATTTCGGTGTCCACGCTTACCCCTGCTAACCAGTAAGAGCCTGCGAGCCATTACCCTTCCGTATTCTGAGCTCTGGCCTGCAGGGTCCTGGACGTAATCTTGATGTATGTGACCATATATCCCATTGCCCTGAGGTTAGTCGCTCGATGCTCGTGAACATGTACAATGTGCTGATTTTTCTTCTAGTGTACGTTCCACAAACGTGTACGAAGAGCGCGCGTTGGGTATATACACGGGGGACCACGACGACGTCGAAGACAACATCAACGAGAAAGAATGGCGAAGCGGCCAAGAGTCTCGTGTGGCCATATGGGGAAGATATATACTGCGACACGCACGAAAACAACTTTCGATTGGTAGGCGCCTATACTGTCGTTACCAGGTGGTCGGGCTTTAACTGTTCTTCATAGACATGTGGTGGTTGTCTCTGTCGCTGTTCTTTATCTGTATCATCGAGGTCAGTACGCATTTGTGTTCGGGACACAGCCCGCCCTGACTTCCCGAATCTCCCAGCGATCGCCCCTGATGAACACAGACAACGCCTCGTGGTTCAATATATGGGCAATAAGTAAGTAAACTTTTAAACTTTTGGGCCAGCCATTCATAGACACAACGCCAGTCTTCGAGATCGTATCTGCCTATGGGACTGTCGGCCTCTCGCTCGGTGTTTCTTACGTAGGTGCCCTGCTTCATGCCTATTGGTAGAGGTCTCACGCAGATTTAGGCCAACTATTCCTTGTCCGGTGCCTTTCACACACTATCAAAGCTTATAATCTGCCTCGTTATGATCCGAGGACGACACCGCGATCTCCCGGTAGCGCTCGACCGTGCTATCATGCTCCCTCGCGAGTTCCAACGACATGAGGACGACGGTGCGAGGGTGCCGGGTCCAATCTCCGAGGCATCATCTGTGCAAAAGGAACATGAGCCCTCTACCCTCAAAAGCACGTCTAAGGCCGAATCTACAGGTCGCGTCAGCTTCGCAGAGGATGATAAGAGGCCTAGTCGGGTGGGAACGCATACATTGAACCACATCTCGGAAGTCGAACGGGGAGACGAGAGCAGGTATTAGGTAGAGTTTAAACTCTACATTTGGGTCTGTGGTATCCTGCTGTATATAATCGGAATCATGATCCGGCGGCTGTTCCTGTTGACTGAACTTGACTGATTATCGACCTCAAACTTGTGCACGGAAGTGTGCCCACCAGAGAGTGAGTGAGCGCGGACAGTGGGCGATGGTATGTTTCAGACACTATGCCTCAGAGATACAAGCGTATGATAGGTCAACAACGGAAAGAAACGCTGGCGTAACACTAAGGTGCGATAAAACGAACAAGGTGGTGGAGAAAGGGGAGAGATAGACAGGGGATACAAGTGACATGCGTCCTGTCCACAGCATTTGAGCAGTACATATAATATGCACCGTGGAACGTGTTCTTTACATAGCAGCCATGCCCATACCTGCTCTCTGCGCGGGAGGAGCTGCCTGCTGCGCCTGCGCATGGTTGGCGTTCAACTGCTGCTGAATGGCCTGGCCCTGGAAGAATACGGGAGTCTTCTCCTCGAGATCAACGTAGAGAACGGTTATCTCTTTCCGCGCCTTCTCCCAGTTGTCGGGATCCCAGTACGAGTAGGTCCCGTGCTCGCCCCCAGGGACCTTCTGCGATGCCACTGTTCCAGTCTCCTTCGTGAGCCATACTCGCAACTCTTTGTGGTATCTCCAATTGCGGTTCCACCTAACAGCCAGAGACAAAATCAAAGGGTGAGCCAATATGCCGTGAGAACCCTGAGTAGGCTTACAGTTCTTGAGCGGCAATGTCTTGGAGTGAATCACGGGGAGACGAGTAGAACATGAAGAAGAGCGTCTCGTCGCTGAAATTTGCAACCTTGCCAGGCCCTGGCGGAGGTGGCTGGACATTGTAGCACGCGGGTAGATGGAAGTCTGGCTCAACCGTATGTGCAGCGGACGAGTCAGCCCAAGGGGTAATGAAAGTCGAGTACAGGCTCCTGAATTTAACGGAACACATCAGCATATGCCCTCCTGTCTAGCAATGCTCGTAGTCCAAACCCTTGTGTTTGCATATCCAAGCCCATTGTACCCAGGTCCGTCCCCAGAGACAAAAGATTCTGGTCTGGGTCTGCGCTCTTAATCATCGCCACCAACGATAGCAGCCCCCATCTATCCGCCGGGGACATCAGCACCTGCTGTGCTGGTGTTTGTGGTACCGCGTTGGCGTGGGCGGGCCCCTGAGATGGATGGTGTGCCGTGTCGCCACCCGTTGTCCCATTACCGACGTATGGTGTCTGTTGCGCACCAGCGAGTGCTGCTCCACCAAGTGGCTGGGTTTGCTGCGAGAACGACGCCGGAGTTGGTACGCCTGGCGGAGCGGTTAGATGTGGTGGTTGCTGAGACGAGTGATTTTGATGTGTGCCGTTAGGTATTGCCGAAGAGAACGCGTTTGTTTGCTGTGCACTAGGATTCGCGTTTGGCGAGCCCCATGCTGGCGCAGCAGTATGGTTGCTTTGGTTCAGCTTTAACGCGTAGGTCTGCAAGAAAATGAGATACTATGCAGCACCCAACGAGCAGGATACGTACTCTCTGTTTCTCTGCATCAACCTGGAAACCAGGGTGTACGTTGCGCGCCTGACCAAGATTTAGCAGACCAGGTTGTTGTTGTGATGGTGTTTGTCCTCCCGTTAACGAACCAAGGAGACTCTGCCGGTGCTGTTGATCCCCGTGTTGCTGGAAGCCGTTTAGTCCTGGTGGATGACTGTCTGCATTTGACTGCGATGGTTGCTGCTGATGAGATGTTTGGCCACCCAATGCTGGGAAGTCATCAGGAGTAAAATCCCGAGGCTGATTACCTCCCACCCCACTCGCCGCTTGTCCCCCATTTGTACCCGCTCCCATTTGCACCCCAGTACCTGCTTGGCTTGCGTAGCTGGTGGTATTGTTACTCGAAGCAGGGTTTGAATTAGCCGCTGGTGTTGAACCTAGTGCTGGGAAGTCGTTCGGATCGAGCCCGACTTCGCTTGCGGACGACACCGATGGTGGGGCGCCCACGCTTGGCGTCGTCGCCTGTAGATGCGACAGGAGAGTTGATGCACCTGACGGTTGTGACTGCTGTTGATGGGGTGTATGCGACAATGGCTGGGCTGTATGTTGCGTTTGTGTTTGCTGAGACTGCTGTTGTAGCCCCCCGGTGGCAAATGGGAAATTGCTTTGCGTTCGTTGTTGAAGGAAATTGGGCGATGGCTGCGAGACCATGTTCTGCGTCGTACGATGATTTGGGAGAGCAGGATAGCCAGGCATTACATTTCGTGGTGGTATCCCATAGCCGGGATATGGACCGCGAAAGGGTCCTCCGAGTGCAGGGTTCGGCCCTAAGCTTGGTGGTCTTTGAGGCTGGCCTGGACGCGAAGTGAACATCTGCGTGAGCTCACGCGAATAATGGCGCTTACCTGGTCGATTCATAGTCAATCGCGAGCGTTACGGACCAGATAAACTGAGAAGATGGATGGGGATGCGTGCAAGACGTGCAGAGCGACGAGGAGAATATGCAGCCGCTGGCTAATGGCGGAGGCGAGAAGTGTGCGTATATTGAGTGATAAGATGTGATAAGGGGGCAACTATGCCGTTATCCGAGGGTTATTGCCCAATATTGATGAGTTATTTCAAAAAAGTAGCCGTGATAATTTCCCATATTTTTCGACGATCTACCATGACGCTATCACAACGAGATTCATAGTACTCGATCTGCGAGTCCTGAATGGAGGTTCGTGCCTCCACGATGGATCGTAGGACAGCATGATAATCCTCCGCAGGTGCTCAATCAACGCTCCGCACTGCTTTCCAATTATGAGGTCTTAAGTCTCTTGCGGGAGCTTGAAAGCGACTATTTGGCCCGTACCAAAAACGCCTTGCGAGTGAAGAAAGAGGAAGAGCTCGCAGGTAATCATACTTCCAAAATACAGGCCCCAACGGAGGATGTCTGTGAGAATCTGAGGACGATTGAGGTCGAGGTATGCCGCCGATCTCTCCTCCGTCTCGCATCCGGATACACCGGCTCACTAACAGCAAACCCCAGGCAATCCAGTATCTTTCGGCTGACTATCAGCCAGCTGTATCGCAAACAGAAGCTGGCATTGCACAGCTAACGAAGAGCCTCGCTGCATTCAACCTTACGAAAGCAGAGAAGTTGCAAATCGTGAACCTAGCACCGACGGAACCAGTCGAGTTGTATGTGGTATGTCATAATATACTTGCCTTTTAACTATTCATGGTTTACATGCACTGCAACGCAGATCGTAGAAGAGCTGGAAGATCGGTTCGGGGAGCAAATGAGCGGCATGCTCAACGTTGTGCGATCATCGTTGACCAATCTACCTTCGGCAGTACCTCAAGCGAATGTTCAAACCGGTGGCATCGCAGACCAAGATGTACAGATGGTGTATACTGAGGACAACACACAAGACTATCTTGATGAGGATGGTACCTGGGAGTATGACGCGAACGAGATTGTATTTGATGACACTGGGGATGGTGCCGGTGTCGAGGGTGATCTAGATGTCGAAGATGACTGAAGTAAAACCCCAATTGTACTGTCAGTCACATATGCTCTGTATTACTGAGGTGGACAACAGATGTAGTAGTACACAGCACAGAATTATTAATCTGTAGCTTACTAGTCGGCCGGTTGGGTCCATAGATGACAACATGGTCATAGGAGAACGAGCGTGGGCGAAAAGAATGACTGGGGATGATACAAGCCTAGGAAAGCCAGTGTCCTGGGAGATGATGTCTATGGAAAACAGTGGATGATGCCAGATGCGAGGGGTGACGCAAATTCACGTATGGTGGGGAACAAAGATCGCTACAAGGATGATGAAGGGTATATATGTCAGGAAGGATATGACAGACATAATGCGGCATCGAGTGCGCCAGGTCTTCGCGTCTAGAGTACAACACGCTGAGCTCACCATCGACCTTACGAAAGGAGTAACTCGCACCGTGCTCGATTTGCGGGTCATCCAGTGGAACTGCCTTCTCAGTATCCGTCCCGCCCACATGGCGCGTCTTCGGTATGGGGCAGAACGATGCGACCCACCATAACGGGAAGAGAATAAAACCAATGAGAAAGCACCATGCATGAAACGGAGACGCGTCCTCATCCTCCGACCGAAAATGGGGTATCCACTCTGTGGGCTGAATCCGAGGCGGCCTGCGGGGGTCGTGCATGTGATACTGACTCGATCTCGCTACAGAGGGGGCGCGCGGGGCAATAAGGGCGCTGAAGGGAATAGACATCTCGGAGATACTGCGGCGGCGATCAGCTCGCCGGGTAGCGAGAGATTCAGCATGTTGCGCAGAGCCCACAGATGCAGTCCTCGAGCCGGAGCGGAAGAGCGCTGGGGAGATAGCAGACCGGCCGGGCCATGACGAAGTATCATGCAGAGTATGCGCAGGAATCTGGGTAGATCCCGGCCTCGAATGAGCGGGCGAAGGAGCAGGGAGCGACATAGACAATCGGGCACGCTTGTTGTGATGATATGACGAGGGTGCTCGAGAAGCGTCTGACGTACGGTAGGGACCTAGTTCACCAGGCAACGCCGCTAAGCCTTCGCGAGGCGATGGATCTGAAGAAGAACACTTACGTCGGCCCTCTGGTATCAAGAAGGACGTATGCTGTCCGCCCTTGTGATCGGGTGGTGTGATGTCGATCTCTTCAGCCTTACGCTTGCCCTTGAGGGTCGTTGGAGTCTCGGGGACGGATGTCAAGCCAGGCTCACTGGCAGAGCGCGGGGGCCGGCGAGAAGATCGCCTTTTTGCTGCTGAGGGAGGGGTGCTCGGAGGGGTAGAACGAAAAGAAGAGAACGGCTCTGCCTCCGGACGTTTAGAAGGGGACGCGACGGGCGAAGGAGAGTTTTTATGAAATGCACGTTTGCCACGACCCTGTTCCAACGTGTAGCTGCGAGCAGAAGCACTCGCGGATCTCCTCAACGTGTCTTTGGTGCTACTGCGCTTCGGCACTTGGCTATCATCCTTGCTGAAATTTTGCAGCTTGACAGAGCTAGATGTATCCATAAGACGGGGGGATTCACGACCGCCGTGGCTTGAAGCCGCTAAATCTACAGCTTCAGTTTTATTTATTCCTGCGGGACGTGGCGCGGCATACCTTGCTCGGCGGTCGACGACGAAGGGGGATCAGACTGAACGGGTATAGAGCAAGATGGATAACAAGGACATGACGGTTCTGACTGGCTTGCCGCCTGGGTTACACGAGGCTCGGCATCTTGCGAACGGCCTCCGGAGATACGGTCGGCGTCTCCGACGTCCTCGCCGAGTGTCAGCTTCATCAAGTGATGTGCGACTTCGGCTGGCCAGCCAAAATCACTAGGAAGTAAGGATGTAACACCAGCAGTAGCCTGTTGGGCGTTCCATTCAGCACTTGCGCGCCTATTGCTGTTGCTGCGATCGCGAAACGGTTCACGGAGCAAACTAGTGTCCTTAGAAGAGCTTCGGGATTTGAGATGACTCCTGCCTACGGGAAGGCTGGAATATCGTCGCAGCGAGGGTTCGAGCGCCGAGATAGCATCCGAAGTGCTACCAGCGTTTCCGGCTGTCTTGCGCCGTCGTCGTTGTGGGTATGTTTGGGCGTACCAACTAGGGATCCATTTGGGATATTTCGCACTTGAACGTCCGATTTTGAGTTCGTCATTTGTGACATGAGTTTGAGATCGAGAAGCTAGCGAAGAGAGTAACTCAGGGTGTTCCAATGGAGGCAGTGGCGGTGGAGGAGACGCGAACTCAGAGAGATGAAAGAGACTACGAGACCTCGTGGAAGTAGGGGAAGGATTACCGAAAGTATGAGGGGATCCGAAGATGAGGCTCTGTGCTTGAAAGGACCCTCCTGCGGAGTGTGACTGCGTTGAATGTGAGGACCGAGTAAGCTGTGGACGGGAAGGGTTCGATGATGATATATGCGGTTGAGAGGCGTCATGTTCGTGATGATCGTTCGGTTCGTCAATTTTGGAAGATGAACTCCGAGTAGAGCTCGATAGTATCGATTTAGACGGCAATACATCGGAAGATGCACGCGAAGGACTGGCAAAACGATGCAATGATGTCAGAGATCCTTGCTTTGATTGAGCGTACTTGCGCTTGCTGCTTGATGAGCGGCGAGGTACAAGAGAATCAAAACTACCTGTATGCCAGGCAGACGGTGGCGCGGATTGACCCGTCGCTGCATGTATGAGTTCCGTGTCATTACGCTTGCCAAATGTCGACCATGGAGAGACAGATGCCAGCTGACGAGACAGACGAGACAGATGCCGCCTGCGCGAGCTCGAAGGAAGCTCCTCCGATCTTGTCACTGAGGAGGTGGATGGGCCGGCCTGTAGGTGTAAGTCCCGTTGCTGTGGGACATTGACAGGAGATGGTGATATTTGATTGCGCATTGTATCTAGAACAGGAGGGTCAAGATTCGCTGCCTTCGCTCGCCGAGGAGGTCTCAGCCCTTGAGTAAGATTCTCATCATGAGAACGGTTGGAGTACGTGTCCATCAGGCTGGCTATGTCTGCGACAATGGGTCGGTCGACCAATAGGATTGGAAGCGAAGAGGACGTTGCATCGTGCCGTTCTGTCCCGGGAAGAGGTAACGTCTCGTGTGGACTATCTATCCTGCCAGATGTTTCATGGGGTTCAGCAGCACCACGCCAGCGCGTCCAAAGAGAATACATGTCTACAGTCCAAACCCATCTTGAGTCAGCATCGCATGAACAGACAAGTGGACTTACTCGCTCGAGCCAGCTGCCAAAGTGTCAACGCCAACGAGCTTCTCGAAATATACGTACACCTGCGTCTTATAAAGTCCTCTGCGGGTCGTCAATGTCATGCAATCTCGTACTGGAGAGCCATTTGGTGGCTATATGCGCTTATGGTGAATGCTGAGTTAGAAATCAATCTCGAACTTCGTCGCCGCCACAGGAGCTGTGGTTGCCGGATCTGCCACTCACTATGGGTGATGTCATTCCAAAATAGGAAGTCAACCTTCTAACTGCTCCGCACGTGACCGCTTCGATATTGTCACTGTGTGACACTGTCGCAGTGTCACACACCGCCTCCGCCGTCTCTCTCCGTCTGTTCGTTGTCCACGACGTTGGCTAACGTTCTCTGCCCGCCATGGATCGCCTTGAGTCTCTGTCGAATACCCTCTCGCAGATCACGCTCTATGACATCAAGAGCATGTACAACCAGGTGCGCGAAGACCAGGCAATGCGAGCCGATCACTGCTGACAGTCACGGCATATAGGCCAAGAACGCTGTCTTGAACGTCAGCGAGATGGACGCCAAGGTGCGCGAGGCAACCAATGACGAGCCATGGTGCGTAGCTATGCGTTAGCACGGAGAGAAACGCGCCAACTAGAGTGCAGGGGGGCGAGTTCGACACTGATGCAGGAGATTGCACAAGGGTATGCCGCATTCGACTCATACCTCCGCTTCTCAAGCTCACATATTTGCTGCACAGAACGTTCAACTTGTGAGCTATGTGTCATGTCTCCCTACCCACACGTCGGCTCATGATACACAGCCAACACTTCAACGAGATTATGCCTGCAATCTATGCACGCTTCATGGAGAAGGAAGCGCGCCAATGGCGGCAGATCTACAAGGTATGGGTGCCAATGAGTAGATTTCGGTGGTCCCGCTTACACCGCCTAGGCCCTGCAATTATTGGAATACCTCGTCAAGAATGGCAGTGAGCGTGTGGTAGACGATGCTCGATCGCACATTGCGACCATTAAGATGCTCCGCAACTTCTACTATGTCGACGAGAAGGGCAAAGATCAAGGACTGAATGGTCAGTGCTTGCTGTTCTAGTGCCTATGTCGATTGACGTGAGGCCGCAGTGCGCAACCGTTCACGCGAGCTTGTTGAGCTGCTGAGCGACGTGGAGAAAATTCGCACGGAGAGACGCAAGGCCAAGACGAACAAGCACAAATACACTGGCGTAGGCAACGACCCAATGAGCTTCAGCTCAGGTGGCAGCCGGTATGGTGGATTCGGGAGCGACAGCCTTGGGTATAGTGGTGGTACCTATAGCGGTGGAGGTGGAGACTATAGCGGCCGTGGTAAGTCTGGTGTGGTCCTGTGTGAGCTATCTGACAATGTCTCGACCAGACTTTAGCAGCGGCAGCTACTCGGGCGGAGGTAACGGCAGCTATTCGGGCGGAGGTAGCGGCGGGTTCAGAGATGACACATCGCGGCGCGGGTTCCAAGAGTACGACGCAGGCGATGACGAGACGGCGCCGAGACGGTCAAATTCGATCAGCTCGCCTGCACGATCGTCACCCACCACCACGAGGCGCGCTTCCACATTGCCAACCGCACCGGCTGCGCCAAAAGCACCGGAACCAGTGGTCGACCTGCTAGGCATGGATGACGATGCCTTTGGGAGCACCAGCACCGACACCAACGCGAACAAGGCACTACCGGTGCTGAACACGCAAGTCGTTGCAGACGGTACGAGCCTTGAGTATGCTGACAATGCAAGCCCTGACATCGCGTAGTAGGTGATGACGACTTTGACGATTTCCAGACGGCACCCCCGTCAGCGGCCCCTGCTGCCCCCGTGGTACCGGCAATTCAACAGATTCACCAGGTGCAAAAGACCGCGCGGCCGTTGTCGACGCCCCTGTTCCCACAACAGGCACCACTGCAATCCATGAGTCCGCCGTTGCAATCTATGACTCCGCCTGTGCAGTCCATGAGCACCATGCAGGCTATGTCAGCCGCCATGCCGCCGATGCATAACCGCATGGGCAGCAACAGCTTCGGCACACCGCTCACGCCGACCACTGGATCCACGGCCGGCAGGCCTTCGTACATGTCCCCTGCCACCACGCCCATGCAGCCTATGCAGAGCTCCGTGTTTGGTTCTCAGCCAGCACGAACGACTACGACGTCACCAGCGCCGAAGCAGGCTGCGAGCGCAAACTTTGACGACTTGTGGTCCATGGGGCTAGGCAGCTCGGCATCAGCGAAGCCAGCAACGCCGTCGTCAGGGCCCGCGAAGTCTATCAAGGAGATTGAGAAGGAAAAGGCACAGGCCGGTATCTGGGGATCGAGCCAGAGCGGAGCGTCCATGGCCGCGGGGTTCGGGTCGTTTGGAGGCAATGTGAGCACTCCGTCTGCTAGTGCGCAGGCTCCGGCTTCCTCGGCGTCGGCTGGGCTGGACGACCTGCTGCTGTGAGCGCATGAGTATTCAAGTGGACTATCTCGGATTGGCTTGCGCCTCGTGCTGGGTATCTATAAAGAATTTCAATTATCGCACCGTGTGCCTCGAGTTTGTATGACAGGAATATGACCAGCCTTTACTACCAATCCCAGCGCGACTTATTCGAGGATTATTTATTCCCAACGTACTACTTTCTGATTATATACTGCGAGTGTAGGCAGTGTGTAACAAGGGGGTACTTACTTTGCATTCGACATTACAGAAATAATTGCTCCCCTGCTCACTGTCGTCGACGATGACTGCGGCGTGCTTCCATGTATCCTTTGTCCTAACAACTTCCAACGTTGTGTGATCCGTGGGCCTCTCCCAGGCACAGCTTGTTCCTCATGGTCCCTTCTACTTATCGCGAGACGCCCAATCTGGTTTCTTCGTCCTCGACCGTCGTCGTTCCTGTTTGCACCCATATTCTTCCGTGTTATCTCCGTGTCGGCGTCGAGCTCGCATGAGACATGAGGTCGACGTTCGCTCTCACAGGCACGGTGCACTAATCACGGCAAATGAACCAGTCGTGAGTGCCGAAAGCCCGCATATCTGGTGACTTATTTGACATAGCGGTGATGCAGATGTCGAGAATGATCATGCGCCCAGTGGACCCCTCTGTCGAGGCAGACACGCCGAGGATGGACACGCGGTAAACTCGCCCGTGTAAGATACGGTTTGATTGATCCCGCCAGGGTGTGGGTACAAGAACACGCCGCTACGCGAGCCGAGTTGTGCTTTGTCCCAAGGAACGCCCAGCGCCCGACTCGCGACCACCATGTTCCGTAAGGCTGTCCTCGTTGCAGGATTCCTTGCGGTAGTCTCGCGTGTTGACGCGCTCTGGCCGCTACCTACCACTCTCTCCGAAGGAACGAGTGCCTTGCGTCTGTCGTATGGCTTCCACATCGCCGTGTCGCCCAGCGTGGGCTTCCCGCCCTTGGACCTCACGGAGGCGATCGTGCAGACGCAGACGTACCTTCTGACCGACGATCTCGGTCGGCTTGTCGTTGGCCGCGGCGCGAGCGACGTCAGCGCGTTCGAGACGGCGGCGTACCTCTCAGAGCTGACGCTGACGCTCAAGCCGGGATCGGAGGTCAACTCCATCACCACCGAGGCCCAAAAGCCCATCGAGGAGCGTGACGAGGCATACACCTTGTCTGTGCCTGCGAATGGCAGTGCTGCCGTCATCGAGGCTACGTCGACTCTGGGCCTCTTCCGAGGCCTGACTACGTTCAGCCAGCTTTGGTACACATACGAGGGGACGATCTATGCTGTCAACACCCCGGTCGAAATTGATGATACCCCCGCTTACGTATGTGGATTCGCTGTCGTTGGCGTATCAGGCACCTGATCGTCTGTCGTATAGCCCTACCGCGGTCTGCTCTTGGACACAGCACGTAACTAGTAAGTGTCAGTGAGACGTGAGTAAGAAGACAGATGCTGATGGGAGTAATAGCTTCCCTGTTGCGGATATCTTGCGCACCCTCGATGCCATGAGCTGGGTCAAGGTTAGTTCATGTGGATGCTCGTGTCCTGTATGCATGTCTGACCGTATTTCCAGATCAACGAATTCCACTGGCACGTCGTCGACAGCCAGAGCTTCCCTCTTGAGATCCCGGGATATGAGGAGTTGGCTACCTACGGCGCATATGGCCCAGGTATGGTCTATACAGCTGCCGACGTCGAGAACATTGTCTCCTACGCTGGTGCTGTGAGTCCCGTTCGTTGCTCGATGCTCATAACCTGCCTAAGAGAGCTATATCTAGCGCGGGATTGACGTCCTGGTCGAGATCGACACGCCGGGTCATACCGCCGCCATTGCTGATGCCCACCCGGACTATGTGGCCTGCAATGACGCTCGTCCCTGGGCAGACTTCGCGAACGGTGAGCTATCTTGTCCAAGAGGTGTCAGCCTCCTATTCATATATTATGTAGAGCCCCCCGCTGGTCAGATCCGCTTCGCCACGCCCGATGTTGCGTCTTGGACTGCAGGCCTCTTCACGGCGGTCTCCAAGATGTTTCCCTCGTCCATTGTCAGCACCGGCGGTGACGAGATTAACCAGAACTGCTACGAGAAGGACGAACCGACGATGACGATCCTGAACGCGACCGGAGAGCCGTTCGCGGAGGCGTTCCAGAACGCATTGAACGACTTTGTGGGTGGCACGCACAGTGCTTTGAAGAGCGCTGGAAAGACGCCTGCTGTCTGGGAGGGTGGGTCTCACTATTGTCGCTCGTGCACGAAGTTAAACGTGCCTATGCAGAAATGGTTCTTGACTTCAACCTGACGCTCGCCGATGACACCCTTGTACTGTCAGTCATGTTTGCCTATGTGCAAATCTGTTCGTGTATATTGACTTTTTGCAGTGTCTGGATCTCCTCGGATGACGTCAAGGCTGTTGCCGACAAGGGCTTCCGTATTATTCATGCTGCGTCCAATTACTTCTACCTGGTGTGTTGCACAACTTTGCACATACTTCGACACTGGACTTATTATAATGTGTAGGACTGTGGCGGTGGTGGCTGGGTCGGCGATTATCCCGCAGGGTTAGTAGCAGTTCTGCCATTCCAACCATTGGCTGCACTGACATCTCTCACACTTACAGCGATAGCTGGTGCGACCCTTTCAAGACTTGGCAGTACTCGTACACTTTCGATCCTCTGGCCAATCTGACGTCGGACCAGTACCACCTCATTATGGGCGGTTCGTACACTCGTCGATTGCCTGAGTATGGCTGAGATCTGATGTTTTGCCATCACACGTACAGGTCAGCACAACCTCTGGACCGAGCAATCCAGTGCGTCCAACCTGGACCCCATTGTCTGGCCGCGTGCTGCGGCATCCGCCGAGCTCTTCTGGAGCGGCGCAGGGGGAAACGTCACTGCCGCGCTCCCGCGTTTGCATGATGCCTCGTTCCGCATGCAGCAGCGTGGCGTGAACTCGATCCCGCTCCAACCGCTCTGGTGCGCCCTCAGGCCGTTCGAATGCGACCTCACCTGGTAGGCGTCGAAATTGCAGGACAGGAAAACAGTCTGGGACAATACCAGTAGGGCCATTGGGACTATACTCTGCGTGACATTACTATTCTTGGACTAGCAGGTTTATAGTACAGTACGTATCAAAGTGTTGTAGTCACAAAACATATGCGGAAGAGAGTTGTAAAGCGCATTTAGAAATACCGGTATGACACATTTCCTAAGTAGACTTTTCAGACTGTCCTGGGCGCCACATTACAACCTGAAAGAAGTTCCCCAGCGTCTGTCCGGAAACGATCTTGCCTCGAATCGATATCTATCATCTACTGAACCGTAACAACAGGTGCTCACGCGCTCGTCTCAAAAGCACCGGGATTTCACAGGGTGGCCTCAACAGTCCTTGAAATGATAGGATAGCGTGTCCCCATGTCCGCCTTCCAAGCGAGGTGTCATATACCGTTCAAGTTCCCTGGCTAGAACACTCCGTAAGTTCATAGGCCTTCTATATTTGCTCACAAGCATTTCGCTCGCACAAGGGCTCTGGATGCCGTGACTCGGAAGATGACTGAGGTTAGTCATCCTGTCTCGAATTCGATGCCGACAAAAGGTGTCGCCAAGGAACCTGGTGCTAGGTGAACACAGTACACAGGTGCATCAATGGGCCCTGGCAGCAATTTCGAAATACTTCGCAATATACACTAGTTGCTCCTATCTTCTTCGGGTTCCAGAAGTACACCAGATATGCAACTGCGATACGGTCGGCGGCAATCTGCCACGAGAGAGTTCTCATCATTTAACAGAGGCGTTTTCGAGAGCTAGGTCACTCAGATCCTTCATCATTCTCTACAGTGTGGGGTATCACTCGCGTCTGGGTCGTTGTAAGTACTGGAGGGCAGCCGAATAAGTTTCCCCCTACCCACAACGATGTCTTCTCAAACATTACTGGGGAACAACAACATGGCTGAGGACCCACAGCATGTATCGTCTCTTATTATCGCTCATGGTATACTCACTCACTCAATAGCAGGGGGACTGTATGGGATACTCGCTTCATCCCAGTGTACATTGCGGCCATTTCCTTGGTCGCATTGATCCTTCAGAACCTCTACCGATCGCAACCTGCCAAAAGGCTCTATTCTAATTTGATCGCACTCGGTACCCCCTCACCGTCTTCTGGTAGTGTGGTGGTCGACCCCAGTGACTCTGCAGGCGCCGGAGAGTTGAGGGCACCTCCTAGTCTCTCTCGCCGTTTCGCGCGTCGTGATGAGCCTCCCCTGCAGCTATTCAATGTAGCTAGACTTCTGTCGTGTCTTGCTTTGTTCTTTGTATCTGTTACCCAGATCCGCTTGAATGCAGAACAAGAGGACCGAACAGAGTCGACCGGCCAGCCCGCCTCGCTTGAGATTGTTTTATGCGGGACCTACGTGAGTTGGCCCTCGCTATCCGACACAAACATTCATGCTAATTCTGCGCAGACTTATGTTTCCCTGTTATCGCTCGCGACACTTGTGGCACGGCCCAAGACAAGCGATAGAGTGACCAGATATCTCGTTCTGATACTGCTCTCCGCGTGGGTTACCTATGTGTACAGAGACATTTGGCCATACGCAACGTTCGACCTGACACCCGCGGATGCCTCTGAGGGGATATACCTGTGGACGAAGATTGCCTTCTTGACGCTAGCTGCTGTGCTTGTCCCTCTGTTTAGCCCTAGACGGTATATACCTTCCGTCTCCAAGGTATACCCTCTTCGCTATCGATGCACACAGGCAAGCCGCTGACAAGTGCGCGCAGAATGCTGCTCCACAACCTCATCCAATGCAGACTGCCTCCCTCGCATCCTTGATGTTCTTTACCTGGATCGATCCGATCGTCTTCAAGGCGTACCGCGTTCCACACCTTTCCGTTGATGAGCTTCCTCCACTTGCCGACTATGACGATTCGGAAAGTCTGGTGAACTCACACATGAAGGTACACTCGAGATGCTTAAGTTCTCTACCGTGTTGTTCATTGGCCTCTTGCAGGAGCTTGACCCCTTGCTGGTCAGGAAGAAAGGGCAACATATTGGATGGGGTTTGCTGAAAGTTTTCCGTGGGTATCCGTAATCACCTCAGAAGAGTCACAATTTAATGAGGGAGCCGTGCAACAGGGAATGACTTCATTGTCATGGGTACCATGCTTACGCTCAACGTACGCGCATCAATATTCTCATCATTATCCTCGGCACTAAGTGTATTCAGGTTATTGCCCGCTTCGTCAGCCCAATAGCCGTAAGGAATCTACTCGCGTATGTAACGCACTTTGATCTTTGGTGCCACTCTCACATTCACTACAGGTACCTGGAAGGCAGTAGCGACACTACTCTTCGGCCCTGGGTATGGGTCAGCTTGCTCTTCGTCGGCCCAATCCTTACCGTCTTATTCATTTCCATGTACCTGGTCTACTGTGTATGTCGCTTCATTTGTTTTCCTATGTATCCTTATGGGCTGAAACTCTTCCCAGGCCGGGATACTCGTACGTGTAGAGGCTCTCGTCACACAGCTCGTCTTCACCCATGCACTTCGCATGAGAGTGAAATCAGAAGTCTCGGAGACGCCCGCTCCGAAAGCGGGCGCAGCTTCTACCGTAGCCCCTGATGGTGAAGGCACTAGCAGTGCTCCTGGGGTACAAAACGCCTCGACTGACAACACCAAAGGAAAGCAGAGGGCGAGCTCGAATGCCCCAAAGCAAGCTCAGTTGGGCACTGCCTCACAGAGGAGCAAAAACTTTGTTGGTAGAATCAACAATCTAATTACAACAGACCTACAATCGCTCGCCACGGGACGTGACGTCTTGCATCTGTGTGAGTATCGCTGGCACAGCCTTTCTCATGAATAAGCACGAAGAACCTCCTCCTGTAGTTGTCATGGTGCCTGTCCAGACATTCCTATGTGTCTGGTTCTTATACTCGGTATTGGGATGGAGGTAAGAAGATGACATTAGTATATATTGATGATTGCTAACTGGGATTGTCAACGTCAGTGCTTTTGTTGGGATGGCTGTCATAGTTTTGCTTCTGCCGGTTCCTGGTTCTGTCGCCAAAATGATCCGAGGGGTCCAAGTCGACAAAATGAAGAAGGTGAGTACGGTCGTGGGCCGCAGGACTAGAAGCTAATTATCGCTTCAGACCGATGCCCGCGTGCAAGGGGTTACTGAAGGTGGGCCACTTTCATTATACACTTGAGCGTGATAGTCTCCTTCTCAACCTCAACTTAATTCGTCAGCCATGAACGTGATCCGAATGATCAAGCTATTCGGCTGGGAGCGCAGAATAACGGATCAGCTAACGGAAAAGCGCGAGGTCGAACTGAAGTCTGTCAAGAGGGCTAAACTTCTGCAAATGATTAGTTCCAGTCTGACGTAAGTATGCATATCTTGGTGGAGATCCGGTCAGCTTACGATATGTCACAGCCAAGTAATCCCTGTGTTGACGATGATGGCTACTTATTTCACCCATGTGAGTGCTATCTTGATTGAAGAGAACAACGGCTTAGACATGAACGTAGACGATCATTATGAAGCAAGAGCTGACAGGTACTGTGCCACTATCATGCTCCTTTGCGACTAATGTCTGAGTTTTCTCCCGTAGCATCGAAGGTGTTCTCATCGATGACCGGTATGTAAGAGTTCGATTGCATGGCCTTTACGCTTTTAGACTGACAAGCACAGTGTTTGACATGTTCACTTTACTCCTCAATCAAATTACAAACATGCTCACACCATTCATACGCGGTAACTATCGCTGCGTCAACGCATTAAGTGACTCCTCATGCTAACCGTGTAATTGTAGCTAAAGTCTCGCTAGACCGTCTGAATGAGTTCCTTCAGACCGTGAGCACTGTTTCCGTTTCATGTTGCCGTAACGGGAATTGATGCTGTAAACCTAGACCGAGCTACTAGACGAGTTTGCAGAGCAACAGGAGGCTGATGTGTCGGCTTCCATGCTGAAGGATGATGTCCCCAGTGATTTGATTGGTTTCTGCGACGCGACGTTCACCTGGACGAAAGAGGACAGTCTACCCTCAAGCACCGGGTCATCGAGCCGAAATTTCACGCTTTGTATTGAGAATGAATTGGTGTTCAAGCAGGGCCGCATAAACCTGATCATTGGACCCACTGGGTCGGGGAAGACTTCCCTGCTAATGGCACTGTTAGGTAAGAGTGGTCGATATCCTGTTTTGGCGTATTTTCATCCTTGCTACGTTAGGTGAAATGCACTACATATCGCCCGGCCCTCGTTCTTTCTTTAACCTTCCACGTTCCGGCGGCGTGGCTTACGCCGCTCAAGAGTCTTGGGTACAGAATGCCACGATACGTGTGAGTACTGGCCTTCAAACGGTTAGGACCTATTTGACGGCGTCGGAAAGGAAAATATTCTCTTCGGTACGGCGCTTGACGAAGAGAGATACAATAAGGGTATGAACCATGTCTAATAACAATGCGATGTCTGCTGACTCAGTGACTAGTCATTAAGCAGTGTGGTCTCGAACGAGACCTGGGATTGTTCGATGCTGGCGATCTCACCGAGGTCGGGGAGAAAGGTATCACACTAAGGTATGCGGTACGCAAATATGCACACACGGTACATTTTGACGTTTCATCCATAGCGGGGGACAAAAGGTGACTGATCTGCGAATGTAAGCCCGGCTTTTATGCTAACGCCAGATTGCGTAGGCCCGAGTGACTCTTGCGCGAGCCGTATACTCGAAAGCAGAGATCCTGTTACTTGACGATGTAAGCGAGATAGAACACCCATGTCTTCTGTCACTCATGAACACAGATTCTGGCTGCTCTCGATGTGCACACTGCTCGTCACGTTATGGAACATTGTCTTCAAGGTGATCTTATTCGAGGTCGCACAGTGCTCTTGGTGGTAAGTCCTCGTAGCATGTTATATTCATTGCCGCTGACTTGTATAGACCCACAACGTCGCATTGGCTATTCCTGTCGCAGGTTTCATCGTCGCCATGGGTATTGATGGACGAGTTTCCAGTCAAGGTTCGCTCTCAGATGCTCTGGAGGATGTTACACGATTGGCAAAGGATATCGTCGAGGAGCGCCAAACAGCCAGAATAGCGGAGGACGTTACGGATAAGAAAGTCTTTGTGAACGCTTCAAAGAACGGCAAACTTGTTGTTGCAGAGGAGATCGCTATTGGTCACGTCGGTGTCAAGAGCAGTACGTCATCCCTTCTCCTAAATAAGAGTGTTACTGATAGTTGAGCAGTGAAGTTGTACTTCTCGAATCTTGGGGGGAAGCATTACCTCATGTTCTGGCTGTTGGCACCGTGCATTTTAGTATCTTCAGAAATCATACGCAACCTGCAGGTTTGGTGGCTCGGGTATTGGGCACGGCAGTACGAGGAGCGAGCAGCCGAAGAAGTCAGCGCCCCTTTGTGAGTGCCTTGATTGCAGAGTATCAACTCAACTCATGTTGGCCCATCAGTTATCTATCAATTTACGGCCTGCTTTTGTCCACCACGGTCCTCCTCATCACCGCGTTCAACATTGTCTGGATCTTCGCCACGCTGCGGGCGTCGAGAGCGATCCACAAGAGTTTTATCGCCTCCGTATTTGCCACGACATTGAGGTATGCTTTTCACAGTGTGAGCCAACGATCGTAACCAACGTAGGTTAGATGGCTCGATAAAACACCCACTTCACGTGTCATCGCGCGGTGCACTCAGGACGTAGATGCCGGTCAGTATCCCGAGTCATACTTGGAGAAACTGCAACTCATCGGGTAAATCACAGTTGACAACAACATCCCGATGAGCCTATTTTGGCTCATACTTTTGTCTGCGTCGATAATACTGAAGCTCGGTGCTGTTGTGATCACCTCCCCGATATTCCTCACTCCTGGAATCATCATCGCGCTCGCAGGCGGATACATCGGCCGCATCTATATGAAGGCGCAACTGTCTGTAAAACGCGAAATGAGCAACGCTCGCGCCCCCGTGCTCGGCCATGTTGGTTCCGCATTCTCCGGGCTAGGTATGCGATCAGCGTGACTGAACCGTGCTGAGAGCTAATGTATATGTATACGCAGTATCTATTCGAGCATTTGGAGCTCAGGAAGCATACAAGAAAGCATCGTACGCACGCATGAACAGATACACTACCTCTGCCAACATTTTCTGGAATTTGACGCGGTCGGTCTTACATAGATACATGCTCTGTCCGTGGAGCGAGAACTGACGGGCAGAATAGATGGGTATCTATTCGCCTCGAAGGACTCAGCGCACTGTTTACTGTGAGTTTGGCTGCATATCTAGTCTACGCCTCCCACGAGAGCGCATCAAACATCGGGTTTGCGCTTAACATGGCAGGTGAGTCTCAACGAATTCACATTTTCCGCATCTTTGTCGATATCTTTGTCAGTCGGATTCAGTAGCTTGATCCTGTCCTGGGTGCGCATGTTCAACGACACTGAGGTAAACGGTAAGTACCTTGTCGAGGTTGTAATACCCACCTAAACATTTTCTGTTCACAGGCAATAGGTGAGGTTCCTAACGGTATGTTGGCCAGTATACTGATGTGTGAGATGCAGCGTGGAACGCATCCACCAATACCTGGAAATTGAGCACGAGCCAGCACCTACCCAAGCTGGACAACCGCCAGCCTACTGGCCAGCCAGTGGCGATCTCAAAGTCGAACAACTGTCTGCTCGTTACTCTGAGGTCTGACAATTCAAAAAAAATCTGATCTTCTGTCGTGATGCCCGTTCGCAGGACGGCCCTCGAATCTTGCATGGTATCTCCTTTGAAGTCAAATCTGGCGAACGTGTAGGCATCGGTATGTGATCCTGTGCGAAGCAGTTTTAGTGGCATCTGATCAAACCATGTAGTGGGACGAACTGGAAGTGGAAAAGTATGTAACTACGCCAATCTGACTCTTTGCAGACCATATCTGATTACTGTAGAGCTCCTTGACACTGGCGCTGTTGAAGGCTATCCTCACGGAGGGAAAGGTTTATTATGACGGTCTCGTCACTGATAGCATGAACTTGGGTGCACTGCGATCTGCCATAACCATCATTCCACAATCTGTGCGTCTTGAACCTCAATTTGCAGTGATTGTCTACTGACCTGTTTATACAGCCTGAGCTGCTCGGTGGAACTTTGCGGCAAAATCTTGATCCGTTCGGGCAGTATGACGATGCAGTAATGAACAATGCTCTACGCTCTGCGGGGCTGTTTACTTTGCAGAACGACATGACAGAAGGCCAGATCACCCTTGATAGTCCAATTGCGAGCGAAGGTGGCAACTTGTCCGTCGGCCAGAAGCAAATACTTGCGCTTGCGAGAGCGATCCTAAGGCAGAGCAAGCTTCTGATCCTAGATGAAGGTACGTTCAATGCCACTTTTTCGTCAACTACGACTGACGGTAATAACCAGCGACATCTGCGATCGGTAAATAATAGGGTTTCGACAACTTGCTAACATTTTGCTGATCTATGCTGTCAGACTATGAGACGGACGCCGTAATTCAAGCTTCCTTGCGCACAGAGCTTGACAAGAGTGTGACCATCCTGACAGTCGCGCACCGTCTCCAATCCATCATGGATTCTGACAAGATAGTAAGTCTGAATATCTTTTCTTTCACACACAGCTACTCACTTCGGGCATAGATGGTCCTTGACGCTGGCAGGATCGTGAGTATCATTGCCCACGCCTCCACATGTTCGCCGCTGATGCATTGCGAAGGCCGAGTTCGGCAAGCCAAGTGACTTACTGTCGATTGAAGGCGGGCTGTTACGTGCCCTCGTAGACGGGAGTGGTGACAAGGAGAAACTGTACGCAATGGCTGTTGGGGACGATTCCCATTAGGTCCAAACTGAAGGAGATCGGACCTTGATTATGCATTCCTACTCTTCTAATGATGTCCTGATTCTCAAGCATTGATCTGTACTCATTGGTTACTTCCTCTCATACGTGATGAGTCGAACATTTCCTTCGAGGTCCAGAAACTCGATGCCTTTAAGTTGTTCAAGAGTTGATGCGCACTGTTGACAGGAAGCTGGCCGGAACCGACTCGGTCGCCTCTGTAGATGCTGCAGTGATGGCATCAGTCTTCTTGCACCGCTGGTCCAGATGATCGGTACATGCGGTGCAATACCTTTCGCGCGGCATCAACTTTAGCGTCTAACTTCATTAAGCCACATCGGCTGAGCGCGTCGAACTCGAAAGCGTATTAGCAATCAGTTGGGTCTAGGTTACTCAATGTCTCTTCAAGTTGAGATCCGGATTCTAGCTGTCATACTTATTGAGGCTTAAAGGGGTCACTTGCGCCCTGGTACGCGTCGCTAGATCGAGTCATCTACCAACTGTCTAGGGTCCTGTCAGGCCTTGCGTGCTGTTTCTCACAGTACCGGCGAGAGATGGCCGTGTCGCAACTCGCCTTATAAAACCACGATGTCGAAAGAGCATGCGCACCTACAGTCATTTCTAGCATACTCGCCAAAATGCTCTTCAAGCTTGCGTGAGTTCCGGTTCAAGCTCTCACTAGGGCAGCTACTTACCTAGTGTCAACAAACCCCTTATAGTGCCGTCGCTGTCTTGCTACCTCTTGCGTCTGCCCAATTCGCCTACACTTACGTTTACACTACGCCTACTGATTGGGTGAGCGGGCAGCCGGCTAATGTCAGCTGGACCGCGGAAGTCGGCGATCCCGAGCAATACACATTGCTCTTGAAGATTTTCAACTCGACTACCAACTCGGAGGATAATTGGGTCCTTGCGCAAGGCATCGACACCTATTCGTATTTCGCGAATTTCACCTTGCCTGACGTCGTTCCTGCGTCAGTACATTTCCGTTTTATTCTGGATAACTATCTGAACTGTGCGCTCCTAGTGATGGCTACTTCCTCTTGCCGGTCAGCGTGAAGTTAGTGTTTAATCCTGTCGTCTACATGGCGTATACTTATTGTTTGACGACAGGGACACTTCAACTGAAGGCCCGCCGAGTAACAAGTTCTCCATCGCATAATTGAGACCTTGTAAATTGTTCTACACCTGGACTTTCCTTGACGATCCTTGACGAATGTTATGAATTGTGCTACATTCATGAGGATATACAACTACTGTCTTGATGATGTGATCGGAGCATACAAGCTGCCTACCTCGTCTACAGCCTGGACATTTTACAGCCATTTCTGTGATACCAAAAGAGGTTTTAGCCACTCATAATGGCTCATTCATCCACCATACTTAGCACGCACGACTTTATGAAGGATCGTTCCATAATCGCGCATCTACAGTAAACTCTCGGTGCTGGTCTGGGGAACGGGTGTTATAAGCAAGTTGTTGCGGATGACGTCCAGATCGCGGTCGCCCAAGGTAGTGTGCGCCTTGAGATAGCCTTCGATGCCTCTGTACTGGCGCTCGATGAGAGCAAGCAAGTTGATGATTGCCTGTGGCCTGTGTGTGTCTGCCAATCAGGTTTTGCGGCGCAAGACAAGTGCAAATCCACGCACTTCGCCGTCGCCATATTGATCGTCCCTTGCTTGTTGTCACGAAATACCTGCTCCTTCTCGAAGCGGGCGGTCAGCATGGGCAGTGCAGGCTGCAATCCTATAGTGGTGAGCGCGTAGTCTTCAGCAATGATTTCGTCGCTGACGCCAAGGAGCTGCATAATCGAGGGATGGTCAGTAGCTCGCGCTCATCCAGTGTTGATTATCGTGCACCTTTAATATGAGAGCAGCAAATACGCCGGTCCTGTCCTTTCCGGCTTCAGAAGGATCAGATGTATGTTAGTGCATGCCTGAACATGACACTCACCTGTGCAGTGGATGAGACAGGGCTGGTCTGGGTGGTCGCGGATGTGACGGAGGATTGTTTCAATGGCTGGGCCACTGTGGTTTAGTATTGTGGTATAGAGCTGTAGAAAAGCCTGCCGATATAGATTGAACCTGCAGCTGTGGTCACAATAGCGAAATAGCTACTTCAGATTCATCGGTGGCGAAATTCTTCAGCCTTATGTAGCGGGAGAATTTCGTCGTAGTCAGCGCTTGAGCATTCGAGAATGTGGCTAGACCTACATCTGCGCTATCGCCACAGGATCGAATGCATCTGCGAGGATCGGGAGCTTCACAAATTCGACACCCTCGATCTTGACGTCAGGTGTCCGATACTTTGCAATCTCCGCGTCCGCGCGCAGGTCAAAGACCTTGCGGATGCCAAGCGCTTGAAATTGCTCCATGCCTTTCTGCGTAATGTGACTGGGCTCCCCAGACCGGAACAGGTAGGATGGCTTGACAGCCACACCTGCAGAGGTGCTGTGGCCTCCAAAGTCCCTTATATTGATGATGCCCTCAACTTGCACGAAGGGAGGCGACGACAAGACTTTCGAAAGCTCGTCCTCGTTAAGGGATTGGAGGACGGCTGTAGGCATTGATTCTGATTCCATCTGCAAAAGATCCACAGGTCAGTAGATCATGACCCCAACGGCAACTCAAAATTTCCTACAGTTTCGACCACGTCAAAGAAGAGGAAGTGATTATACAATTGGGTGACACCTGCTCATATTGACTGCGCTCGCGATAGCAGCAGGCGCTGACGGGAGTCAGGCGTTTGGCGCTGTTCATAGATGATGATACATCGCTAGAATGATTGTCAAACAAACATTTTCCACAAAACCCTGCAGGATGCATTCCATATGCTGCTATCATGACCAGAAAGCCCAAAATCTCACGAAATCAAACCTGGAAATCCCTCATCGGGCTCATGCGTTTGAGTACGTGCCATTTGGATCGAACCAAAATGAAGTAGCATCTTAGTCGAGTACTCTTGCATCTGAACCTCAGGCTTCAGCTTCAGCTTCAGTACTAATATATACTTGGCTTGTCTCTTGGGCTGATACTGTCTCTGTCCCGCCTTCAGTGCCTGCGCCCCTTTGGATCTAAAGTATTTCCGCGCAGCAGTCTGGATTCCCCGCCATGCTATTGAGCCTCGTCTCATCGGAGCTCTCAAAGTGTCTTGGCGTCTTTGTGGTCGACTGCGTCTTTGTCGAGAACATATGGAACTCCCGGAAAAAGGAAGAACCTCTTTGTCTGACCTTGTCTGTTGACTATAGCTCTTGCTCGAACAACGGAATGCCACTGCCGCATGTCTGTGGCTATGCCACGTTGACCTGCTTTGATCTCCCGGGCTCTAACATATAAAGCATGAATCCTCAATTTCTTCCTCACATCACAACGTCTGGTCTTCTTACTTGGGTAGCACTTTCGGACAGACCAAGCCATGTCCTTTTTCACGCGGCCCACGCAGCCCACCGAGGACGCCAGAAAGAACCTCCCTGAGTCTCAAGGTCTGTGTCGTTACCCGTTCAGCACCCAGGAGGTCGAAATGCTGTCGCCACACACGATCTCTCTCTCTGGCGCGCGCAACCGAAATGTCTGGGAGGGAAACACAGGCTCCCGAAACCACATTTCTCGTGGCATCCGGACGCAGCAGCAAAACGATCGTGCACAGCAGGCTCACACAGCAGCGGACATTGTCTCATTCTTGCCGGCATCGAGCTTCAATCCGCTGGCTGAACCCTTCGTTCCTGGAGCGTCTCGTATGCACACTTTGGCCGCGACACCGGTGCCACAACCATCTGTACAGCAGACTTCTGCGGCCACGGACGCCTCTCTTGTGATCAGATATGACTGGCTTCCAAGCCTGCGACTGGGATTAGCGGCCGTCCACCCGGAGTCACGGAGAGTCCTTGCACAGTCTATCGTCAGACTAAAGCCGTGGGCCCGGGACCCTGTCCGCGTAGCCATATTGTCCGCCAAGATAGCAAAGTGCGTCATCGAGGGTCACTATCCCAACATGACGACAGTCGCGCAGTTCTCAAGCGAGCTTGACAAGCTTTTCCGGCGAGAGGAAGGTGGCCAGCTCGCGATGTATTTCAGACGCTGCCTTGAGCTCTACCTCTGCCGCTGCTTCGCCGAGTACTGCTATCCGGTGAGTTTTCCCGTGCATTGCGCGACGTGGCGTTCATGCTCCTTGTCGTGATCGCGCAGCTCTGTCAGCAGCCCCATGAGATATACTCCATGCGTGCGCCGGTTCGGTCTCGCGATGGCGAGGTGACATGCAGTAGAATCGAGTCGGCGCTGGCGCTGGCGGCGTACGCCGGCGGGCTCTTCGCACAGGATATGATCCCGGGCAGTCTCGCCCTCACTTGTCTGAACGCACTGGTCTCGCAGCCGTACGTCCTGGAGCATTTGCAGGCGATACACGCGCTCCTCTCACACGCTGGTCAGAAGCTGTGCAAGGCCGGCTCCCCGGATTATTGGGACAGTATCTCGAGTGTGGTGCGATGGCGGGCGACTCGGCTCCTGAACGATGCGAGTATGGCTAACGCATCCTGTATTGGTCGCTGGTTCTGCCAAGTATGCCCGAGGCGCGGCGTGTAAGCAGTGCACAAAATATATTTTATTCGCGCAGTGTGAAGTCCACAGGTGATCCTGACCGTCGTTATATCGTGAGTTGCCTCTCCCCCTTGTCTCGTTTCCTATAATGGGGGCTGTTCTTCACATCGTGTGACAGCCCTCTCCCCCTTGTCTTGTTTCCTATAATGGGGGCTCTTCTCTGCGCAAATGCAGAGAACAGCCCTCTTCCCGTTCTCTCTCCTCCTACAATGAGCACTGTTCTTTGCTCTCTCATCAGAGACCATCCCTTGTGCAAAGAAACTACAGTCGACAACCCCGGTTCTTCATGTGCTCATGCCATATGTCTGCCGCATTTCGTCAACTCATGCTAATGAGTACACAATTAACCCTTGCTGCGATCACGCAAATCAGTAAGGCAGTGGCTTACCTTCAAAGGTATACATTGTGTATGCTCGTAATTCTGCTTCAACTCGATTTGCGTGCATTGTTGTTGTGTGTATTGTACCACCTGCTCATGTCACCCTAGATTAGTCATTCTCGTCGTACATCGTAATGTCTGGCGGCCCGACGGTGCGGGTGACGGAGTGGGAGAACGAGCCAGAGCCCGTGCCTATGGGGCAGGGCGTAAGGTGGACGTCTGACAGCTTCTACACGCAACCTACCTGGGTACAGATGGTGTCAGCAAATGTAGGCGTGCGGCGAAATAAAGCGACATGTCATCGCCGCATCTAGTAGGCAAGGAGATGAAGAAGAAAGATGGTGAGCATATAACTAATGCCCTCAGAGAGCGGGAAGCGGCCTGTCGTTGTACCGTGCGACAAAGCAGTTATGACAGGATATGGAAGAAGAGAGAAGATGGAAATTTTCGACAGCACCACGGGCGGATGTAACTCGACGCCATCTACAGCGAAGTTGTGAGCTACAGTCTTCCTGTGATATATGGAATCCGAAGGCCAGCCGAGTGCGGACGTAGGCTTACCAGCTTCGATAACTTTGCTACCGGGCTTGATATTCAGCCACGAGGTGACGAACGCAATGTCCGTGAGGTAGAGGATTTGCGTGCGGTGAGGGAGCGCGAGAGGCCAGAGCTCGGGCGTCGGGCGGAGGACGTGGATGAAGCCCTTGCCGTTGCGCGAGCCGACCTTGGACCCATAGGGAACGCCGACAAGGTCGTCATGAACGGGCAAACTGCATCGCACTCGGTGTCCGAGTTGTCGGTGACAGCAGATCTAGATCTGACGTTGACATCCCTCGCGCATTGACTGGCTTTCATAGGTGATAGGTCACAGTATGGTCGGCAGGGTGTATAGAACGTAGCAGCAGCACGTACGAGCATAACGACAGCATAGTTGCAGCACCCACGGACAATTAGATACAATTATATATAGTCGGCAGTCATGGTCAAAACAAATTTGTACACCATTGTGTTCCCAGAAAGGAAATGCTTCTCATCAGATCTTCTTGAACAAATCACCCCTGACGTACATGGTCGCGCTCCGGCTGCCCGGGCATATTCACGTTCGTGTGCGCGGGCGGAGTCATGCCCACCCCGCATCCCGTCGGCCGTGCCCGGGTTTGCTTTTCTGGTGCACGTCTGGCTTGTTGCTTGTGTGGTGGTATCACTGTCGGCTGTCGATCAGCGGTCACAATGACTGATGGGTGATGAGAGTGTATTTGATGCACATGTGGTCAAATAATCCTCATGCGGACGGCCGGTAGGCATGGACACACGATCTGCAGTGAACAAGACATTCCACTGTGTCCGTGTCGCATCTGTCTATTGCAGGGCTGCGAGCGACGCCATCTGAGAGGGCGCTGGTGACGTCAAGCTTTCTACGGCCATTATATAACAGGGTCTAAAACCACTCCGTGTACCCAGTGCGTCGAAGGTTCACCGTACACTGGGCACCAGTCGTTACACACACGGTAGTGCAGGGATGCGGTGCATTCCCGTGCGCGTGCTAATGAAGTGGCGGCACGGTGCGGGTGATCGAGCGTGGAGCAATTAGTTAGGCGCGTCCCCACCGTAGCGATCATGGTGAAGCGAGAGAAACAGGGGCCTGGGAGAAGTCCATACGTACGCGGGTTTGCAACTTGACGACGGCAGAGCCAAGGCGGCGGAGGACGGAGCACGACCTCGTCTGGTTTCTTGCTCGCTGAGCCACCTTCTTGTGTGCGTTTGACTGTGCAGCTGCTGTGTTGAGGTGAGTCGTCCCGGCTGGCCACTGTGCATGGGTGACGGAGGTGCTTACCATGTGGGGCTGCTCGCAGGTGGACTGGTCATCCGACGGCGGCACGCACAGACTACCAGTTGTCTGTGGAAGACTGTGCTTTGCGCTGACAGACTCGACCGGCGCGCGACCAGCACGCGACCGGTGCCTTACGCCTCAGTAGGTACATGACACCACCGACTTGCTACCGTTGTTCTGCTCACGTCGCATCGGTTGGTTCTCCCAGCACCGTGTCAGCCTATTGCGAGAATCCAAACCCCGCCGCCCAATTTGATGCAAAGGACATAGATGGGGCAGCCATGCAGAGATAAATTTGGTACTTCTAGGTACGTCGCATCGTGCGGCCTTGGCCACTTACGCGTGGAATACTGACGATGCCGCCGTCCTCCAGTCTCACATGCAAGACCGTCCAGCGCGCGTACACACAACACGAGCGTGGGGGTGGTCCGTGCATCAAGTTTTAACATGCAGCCGGTACGCCATCATGCCGTGCTAATGCTGACTTCTCTCGTTCCGATTTGTGGCCGCGTTGTGGCCGCGGCCAGCGCGTTCGCAACCGGATGCGGTGCTCGCGGGTACACGACGATGCCGCGCGAGCACCCTTTTCAGTCTGTCCGGTCGGCGATTCACAGCCGTCCCGACGTATTTTACAGGGCCACTTGTCATGGGGCTGTCGAGAGGGAGGGGGCATCAAAACAATGAGGATGCACAATTGTACTTACGACATGAATTGCGTAGCGTTTCTCGTGTAGCCAAGACGATGGGCGTCCGGTGACGCGGAAGAGCCGGGCGCGGAGGAAGATGTCGCCAGACCGCGCCCGCACGTTGAATTGCCGGCGACCGGCATTCGTATGCACATTGCACGTACCACAGAACACGACGACCAAGCCGCCCGCAGCCCGTGCCATCCATCTCAAGCAGTGGATGAGTGTGCCCCCGGCCGTTGATGCGCTGCCCTGTCCAGTGCCGATCCGCCCGTGATGCCAAGGTTCAGGCACGGCGCGGGATGTCTGTGTGCGGCCTGCCCGGCGTATGGGTGGAATGGATGCCGTCTCACGCCACAGCGGGTGCGGGATCTTGCGCGCATCAGGTCGTGCTCGTGTGATGACCCACGACTGTTCCTCCGCTCGCGCTCGCGACAAGTCACGTTGACCGGCTGTCCCAGGTGCGCCGCCTCTTGACCGTCGACGCATGAGGCACTGACGATGTCATCTTCAGGATCGCCGCGGGAGTCTTTGCCGGGTAGCACGACGCTGCGCAGTCTGCACGCGGAGCATTCTGCGGCGCGGCGTCTCGTGCTCTGTACACGCTCGGTGTGCCGTCTTGGCGCATGAGCAA